AGATCGAGGTACCTACTTTACGCCTGGAGGCATACGACGAAGAAGAAAATGATGACGAGCTTCGTACCAACCTCGACCTGGTGGAAGAAGTATGGGACCTCGCATATATCCGGACCGTAGCCTACCAGCAAAGAGTAGCTCGGAACTATAACGCCCAGGTCAAGAAGCGACACTTCCATGTCGGGGACCTGGTACTTCGGAAAGTTATGGTACCTGAGCCCGGTGTAGGTAAGCTCGGACCGAACTGGGAAGGTCCCTACCAAGTAAAGTGGGTACTTGGGGAAGGTATGTACGAGCTCAAAACCTTAGAAGGAAAGCAAGTACCTCGAGCGTGGAACATCAACAATTTAAGGCGATACTACCTATGATTGTTGAATTGGAGAGCGGACTGCGAGTCGCTCCCAGAAGTCTAAGGACTAAAAGTGTCGAGCTAATAAAAGACCTCGGCATCATACAAGTCCTAGTCGCTTCTTCGGCATAGGCAGATAAGTCCCAACCGCCTCTTTGGCATGGGTAGATAAGTCCTAGTTGCCTCTTCGGCATGGGCACATAAGTCCTAGTCGCCTCCTCAGCATGGGCAGACAAGTCCTAGTCGCCTCTTCCGCATAGGCAGATAAGTCCCAGTCGCCTCTTCGGCATGGGCAGATAAGTCCTAGTCGCCTCTTCGGCATGGGCAGATAAGTCCCAGTCGCCTCTTCGGCATGGGCAGATAAGTCCTAGTCGCCTCTTCGGCATGGGCAGATAAGTCCTAGTCGCCTCTTCGGCATGGGCAGATAAGTCCTAGTCGCCTCTTCGGCATAGGCAGATAAGTCCCTATCACCTCTTCGGCATGGTTATATAAGTCCCAGTTGCCTCTTCGGCATGGGAATATAAGTCCTAGTCGCCTCCTCGGCATGGGAAGACAAGTCCTAGTCGCCTCTTCGACATAGGCAAATAAGTCCTAGTCGCCTCTTCGGCATAGGCAAAATACTTCTAATCCCTAAAGTGTAGACAACTCGAGTGTGAGCCCTACGATGTCTAGCCCAGTTCGGCATATATCAACAAGTTGGGCCCGTTAGGGACAACCGGCATTTAGATGAACAGCTTGTGCGCGGACAGGACGGGTATGTACCCTGTGATGTCACTCACCTCAACGTACATTACGTAAAATTGCCCCTACTAATAGTGTAAGAAGACAGTTCGGGGTAACAAACACTTAGAAAATTTTTTACTTTGGTTATCGTTACTTGTTGTCCAACTCAGTAGCTCGACAATTCAGGTAACCTATACATTCGTTGCCCCGATCGGGAGTCACTCATACTTGGAATATTTTTGCACAAGGATTGCTTAGAAAAATTTATATTTCATTGATTGAAATAGTGTGAGTACAGAGACTTCGTTGTAACCCGAGCTCGGTGGCTTCGAGGCGTACATCCAAAACACAGGGAAAAGAAAGAGCCAGAATCACTTAGGAGGATTGCCAACTGGGTCGGTCTCCATGTCCTCCTGACCCGAGGGGCCCACCTCTTCGGCTTCATCATCACTTTCCTCCTCAGATGAGCTAGGCTCTTCGTTTGCCGCCTTCGCCACCTCGGGGGTAAGGCCTGACATAGTAAGGACTCCGAGATCGAGGTCGGGAAACTTCTACCGCACCAAGTATCTACACAACTTGAACCTGGAACAATAGAAGCTCGATCCATACTTGACCTGGAGATCGTGGAACTCCGAGGATTCCTTGAAGCGTTCGACAACATAGCTTCTTTCCTCAGCTCGAGCCTCTTGGATAGCGATCTTGAAGATCTAAGTCCGCTCCTGAATCATCGCTTCAAGACTCTCGTTTTCTTGTTGAAGCTTCACCTTCTCCTCGGTCAGCGTCGAAATCTACTCCTGTTGCTTCATTTTCTCCTCAGTCAGTGTGGAGATTAGTTCCTGCTGCTTCTCCTTCTGCTCAGTCATGGCCAAAATCAGCTCATGCTGGCTTCGAGCTCCATTCTTGGCCCGAAGTATCTCACCCCGAGCTAGGTCCAGTTCGCGGTGATGCTCACGTGCCTTTTCTTCGGCTTCTAGAGCCCACTTCAGACGAATCCCAAACTGGAACATCAACGATTGAATAACGGAGTTCACCTAGCAAACAAAACCGAAGTAAGTACATTTGAAATTAACAAGGAAATAAACTGTAAAGTAGGATACTTACCACCATGCAGTAACCGGCATCTCGGGCTCCGAGCAGGGATGTGGACATGTCAGCCCATTTCGCGACCTCGTCAGGGAAGGCGGCATCCCTTCTCTTGCGCATTGCGAGCTTGAGAGTCATTATGCTCTGGTTGGAAGGCCTGGGTCTCGGTGCAAAAGTACTCTCCAGCCTGCGAGGTTTGACACTTTCCCGCTCGGGTACATAAGTGCTCCCCGGTTCACGAGATTGAGCACCCTCCTCCTGGTCGTCATCCAGGTCCACAACGGGGGGTTGAGGACAAACCTCCTCCTTGGGGAGCTCGACAGAGATCGGCTCCACAGCTAGGACCTCGAACGGGGCAGGGGCTGAAGGACCGGCCTCCCGGCGAAGCCTCTTCAAAGCCTTCCTCTTCTTCCCTCTCTGAGAGCTCTTGAGAAGGTTCTCGGCATCGACCTCCGGCATGGTAAACGCGAGAACAAAAGGTTAGCCACGAATTAAAAAGAACTTTAAAATAAAAAAAAAAACCAATGTGAAAACCTACCAGGAGGGCTCAGACCAGCTCGCACAAGCTTCTCATCGGCCAAGAAATCCTTTATCTCGAGGCCGAGGTCCCTCCACGAGTTGATGACTGCCCTAGTTTCTGCATCCAAGCTCACCCCGGGATCCTTGATAGCTACCCTCCAGTGGGTTGGAAAAGACCACCCTTCAGGATTTCGGACAATGAAATACCTCCTTTTCTAGGATGGAACCTTGTTCGGGCAGCTGAACAGGATTTTGAAACCAGGCCGAGGTGAGATATAATAGCTTTGTATGAGGTCCCCGCGCAGACAAGCAGAGCTTCGCTTTTACACAGATCAAGCTAAAGGTGTCTAAGGACAGAGGCCGGTTGTATGTGTGGAACAAAGAGATAGTACCAACTATATTCTGAATAGAGTTCAGATGTAGTTAGTCGATGGTAATGTTAAAAAACTTAACTACCTCTATAATGAAATGGTGAAGAGGGAAGCGCAGCCCGGCCGCAAGCTGCTCCTCAAAGACCGCGAGCTCATGGTGATCATGAGCCCAATGGTATTGACCTAAGGGAAGGCTAAAAACCAAGCTATCGGGAAGACGATAGCAAGCTACAAGGTACATTAACCTATCCGAAGTTAGAGTAGAAGGACCGAAGTCATCTGGATCCCGAGCCCGGGAAGAAGATGGGGCCTCCATCCTAGAGGACGGACCCTCATCCTAAACCTCGGTCTCCCCGAGCCGAGATGGCTCAACTTCGGGAGCAGAAGCTTCCACTAAAGACGGTAGAGGGGAGTCACCCTGCGGCGAGCTGACCTCCCCAGCAGGGGCCGCGGATTGCACCACGACACCCTCAACCTCGCTAGAACTACCTAAAAGTCAGTCTACGCTAGAACTGGACATGATTAAAAAAACAAAGGAAGAACAGGAAAACACAGACTCACCGAAAAGAAGGATGACCTTGGAAAACAAAGAGAAGAGCAAGCTAAAGGATTCCGATGCGACCTCAGAACGGACTTGTGAATTTGTGGTGAGAAAAATGAGTTGCGGACCCCCTATTTATAGCCGCTATGTCCGAGAACTAACGGTCGAGATCGAAGCGATCCAACGGCTCCTAGGAAAACCGGTTGCGCAACCCCCGAGGATAAAATCAGTTAGTGCATTTTTTGACATCCACGGAGTTTATACATCGTGTGACGTCTACGCGTAGGCCAGACGCGACCTGGGTTTTCCTGGTTGAGCCGGGTGGCTGAACAAGTCCGACCCGTGAATCATCTGACTAGCTGCCCAGACCTCGGACTAAATCCACTTGGCTCGTCATGAACTCCCCACACCGGGTTAGGACCCCTGGCTCGGGGAGTGGGGGGCAATTGATGAAGGGTAATTTGGCCCGACCTAGTAATAAGGGACATGTGGACACGACCTAAACTAGCAGGCCGAGAACTCACTCTAACATGCCAAGTCCGCAACGGATCGAACTCGGATAACCAGACCACCTCGGGACAAGTCTACCTCGGGACGGGTATGCCTTGGTGCAAGGTTACATCAGGACCACCTCGGTCCCAAGGCACTTCGGCATTTATATCAGGCCGGATCTAATGAGCACGAGCTCAGGCAATGCTGACCAACCACCGCATGGCAACCCCGAAGATCTCGTCACCATACTCCACATCTTACGGGATCGTGCCTTGTAACGGCTATATTAGCTCACCCACTCCCCGATTCAGGCGAAAATGGGCAACCTTAACGGTTGGTGGCATTATCCCCACCTAACACGGAAATGGATCCCATCACAGCGGGGATCCAAGAACTACTCCACCAAACCCGCGAGGACTCCGGTATATAAAGACCTCACCCCCAGGGGCAAAAAAAGGCGTAATCTATGTTCTCTATCTCTCTCATAATCTATTATCATCTTCAAGCTCACTACTAAGTGCTAACTTAACTATCGGAGTGACCTCGCCGGGTAAGCTACCCCGAGTTCTTTGATTCATCTCTTGCAAGTTCCTCAGTTCCCATCGTTGCTGATAGCCAAATCACCTCCAACTGGGAGCACTCGGATTGCGCTATATCAGTAATATATTAATACCCGTTAATCTGTTTAACGTCAAGTTAATGACTTCGTGAGTTTTAGACATTTTTAAAAGTTGTGTTGAATTTAAGAGAAATTCTGAAAATTCATGATAAGTTTTAGACAATTTCCCATAATCTTTTCCAACAAAAGGGGTGACTCACGAATTGAAAGAATTTCCAAATCAGCAACTTGAGTGGAAGAGTCGAAGAGTTAAGGCATCTCCCAACTCCCATTAAGTTAGAATAAAATTCCCCAATTCTCTGTTTTGGTGCGTCCTCCACCAAGCCGACACCGTGTCCCACATACGAATAGCATTGGCGGAGCCGAACTGGGCATCGATCGTGATCGGACAAGAACATCAAGCTTTCTAATTACGTACGCTGCGTATTTTAGCACATGACCCTTCTTTTTCATCTCGACTCATCTTCTCCCCAGATGAGCCAAACTAGCGGCTCTCCTATTCTCTCTTATTGCCATCACCAAAACCCTAGAAGTAGTCCAAATGAGTGCCCTGTTACAAATAACAAGCAACCGAACAGGTTAGGGTTTCTCTAAACGATTTCTTTTTCCTCTTTTTTTTTTTTATTTCTTCCAATTCTTATTGATATTATCTTTAACCCTGCAGATAATAAATAAATTAGGGTTCTTCAAAAGTCAAAACTAGAAATTTGACTTCTTGAAAGCAAAAGGCAACGATCTTTGGGTTGGTTTCTGTGTTTGGTTTGCATTTACGGAGAGTTAGGGTTCTGGAAGGCCAGAAAGATGGGATCTTTAGGATAAGGAATTAGGGCCCTCTGATTGTTTGCTTCTTCTTTTTTGACTCAGCAGAAAGGAGCAATAAGTTCGCGAAGACAATAAATTATGGTTGCTGAGAGCGGAAAATAATTTGTTTTGGGCTTTCTTGGTTGTTGTTATTGGTCCTCAATTTTGTGGAAATGGACGACACAGAGGACGATGCGAGGTATCCTCCAAATCCTTATCCTGGAAATCATCATCAGAGCTACGGTTCTTCGCACCGCCCGAAACTCCCGGTGCGAAACGCCTCTTATCCACAGACTGTTGGTAATGAATATGGTGATGAAGACGAAGAGGAAGAAGAAGAGGAGGAAGAGGAAGAAGAGGAGGAAGAGGAGGAAGAGGAAGAAGCAGGTGTGCAGCGGGTTACGGAAGAGGCAGAAGAAGATGAAGATGAAGAGGAGGAAGATGACGATGACGAGGACGATGATGATGGTGGCAATTATCGTAGGAGGATTGAGGTCGACGAAGAATCTGAGAGGCACAGAAAGAAGCGAAAACTTAAGAATTTGGGTTATGAGTTTGCCCCCAGGATAGCAGCGCCATCTGCTGCTGCTGCTGCTCCAAAACCATCCTTTGGTGGCCGGAATTCCCCAGCTGATTGGACAGAACATGCGACCTTTGTTTTACTAGATGCTTGGGGTGATCGATTTCTTCAGCTTGGAAGAAAGAGTCTTCGATCTGATGAATGGCATGAAGTTGCAAATAAGGTCTCTGAAGAGTCAAATACAATTAGGACAGATACTCAATGTCGCAATCGTTTGGATACATTGAAGAAGAAATACAAAAAGGAGAAGATGAAGTTAGCTGAGACCGGTAATACAACCAGTAAATGGGTTTATTTTAAGAAAATGGATATGCTCATGACATCATCAGCACGTCAACCTGGATTGTCATGTGGACTGGATTCAGGTGAGTATGTCTTTATGAACCCCAGAGTTTATCTGAATCGTGCCAATGGGTTGGATGAGATGAGGGACAGCCCTGGGAATTCAGAATCATCAGAGGGTGACGAGGATGATTCAGATGGCCTTCCACCTAATAGACCAAGATTTGGAGATGATACTGGAGGAAGTTCTTCCTTTAGGTTGCTTGCTGATTCTATTCAGAAATTTGGGGAGATTTATGAGAAGATTGAGAATAGTAAGAGGCAGCAGATGCTAGAATTGGAAAAAATGAGGATGGAATTCCATAGAGATTTGGAATTGCAGAAGAGGCAGATCTTAGAGAGGGCACAGGCTGAGATTGCAAAAATACGGCAGGGTGATCGTGATGATGACGATGAAGATGACATTGATGTCTCTACTGAGAACATTAGTGGGTGATGTATGTTCTTTTCAACTGTTTGTTTTCTTTCCTCTCAATTTTAAATCTCAATGATCTTGTTTCACATGTTGAATTGCTTGCATTGTTGTATATTAGCAACTCAATTGTTCTCCTTTGGTTCTTCATAATGGATCCAGATCTGTTTGAAATTACAATATCTAAAAATGTTATTAGGTATCCTAGGAAATAGAAGAAAAATCCCTTACTTTGAGTGCTTGTCTTCTTCCTCATCATTTATAATACAAATCTATCCACCATTTGTTTGGTGGTACCTTTCCTTGTGTAGTTCTTTCTATGCATTTGGCCCTTGTTTGGGGAATAATTTCTTTTACACAACTATGGACTATTTATGCTGCAGACTCTAAATGTAGCGGTGGCAGTTTTTGTCCAAGTATTTTCAGGGATCAATATCTATGTACAATGGACTAGGTCCTCTATGTCTTATTCCTATCTCTGTGAACCATCTGAACACTCCTGATCAAAACTCGTAAATTGAACATTGGTTCATTTCTTTTCCTACTTATTTCCCCTCCATCTATTAGATACATGGGATGAAGAGTCTGGTTCACTTTGGAATGGCAGAGAATGAATAAGTTGCATCAAACAGATACGATAACAGACTTATAATGCCCCAAGCATGAACCTTTCTTCATCCTTTAAGCTACTAAAGGATGTAACAATTTTCCTCAAAGCATGTTAGAGGCTAATCTTTATATTAACAAAGATAAATATTGTTACTGGGAATTTGATGGAATGCCAATTTGGTGCAAAAACAACTCTTGGCTCAAGCATATCGAGGATGATTGGCACAAAAAAAATGAAGATGTGCTATATTTGTATTTGTGTTATGGGAGACTGGTCTATTCTGTTCTTCTGGAACTTGCCTTTGTTCATTTGCTCTGTGATATTCTATGCTTGAACTCCATTTTTTGTTTACCTTGGTGTTTGGTTACCATATCTTTGATCAAGAGTATGCTGTGCTTCTATTTGTGGTAGATGTGTCCGGTTGCACCTTTCCTTTTTAACTCTGCTGTTGGCTTCTCTTGGATATATGGTGATTAGTTTTACCAGGACACATCAAAACTAGTGGGTGGAACAATGTTTGCACTTGTGGATACTGTGCCAAACTTGACACTTGACATGACACTTTTTGTAAACATGCTGATGAAGCTCAATTCAAGTTAGCAGGAAATTTGGCACTTAGCAAGTCTTAGTTAGACAAGGTTTTATAGGAAAGAATAGATCCAATAAGGTTTCATTGCAGTATTTTTAGGAATATATAATATAATATTTACTTATGGCAATGGGTGGAACAATGTTTACACTTGTGGATACTGTGCCAAACTTGACACTTCTTGTAAATATGCTGATGAAGCTCAATTCAAGTTAGTAGGAAATTTGGCACTTAGCAAGTCTTAGTTAGACAAGGTTTTATAGGAAAGAATAGATCTATTAAGGTTTCATTGCAATATTTTTAGGCAATATATAATATAGTATTTACTTATGGCAATGTTCCATTGCTTTGATTTCTAGAGGTTGACATGCTGGACACTTGAGTTCTTGGCTCATGTGCCTCATACTAAGAAGCATACCATACTTCAAATTAAGCTTCTTTTTGTGATATTATTACTTGATTCTCCCATTACAGCCGCTTGTCTTTTTTTTTTTTTCTCTTCTTTTGTTTTCTCTGTAGGGGGATATTACATTGTATTTTAAATTAAACGGAAGGAGGTCAGCAATTATCAGTATTTACACAAATGTTGTTCTCCTAATGCTCTGATGTTTGGAAATGGCTCTGAACCATTGTTTAGAAAACCAATTGGACTGGATGGTTAGACCAGTTGAACCGTGGCTTGGGACCTTGGCCGGTTTGGTTTTGCCCCTGCTTTTACCAAAAAACTAGTGAACCAGAAAACCAGTCCCAATTTCATGGAACCACCTAGGTCTTTAACCATTTGAAATTTTAAAATGTGTTTAATGAGATTTGAACCCACGACCTCTTATTTTTATATATTGCTTAATTATCATTTAATCCACGGAATTTTTATATTTTGTCAGCCTGATTTGGTGGATTTGGCCCTCCAATGATATTGTGACACGTGGCATCTCGGAACAACTGGGTGATACCCGGAACCACTTAGGCAACAACTTAGCCAAGATGATGGTGTCCCGAACTGGTGACCCGGCACAAGCGTTGACCTAGTGACCTGGCACAGGCGCCGACCTGGCGACCTAGCACAGGCGCCGACCTGGCGATCTGTTACAGGTGCCAACCTGGCGACCTGGCACAGACGCCGAACTAGCGACCTGGCACAGACGCCGACCTGGCGACCCGGCACAGGCGCCGAACTAGCGACCTGGCAACCTGGCACAGGGGCCGAACTAGCGACCTCGACCACAATTCAGGTTGGCTAGAAGCACCTCGTCCAGGGTCGGCCTGCAGCACCTCATCACTAGCCAAAGTGACATCGACGCAAGGAGCGACCTCCCTTGAGGGTGTGCCGGCCTGATTGAGGTCCAGGTGGCGACCTGCAAGACGCGCTCGCTGACAAATTCGGCATGCATATCCCAACACTCCCACGATCCTTGGAAGGTGGCCCACGTATCGAACGTTTCGGAGGGTGGTCAAGGTGCATGGCGATTGCCTCCGGGAATCTCAAACCACTTACACGACCTCGTGGAAATCTCGGATGCAGTGCTTGAAGCCTACGCCAAACAATGCCTATATAAAGGCACCAACCCCAATGGCATAGGAGGGGGGGGGGGGCAAGTAAGCACATTCTAGCTCTCATACTTTGTGATTTTTCAGCTTGCAATCTACTATGAGAGTACTAACTTGATCATCGGAGCGACCTCACCGGGTTAGTCACCCCGGGTCCTCTGACATTGATTCCTTGTAGGTCTCTAAAGAACTACGAAGCTCAACAATCAATGTAGCTCGGCCCTCTGGTCAGCTTGGCACCTAATATGCAGCTCGACACCTAATCTATAGCTCTACCTAGTCAGCTCGGCACCTATCTTGCCCCTAGTTCGGCACCTAGTCCACTCCCAGCTCGGCCAGGTCCTCACCCAACAAAATTCTCTACTTCGGCCTCTGAGTCATCGACCACTTGGAAGTAGACCGGATGACGAGGTACTTAGCCCAAAAAATTGATCCATCAATTGGCGCCGTCTGTGGGAAACACTACAAGAAGCTAAGTTCTCACCTTTTAGAAACTAAAACTCTCACTTTCTAGTTTCCATTTTTTATGAACTCAAAGACTAAGCAGGAAGTTGATGGCCAACAGACTTAGCAGCTCTGCTGACTTTATTTCAACTCAAATAAAACCTCATCAGTCCTCTTCGCGAGGTACCCGCTACAAGATGAGCTCTCCGTGGCTTTTGGCGGCCAACGGACTGCACGGACGCCTCTGCCGGTCAAGCCTTCCAAGGCTCCTGTGCGAGCTGGTGACCTAAAGTCAGTAGTGCTGCCCCCATAGGTCAATCTCCCCGTAGCCTCTTGTAGGAGTGAGTGACCGGCGTCACTAACGAGGCTGATGCAGCGTAGTCGTAGCTCTAAAGTGTCGAACTGATAAAAGACCTCGGCACCGCATAAGACCCAGTCGCCTCTTCGGCATGGGCAAAATCAAGGAGAGTGGACTATGAGTCGCTCCCAGAGCCTAAGGGCTAAACTGTCGAACTGATAAAAGACCTTGGCACCGCATAAGACCCAGTCGCCTCTTCGGCATGGGCAAACTCAAGGAGAGTGGACTACGAGTCGCTCCCAGAGCCTAGGGGCTAAAGTGCTGAATTGATAAAAGACATCGACACCACGTGGGACCCAGTTGCCTCTTTTGCATGGGCGAAATATAAAGCAATTCGCATTCAACACGAGAAAACAAAGGCTCCGCATCAAACTCACTAGCTAGGGCCAGTTCGAAGGACACTGCGTCGAAGTCTACCTAGGTGGAGTGACCTGATAGCAGTCACACAAAACCCTCTTAAGGACGGCATGATGAGCTTCACTCTTGAGATACTTAGTCGGATCGCAAAACCTCTTGATGGTAACATCCCTAATAAGGTAGATGTCCTCGGGGTACCTACTCCACCTCTCACGCAAATGAATTCGCTCTCGTGCCCCGAAAATAAAGATGGCGAGGTCTTGCACAATGATGCAAATACTTGGACTCTTTCGACCTGAGAAGCAAATTGGATCGACGCTTACGAGCTAATCGAATTGGTCATTCCAGGCCAAAAGGAGCAATCTACTCCCTTTGCCAAGTTACTTTCAGCTCGGGAGTGGGGGGCAATTGATGAGGGCGGATTTGGCCCCCCAATGACATTGTGACACGTGGCATCTCGGAACAACTGGGTGATACCCGGAACCACTTAGGCAACAACTTAACCAAGATGATGGTGTCCCGAACTAGCGACCTGGCACAGGTGCCGAACTGGCGACCTCGACCACAATTCAGGTCGGCTAGAATCACCTCGTCCAGGGCCGGCCTGCAGCACCTCATCACTAGCCGAAGTGACCTCGGTGCAAGGAGCGACCTCTCTCGAGGGCGTGCCGGCCTGATTGAGGTCTAGGTGGCGACCTGTGAGACGTGCTCGTTGACAAATTCGGCATTTATATCCCAACACTCCCATGATCCTTGGAAGTTGGCCCATGTACCGAACGTTTCGGAGGGTGGTCAACGTGCATGGCGGTTGCCTCCGGGAATCTCGAACCACTTAGATGACCTTGCAGAAATCTCGGATGCGGTGCGTGAAGCCCACGCCAAACAATGCCCTATATAATGGCACCAACCCCAATGTTATAGGGGGGGGGCAAGTAAGCACATTTTAGCTCTCATACTTTGTGATTTTTCAACTCGCAATCTACTATGAGAGTACTAACTAAATCATCGGAGCGACCTCGCCGGGTTAGTCACCCCAGGTCCTCTGACATTGATTCCTTGCAGGTCTCTAAAGAACTACGAAGCTCAACAATCAATGCAGCTTAGCCCTCTGGTCAGCTTGACACTTAATATGTAGCTCGACACCTAATCTGCAACTCTACCCAGTCAACTCGACATCTAGCCTGCCCCCAACTCGGCCTAGTCAGCTCGACATCCAAGTCCTCACCCAACAAAATTCTCCACTTCGGGCTCTGAGTCATTGGCCACTTGGAAGCAGACCGAATGACGAGGTACTTAGCCCAAAAAATTGATCCATCAGTCAGACCAGTTGAACCGTGTCCTAGGACCTTGGCTGGTTTGGTTTTGCCCCAATAATTGCTTTTACCAAAAAACTGGTGAACCAGAAAAACCGGTCCCAATTTCATGTTACCACCTGGGTCTTTAACCAATTGAAATTTTAAAATGTGTTTAATAAGATTTGAAACCACGATCTCTTATTTTTATATATTGCTTAATTATCATTTAATCCACCCACCTTTTAACTTGTGTTAATTAATGAATCTTTATTGTATATATTACATGGTTTGAAGAAAATGTAAGTTAAGAAACTTGAACCTTAGTTATTTGCTTTAAAAATTAAAGAACTTGCCATCCATACACCATATTTAAGATTATATATTGCTTAATTACCATTAGTCCATTCACCTCTTAACTTGTGTTAATTAATGATTCTTTATTGTATATAACTATATATTGCTTTATTATGTATGTAGTTTGAAGAAGATGCAAGTTAGGAGACTTAAACTCTAGTTATTTGCTTTAAAAATTAAGGAAGTTGCCATCCATACATTATATTTAATTATATTAAAAGTTATAAAATATATTATTATATAGTATTTATATGACTTGTAATATATATGTATATGGCATGTCATCACAGTTCGACCCTGGTTGAACCTCTCACCCGTGAACTTCTCCCTTTTTTCGTTCTATGCTCGGTCCGGTTCCTTGTTTCTTTCTCATATCTCTTTTGAAAATTTGTCTGAATTTAGTTTTTTTTATTATTGTTTTATCTGCGTATCCTTTTTGGGAGCTCGTCAGTGAAAGAAATGCCCGACATGTCAAAGTTTTGTGTTAGTATAGAGGCTTTGGGTCCCAGACCATATCTTTATGGGTGGATTGCATTTTTTAGAGCCATATTCTGAAGTAATTTTTTCGAGCCATAGCTTTGATTTGACATCGTATTCTGGAGTTGAGGTTACTTCTTTCATTAGACTTAATGCCAAAGGGTTAGTTACAACTGCTACCCTGATTAAATGGTGAGTGATTGGGTTCCAAGTCTTAGACAGCTTTATTCTAGGTTCCACCAAGAATGCTGTAATGCTTCATTTTTTTGTGATAAATTTATCTATAGAACCAAGACATGCGAGTGATAGAAGACATTTGTGGCTGCCTTTTCACCGGCATAAGGTGCTTGGGTTTAAGGTCCTTCCTGGATACATGTTACACCACATATTCATCTTGTCTTATAATCCCTTAGTGCTGATTATTTTTATGTTACTAAATTTACCAAGGTAGTGCTGATTGTAATCATAGAGTTTACCTTTTCCTTTCTCCCTAGCCATCTATGTTTGTTAAGATCATTATTGTGACTGATCATTTCTGTTGGATGGATATGATTTTGGTTGTTTCTAATAACCCTTTACAGAGGTACATTTGCTCACATGCTAAACAGAATGTCATGTGAATTTGTTTAGTAGATACTGGTTGAAACGAGAGAGATGATGCCTGAACCAGAGCCAATTCTGCAAAAGAAAAATCTTTGGACTCAACACGCAGAAATGGATAGAATATCAACTTTAAGCAGGCAGTGGGAGCACCGAAGCAGTTCCAGTGCAGATGCTTTGAGCAGTTTTATGTAATGTAATCGGCTTTGAAGCCTTGTACTAAACAAATTTGTATGCTTTGGGCAATTTTATGCTTTGGAATGATGGATGGTCCATGAACCTACATTGTTATTTATGTTGGCTGTTCACATTTGTATACTCTTCACTTATCTTGGCTTGTTCCAATGTAAGTGATGTTTTTGGTATTCATGGTTGAGTTGCTGTCTTGCTGATGCGATTAACTCCAGATTCTGCGGAATTGGACGGGGCATTGACCCGGAAAAGGGAGGGTTTATTGGTCTCAGAGGTTCAATTGATGGTGTAATATATAGGGTAAATTAGGGGTGAGCAAATGGATAGGTTCTACCCAGAGTCGAATAGAACCGATTTTGAACTGGTCTTGAACCAACCTTGCCTGATCTGTTACAAGATAGGGTCTAGATTGAAATTATTGGAACCAACCCCCACCTAGGTTGGTTCTAGGGGCTAGGGATTTACACCCTATTCAAACTGATCTAATGAATCAGCCTTGGTGGAATTAGCCTTGGAACCAAACTTGTCTTGAAATAAACCCCTAAAAAATTTTAAGGATATGAAGATTTAAACCCAATCATGGTTACAAACAAGGTTCAAAATATTGGTAGGGGCGTGTTGGGTGAATCGATATTGCTTTTTGTTATGTTTTTTTTTTTCTTTTTCGCAACCGGTTCAGGGGGCTGGTTTAGGGCTCCACCTCCTGAACCGGTCAGACCCCCGATACACCCATCGTAGGGGCATATCGAAGGGGTCCTGAAACGATACGTATTGGCCAATACGGGCCAATACTTTGAACCTTGGTTACAAATGTCATGGTATTACTTGACCATTGATATCATTTGTTTTCGTTCTAATTAAATGTGTATAATAAATATTGTAAAAAGTAATATTTAGTAAACTTATAATGACAAATCTTAAACCATATATTAATATATTATGATAATCTTTATATTAAATTGCTCAATTTAACCAATAAAGATAATATAAGTTTTAAACTATACAAATTAAGTTTTTAAAGGACATGTTTTATTTTTTTTAAGGGGGAGAGTACAAAAAGAACACGTTCCATGGGTAGACCCTGGAACTGACCTTAGAACCACCAAAGCCAAAACTGACCTTCATAGGGTAGGTTCCAGTTCCAAAAACATGGAACCGGCCCCTATAGGAGATCAGCTTCCATTAGGGCAATCCTGTGCCCACACCGATCTAACAGCCTTTCCCAACCTTGCGTTGGGAGTATCTCCCCTTGAAATGAAGCACATCAGTACGGAGATATTCTCAATGCAAGGCAGTAAAGGCTGCTCGAATGGACTTTGCCCTAACTAAAGCTGAACTTCCCCTATAGGGTAGGTTCTAGGTTTTGCCATGGAACCAAACCGAACCAATCCATACTCACCCCTAAGGTAAATTGTTGAAACCTCTTCTATGTCTTACCATTGTTGAAACCCCTAAAGTTTGGTACTTGCAATCGCCTCCCCTGAACTTTCTGACATAGTTGTAAATAGACCTTGTTAGAATCCTCTAACAAAGAGACACAAAAATGTTTGAAATACCCATGCGATTAGTATTGAGGTTGGCTTTTACAAAATAAAACAATACAAACTCCTTTTTTTTTTTGCTTCATGGGGCTACACAATGGGGGTAGCCCATCCCCCTCCCTTAAACAAGTCAAAGAACCTACCAACTGAGCCACCATCAGTTGGTTACAACAAAAAGAGAGAGGGGGGGGGGGGTGAATTTAAAGTTTGGGAAATAAATCAATTTCAGAAAAGAGATTGGAAAGGATTTGGGCTAACAACAAGAGAAAATTTGGAAAATAAACATTTTGTTAAAAAATAATTGCATGGGTATTTTAATCTACATGCAATTATGTCAAGAAGTTCATGGAAGATGAACTTTAATTTTTTACTATAATGTATTATATTATTTTAGTTTTAATTTATTAATATAAAAAAGTAGGATTTGAGTGCAAAAAAGATTTTTTTAATAAAAATATCAGAGAAAATATCATAAATCATGAAAGCTTACCAAAATAAAAAAAATTTGCCCCAATCGAACAAAATTACAGTCACTAGAAGTTTGCATTATATTTAAAAAATTTAGAAAACTTGGTTTTCTGAAATTAGGGTTGGTTCATTGATTTTTTTTGGTTGGACCTATTGAGTCAATGGTTTTGGCTGGTTTTTTAACATATATAGTTTTCGAGTATTGTTAAAGCCAGCCAATGCCCACGTCTTGGTTAAGCAGTTTGACTGGCTAATCACGGGGAACATCTACCAATGACAAGTATGGGAGATGTTCCCAATGCATGCTGAGATGTGCATGTGGGGTGCCTGTCGGGCACTAATGTGAGCTCCTTAGAGCTACAGGAGATCCGTGTAACGATGATTACAGTACAAAAAATTCAACTTCGTTCTAGAGGGATAGTTGGAACCATGGTTTTTAAAAACAAACCAGTGACCGAATCGGTCAGGGGTCCGGTTACCGGTTCGAACGGTCCGACCGTTCGACCCAAACGGCTAGCCTGTTCTGACAAAAAATAAGAAAATTTTTAAAAAATTAAAAAATTAGAAAACAGTCAAAACTGTTCAAACGGTTCGAATGGTTAACCTGTCGGTTCAGCGGTTTGCTGACCAAAATCAACGGTTTTGAGAGAAAATGCGGTTTTGAAGGAAAACGGAACCGGTCAGGTGATCGGTTCCCAGTTTTTCCAATCCGACCGTCCGATCTGGTCCGATCCAATTTTGAAAACAGTGGTTGGAACGTATGTACATGTACCGTGTATATATCTTTGAATGATACAACTATAAAAGTCTATACATGTTACAACTGCACATCAGGAACATCTTCATATTTGTATGTTATTATTCATGAGAGATGTTTCCAATATACGGTGGGATATGGCTATGAATTTGGTGTGAGGAGCATTCTACGAGGAACAGATCCCAATTCCTTCTTTCGTGGATAGTGCCCCTAGAGTCCTAGTGGGAATGACTTCTTATGCCAATGTGCTAAGTCCGGATCTGCTTCTCATAGAAGGCACTTTACATGGACCTCACAGCCCCATCTCACCGTGTATTGAGAAACATCTCCTGTACTTTGTGTTATTATTGATGGGGAGAGGTTTCCAATTCAGGATGGGATGGAGTTGTGAGGTGCACCCTGTGAGGAGCAGATCCCGAATCCAATGTGCTTAGGCCAGAAAGCTTGGGCTTGTTCCTCACAAGGGGATGCCTCACACCATCCTCACAATGGTTGGTTGCACCACACATCTCTGGGTTCATGTGGCCATGTGGGAACAAAACACAAGCGGAGGGGGAGCAAACGTTGTTAGCATGGACACTACTCTCCCAACCTAAGTTTGATAGTTTTGCATTTGGTGCTCAAAACCTCTCATCCCTGTTTCTTCTCTCTTCGTGAAGGACCCAAACCCTCTTTTTTTTTTCAGGTCAGGACCCAAACCTCTCATCTCTCCGACGGGAATTAATCTCACCAGTGAGAAAAAACACCAACAAATTGATTACGACGATTCAAACCCAAGTAAATTTCTCCCAAAAACAAAAAGCTGTTGAGAAATCTGTCTCTCCTGTTGGGAATTTTTGTTTCTCTTTTTCAACTGTAGAATACTCCCACTGACGACCATTTCCAAAGTCTCATCTCGCAGGTGACCATCGGAGATTGCAACCGGTGGAGGGAGGGCTTCAGTCCTGACCTAAAGAGAGCAGACACAGAGGTGAATGTTTTGGGCACCAAATGCAAAACCATCGAACTTAGGTTGGAGGAGTAAGGGCTTGTCCATGCTAACAAAGTTTGCTCCTCTGCTCGTATTTTACTCCCATACGAACCTGGAAACGCGTGACACAATCAGCCATTATAAGGACAGTGTGAGGCGCCCGCTTGTGAGAATAGATCAGGACTCTTTAGTTGAGATGTTGGGTAATCAGAGCCCGGCCCAATTACTCGACCTTTTAATTAAGGTGGCATTTGATAAATCTGAAAAGTTAAAAAGATATTAAAAATGTCTGAAATCTGAAAAAAGGTATAGATGCTTTTTTACTTTTTAGAGGATTTAAATTCATAAGTTTGTTTGTGTTAGATCAACCCTTTACCGTTTTACCATATAAAATTTATTGATTTTATTATTTTACCTTTAGAACATACTATTTATAAATGTTGAGTTCAATTTACATGATCTCATAAAAAATCATTTTCAACCTCAAAATAATATTGAAACAATACAAATAATAAATAATAAATTAATAAATGAAACAATTAAAATTAAAAAATTAATTAATGACTATAAAAATATTAAAATAATTAATAATTTACATAAATAAAAATTAAAATAATTTTAAAAAATTAATGAAATCATTAAAAATTACTAGTTAATAAAATAATTAATAAATAACACAAGTAAATTTAATAAAAAATAATTAATGTTTAATAAAAAATATTAAAATAATTAATAATTAATAAAAATAATTTATATTAAATATTTTTACTCACCGAACCACCACTGTTGCATGTTGTAGCGGCGGTGGTAGTGGTGAAAACACTGGGGAGAGAGAGAGAGAGAGAGAGAGAGAGAGCGAGAGAGAGAGAGAGGGAGGGAGAGAGAGCGAGAGCGAGAGCCGCCGCTGCAAGTTGCAGCAGCAGTGGCGGTGGTGGGAACATATGGGGGAGAGAGAGATAGAGAGAGAGAGAGAGAGATCCGCTGCAACTTGCAGCGACGGTGGTGGTGGTAGGAACATAGGAGAGAGAGAGAGAGAGAGGTTCTTCCTCCCTGAGCGAAAGTGAGAGAGGTGTTCTTCCTCCCTGTTAAATGATTAGGTTTTTTTGGATTTGGGGGTAATCAAGGGTAACGTGCATCATTTCTAAAAAAATAGAATGGTAGATTCGACCTTGCACCGGCTCTGAAACGCATCTGACTGCGTTAAGAGCTGGCCCAAGGTCTATTATTTTCAGATCTGAATATAAGATTAAGCCATGTTTAAAGGTAAAACCAAACAAGAGGAGAGATCTGAAAAACAATATTTTCAGATTCAGACCTCTAAAAAGTACAATCAAATGACCCTGTATTAATATATAACCAATCAAGTCGTATTCATCAAAACTCAAGAGAAAGGGAGAAAGTGTTGATTGATCAAAGACATGGTTTAAAATATTGATTTATCGTACAATGTGTATTTTTTTATCATCGTACAATATGTATTGGTTTCTAAAGTCAGCGATATGTTAGATAATCATAATCATGCATTCTAGTGCTTTTAAATATTAATAGCCGCTCTATTAAATATATTGTTGAAGCATCAAGCTGAGATAATCAATAAACAATGAGAATTGACCCGTTTTGAGTATCCAGCAACCAGCCTATACTCACAAGCTTGGTAATTAAAGTGACAACGGGATTTCTTGCAAGTAAAAATTCTGCATATACCATAAAATAAAAGCACAGGAATCTAACTACATGTTGATATGCCTAAATATGATTAAGAGTATTTGCTTGTATGAGATTTGGACTCATTAAAGTGGGGCAAAATTTTCTAACTTGTATCGCACGCCCTAGACCCTAATCCCATGCATGATCATAGAATAGTGTATAATATATGCATATGTGGAGAAGGATGGCTAATGAAGTTAGAGTCGGTTTGGTTTGTAGTTAGAATCAGAACTGGAATGATTTATTCGTATAGTCTGTTTGGTTCAGACAGGAATGAGAATGGGAATTGGAATCAGAAAGAACGAGATTTCATTCCCATTTGCAACAAAGATATAATATCTGTTATGTAAAATCTTTCTCTATTTAAATATCTCTCAGCCATCTATTATTGGATCCAAAGATATAATATTATATCTAGCTTTTATTAACAAGATGTATTTATTTTTTCAGGAAATTGTTAACATGGAGGGTATTGAAAATATATACTTTGGATTTTGATGATGACTGTTGAACATCATAGAGCGAAATGATTTTTTTTTGTTATATTTTTTGTTCATTTTTGAACTATCCATTATGGATCTATGACCTGAAAGTTACAGATGTATATATAAACATTTTATGATAAATTTGTTTTATATGAAAATGATTTATTTGGTTAAATTTCATAATTATTTGATTTTTTTAATTAAATATATAATATGCATTTGATTTAAAGGGCATGATGAAATTAATATTTATTGATACAGGTCCATTTATCATTATATAATAAACAACATATTTTTTGTTGCTTCATTTTATTATTTTTTAGCATGCATGTATAAATTTATTTAGACATTTAGTGGCGCTCGTAAATGCCACTAAATCCTAAACGAATTGATTGATTAAGACTTTTTAGTGGCAATTATAAATTCCACTATACAGATAAATGTTTTTTGACATTAAAAAATGCCGTTATATAAAAAAATAAATGCTATTATATTGTTATTTGCTAGCTTTTATGGTAACCTTCTAGTGGCATTTATAATTGCCACTATAGTGGTTGCTATTTAGTGGCACTAAGAATTGCCAATATATGCTATCATTAAATTTAAAAATGGCATTTGAAACTATCACTAAAGGATGAATAAAATGCCATTAAAAATAGTTTTTATAGGCATTTATATAAGTGCCACTAGAATTTGGATAAACGCCATTGAAAGCAAGTTTTATTGGCATTTATTTCAGTGCCACTAAAAATTGGATAAACGCCACTAAAACTTTTACCGACTCAAATATCGATGGCATAATTTGAAAACGTCATAATAGCCTTTAGTGGCATTTTTACCTATCTTTAGCGGCATTTGAAAATGCCACTAAAAATCACTTTTCTTATAGTTCCACTCACTCAAATGGGGGAATGCCATTCCAACATTTATGGGAATGGGATTTCAATTCTGCCTAACCAAACAATTCGAATCAAAATACCCCATTTTGATTCCAATTCCAAACCCCTATGAACAAAATAGACTATGGGATATCTGGACCGGTGGTGGGTTGTAGGTTCACCCAGTGGTTAGTGTGATAAAAACGTTGAAAAAAGCTAAAAACCTAGGATGGTTCACCCGGTTGAAAACACTGGTACATAGCAGGCATGAAAACCCACCAATCGTTGGTGTATTAGCTGGTTTGTTCCAACGTTGACGTGGAATCAAATCCCACAACCAGCACTTTGGGAAAAAAGGCTTCAGAGGGAAGTTGTTAATGGTGCATAGCGCTGAGTACCAAAAAAAAAAAAGGCATGAAAACCCATGTCCTATGGAAAAAGTCCCTGTTTGAAAGTGCTTATTAAATAAATAAATGTTTAATAAATACATTTATAAATGTTTGGTGTAAAAGTGATTCTTTCAAATAGGTAATATAGGTATTTCGAAAATTACAAAAGCACGTTAAAAATGCCAAAATTTTAATATTATTCAAAATGGGCTTATTTTCTGAAGAAACATTTAGACGAAATTATTTTCCAAACACATGTATGATATAAGTGATTATTGGTATGATCTTGGCCTAAAATAATCAACAATTGGATAAAAATAAGCACTCCCAAAAAGGGGCTAAATAATGCATCTACCTGCCGCATCAAAATTAAAAAATAAATCATCTACGTACATATAGATATTTGATGGTTTCAATTTTCAAGTTTCTACGATTCGTTCACGGGAAACACGATCAATCTCAATTCCTCGCCATTCTCCCGGGTATTTACAACCGTTGATCATGATGACTGGTAAATTAATTCGGCCTAATTACGATTTACACTTCTGCAAGGGAGAGTTTCGTATGAATGGATGGCCAATTCAAACAAAATCATCATTCCATAATATATAAATAAATATTTGGGTTATTTTCATTAATATTTTAACGAATATAAAATTATTGTGGAGACTTTCGAAAGTCTACCGCCTTCCCTAGATGTAGTTATATGATTCTCTCTCGTGTTTCAGATGAACTGATCCAGCATTGTAAATCCGGCCACCGACAACGATGTCGACGGAGACGGAGAGTGCAACAAGGTCACCTGCGCCTCTTCTGGTTCGAACATACTCCTCCAAGGGTGAAATCAAGAACTTAGCTTCAATTTCCAGCAGCCTATTGCCTGCATTCGGAACTGTGGTCGGTGAAGGCTCTCTGCCGATTAGGAAGCACATCATAGCCCCTTACGATCGGAGATATAGGTCAGTCTCTCTCTCTCTGTTGAGTAATTGAATAATTGTTACGGATTTGGTTGTCTGTGTGCTGGAGCTTGGTTTATCTTCTTGAGTTTATTCCTGTTTTAATTCTATTAGCAGTAGACTGTGTTTCTCCAAAACAAGGAGAATGAAACCTATCTATGGATTTGTCAACACTTTGAGCAAAACGCTTGTACGTAGGGATGAACACAGATTCGATTGTCAACATTTGATTTTGATGAACATACTACGCCATGAATCCGATCCTAACGGAAAATGAATCAAAATAGGAATTGATAAAAAAACTTGGAAAAGATTAAAAAAAAGGTGAGAAATCCACAAAGCAGCGAAGGAACAGGCGAAAATGACAGAAAGAACAGACTGTGAAACATCAAAATTCCGCTAGAAATCTTGCTATTTCTCTGGAAAACGATTTTCCGGGTGAGAGTGGTCCATCATCGTCAGTGTCACTTGCTGCCTAGGTGTGAAAGGGGATGAACCAGAGCCAATTGCAAGTAGTCTTAGGCTGTTAAGTTTCAAGGATTTATGCTTTTTTTAAGACTTTATCCTTTGATCTTCAATGAAACACTATAGATGAACCAAACAAAGTTTTAGGTGATTCTGATTTCACTGTGCGAGGCAAATGGACCCTAAGAACAGTATTACTTCAAACAAAATATTAATGACAAGAGGGTCTGGTAAGCTGTTAGGTGAGGTCCCCGAACAGATTTTTATTCTCTAAGATGCCCTTTCACGTGAAAACCCATCAGGCTTGAAACATAGACAAACACATGCTCATCCATACTTAGTGCTTAAATTTAATTAATTATAATGGGGTCAGGCTAGAAGGTTTCTCTTTGTGTGAGGGTCTCTCTTTGGGCTGGAGGGTTTCTCTCTCACATCTATGGATGTGAGTTTTTCTCTCTCACACTTTGTGTGAGGGTTTCTATCTTACATCTATGGATGTGAGTTTTCATTTATTTTTCTTTATATTGGTGTTTGTTGGAGAGTTTCTTTGGATAGAATTGAGAGACAACGGTTTTGATCCAGGCCTATGGAGCAGACTTGGGATCTTTGGTTCTATTCATTCTAATCTTCATTTCCCCCTGCTCTTTTTCTTATTTTTGTTGGGCCTTGGTCAAATTTGTGTGTGGTGTGCCTTTGGGGTTTGCCATGGGTATCCATTTGTTTTGTAACGATGTTATTGTTCATGGAAAGCCTTTTTCCGACAATCTTCAAGTTCCCTCCAATGATATTCATGCTCCAACTGTTTCAGTTTGTATAACGACATGGATGGGTGTTTTTTTTGCACATTTTATATCCCTACAGTTACAAGTTACAACTTCTTTTGTGCACTTTTGGCTTTCTGTGGGGCCCATTCCTTGAATGTTTGGAAGGTAGAGTGTTAGGGAGAGTTTTGTAACAGGAGGCGATTTTGGGCCTCTCCCGCTTTCATGTTTTCAATATTGCCATGGATTGGGTGCCATGGTACCTATTTTCTCTATACCCCTTGAGGGTTTTGCGTAGTTGATCCAGACTCATTTGGTAAGGAGACACACTTGTTGGCTTCATCTCTGTTGGAGGAATTTAGCCAACATTTTTTATGTTTTTGTCCCCAGCACGCTTAACATGCTTTTTTTGTTGTATTTTTCATTGATGTTAATTTTTTTCTACTTTATAACCTAAGCATTTATGAATGAACTTGCCTTTACGTGTAAAAAAAAGGGGGGGGGGNTTGGAATACCTAACACTAAACCCCATTATAATTAATTAAACTTAGTACTAGGTATGGGTGAGATTGTGCTTTGTCAATAGGGGTATTCAACAGAAATTGAAAAAACCAATGTTTTAAAAACCAATCCGGAATTGGAACCGCTTTGGCTACCGGTTTTCAAGTTAGTAGTTCAATCATCCAATTTGAAAGAACGACCTATTCCAATTTTAAAAAAAAATTAAATAAAAGCAGCCAAAAACCATTGTTTGGGCCGAACGAATTGACGGTTTGACCGCCTAAGGCAGTAGGTTGTTGACCAAATCAACTGTTTTGGCCAAAGAATGGGTTAAGGGTGAAATGGAACCGGTTGCTTGGATAATTCCTAGGCTAAATGGTCTGACTGTTTAGGTCAACAGTGGTTCAAAAACACTGAAAAATCCAAAAAATTAAACCACAAAAACAAAACCAAAAAATTCAATTAACCAAACCAAAAAAATTCAAGCAACAGTCAGGAAAAAAACTATGAAATCATGGCCTTCAAAGTGGGGCCACAGAAATACATAAACGGCCGTGATTCACAGTTGTAGCCCAAGGCTACACCAACGGGTGTAGTAGATATTTCTCCCACACTAGCCTACTAAATCTCCACTGACTAGGTCTAGCATACAACATCTAAGCCCCTATTTAGAAAAAGAGTATCTAATAAATCCACTTATTCTGATTAAAAAAATAAGAGTAACTAATTAATACAATCATTTTACCACTTATCAAAAAAAAAAAAAATTTAAAGTGACTTGTGGGTGAGATAGTATTAGCTGAACACAATAGATGTTTGGTAGGCTGTGGAATCAATAATAATACTCCACAGTCCACACCAGTTATAAAATACGAGATCGGTTTCAGTCACTGCAAGACCCATTCGAATATGTTTGAACAGTCTTTACAGCCTTGCATCCGAAATATCTCCGTACTTCTATGTTTTATTTTATGGAGAGATATTCCTAATACGAGGCAATGGTGGTTGTTTGAACGGGTTTTGCACTGATTGAATCCCATTTCTTAGTGCAGATTGACCCCTGTATTTTATCACTAGTGTGAGGTACAGATCATGGTTTTTAAAATTGGACCAGACCGGATGATTGGACCGGAAAACCAGGAATCAGTCACTTGACTGGTTCTGTTTTTCCCCAAAACCGCTTTTTCCCCTAAAACCGTTGATTTTGGTCAGCAAACCGTTGAATCGACTGGTTAACCGTTTGAACCGTTCAAACGGTTTTGACCGTTTTTCAAATTTTTTAATTTTTTAAATCTTTTTGTTTTTTTTATCAAAACAGACCGACCATTTGAATCGAACGGTTGGACTGTTCAACCCAATAACCGGACCTCTGACCGGTTCTATCACCGTGTCGATTTAAATAACCATGGTACAGCCTGTTACACAGTTAAGGCGTTCTACTAATCCAATTTTCTTATGGGTGCAGAGATTTGAGCTCCAAAGCCTTTGATTTTAACCATTTGAAAGCATGGTAGGGACCATTAATGGTTTTACCACCATTTCAACCAATGGTAGATTGAGAAATATATCATTTTCACAAGGGTTGGACTTGCTTTAACCAAATTTGCTACACGTTTATGGGAAGCTTTGAAATGGGTGTATATGCCCTATAATTTAACACATAATCAATTGGATTTTAGTGTGGACAAAATCCAATTAATGGAATCCCACTTGGAAAAGTTATGGAGCTTTTGGACTCATTGACGTGTTTGAGAGAATCCTAATAAACAACCAATTTATGAAACTTTTGTGATCTAGCATGAATATGGTAGGACCCTAAAGAAACACCAGAAGACAAAATCGGGAACATTGTTTAGGAGTCCCACTTGACTCTATGGCCAAGAAAATCAAAGGCTTCATAAACTTTGGTTGAGATTCAGGATTTTGTGCTTTAGGACAAAAATGCTTTTTTAAAAGTAATTCTTATCAAATGCTTAAAAACACGTTTTTTTGTTCAAATTTGTTTTCAACAACCCAAAACTCAAAAAGAAAAGTTTATTCGAACGGAGCCTTTTTACAATCATTTTTTGAACGACAAAGAAGGAAATGTAAGCACGTAACAATAGTCCAAACAACTTTGATACTCTTTTAAGTCAGAAAAAGTCGAAGTCATGGTGCCTTCAACGTACACGTTTTGTCTACTCATGCATGCACTAGACCCCTTAGAATTTTGTGGCTCGTCAAGTGTTGAACGTGAATGAAGTTAGGGACGCAGACGGATAAGATTGGATTTGAATTGGTATATATATATTAATGAGGATCATGCGGTGTATGAGTTTTGTTAAATAAAAGTTAAATAATAGAAATATATAAGAGTATATAATTGTTTTATATTTTAATTTTTTAATAATTAATTTAATCGAATTCAATTTGAATTGATCGATTTTCTAGTATTTCTAATTAGCTTTGGCTTAGCAATTTTCCAATCCAACCAAGTTATGTGAGTTTCTATTTGGCCATTTGTAAACCGACTCAATCATAAATACATATTAATATTTTATATTTTAGATTTAATTTTTTAATACAGGAAAGTGAGAAAATTCTCATATTTCTTAATCTAAAATATTTTATATCATGGATTCAAGTTTTATATCTGAATTCAATCTAATCGAAGATCTAATTTGATCCGAAGAACTGATTGGATCTTACAAACGTTGATTTAAATCCAAATCCATTAAGGGTATCAGATATTTGAATTTGATCTGATCCAGTCTACTTTCTGAAAATTTTAATAAAGTATTCAAAGGAAGAAAAAATAACAATTTATATAAAGAAAAACAAAAATACAAGTAATTATTAAGAAGAGTATTTCTAACAAAATAAAAAAACAAAATTTTAATTTTTAACCGCATATATTGTCTAGACCAGATATTAATTTTGTCATCTTGGCCAAAACGTCTATACGTATTACTCTGATGAAAAGCTCCTTAAAAATATCTTTAAACTCTTTTTTAATCATTAAGGATCTGTTTGGATTGATATGTATAATGAGTAGATTTTCTTACGGTAGGTTGACAGAAGTGAGTCAAGTGACCATGTAGGGTTGGTTAGGTGAGTTGAGTCGATTCCATCCTTCCATCAAAATAGTTCCCTCTCAGTCTCCTACGATGAACAAAAAGAATAACAAGGACGAAGTAGAAATGTGAAAGTGGAATTCATTTAACTTCTCTAACTGGTAATTTTGTAGTGAAGTCATCATATTAGAGAATAAAAACGTATCCAGAGACCTCACCTTACCGTTTAACTTTTATCTTGAATAATTCCTTAATGTGGTTTTAGAACCTATTTGACCAATCGGCCTGTTGTTCAATCGTTGCTGTCCCATTATAATTATAAGGTATGGATAGGTATGTGTTTGTCCACACTTCAAACTTAATAAGCTTTTGTATAAAAGGGCATGTTGGCAAATAAAAAACCTATTCAAGGACTTTACCTTAAGGATGCAGGATTGGATCGAATTTGAATTAAAGTATATCCGAATTCGATCCAATAATATAAATATTATATCCTATCCAATCTGATGATCCAATGGGATCTCATAAAGGTCCATTCGAATTTGAATCCATTAAGGATGTTAGATATCTGAATCTGATCGAATCCGATTTTATTTCTATAAAATTTAACAAATTATTAGAAAGAAAAAACATAACAATCTAAATAAAAAAAAAACAAAAATTACAAGCATTTTACAGATGATGAACTGAACGAATACTTGCAATTTAATTTGAAAAAAAAATTAAATTGAGTTTGATTATTGTCCTAATGGCGTTTTTTTTTTAATGGAAGAGGTAGTTGGGCCATGCATATGAATTTGATTATTTGGAGGCTTGTATAACATCACGCAGGTTGTGGCAGACGTTTCTTGTGGTGTTAGTCATCTACTCTGCATGGTCATCTCCTTTTGAGCTAGCTTTCAGAAGAGTGGCAACGGGTTCTTTGCTGCCTGTTGATTTGGTGGTTGATGCCTTTTTCGCCATTGACATCGTCTTGACCTTCTTTGTGGCCTACTTGGATAAGTCAACCTACCTCCTCGTTGACGATCCTAAGAAGATTGCTCTACGGTACTCTTTCGGCTCTCTTTTGTGGCTTATTCCCTCCTACATCTGATGGGTAATGAATGTCTTAATAGAGCGGTCCAACTCTTGCCCAAACTGACTCAGTTGGCATTTTTATATGGATTACTAAATATGTATGTGCATTTGTATGTGACAGTTTTTGAACGGGGTTATATGTGGGTAGTTTTTGAATGGTTATGGACAGCTTCTAAAGTGAGTAAAGGATATATACCCTCTTTATACTAGCTGTATGCTTAGGCAAAAGGAGTAGAAAATGTCTAGTAAAATTTCCAGAAAAAAGGGCATTCACTCTTTTATAAATAGTATAAATTAGGTTTCAAATTTTGGTCATCAGTGAGCATGGGCCCAAAACCCCAAGTTTTCCTTTTCTGGGTTGGGTCCGGGCCTAGCCCTTAGATAGCCCAAGTTCAGCCCAACTACATACATAAAAACATATACTTGTTGATACATTGGCCTAAAAAGCAGCCCGATTAACCAACCTGATCAGTATATCAAATTTTAGTTTGGGTTGGGATTGCATTGGAAGGATCAAGCTTGACCTCAGGCCCGATCCAGGCTCGGGCCTTAGACCCAATGTTTAGGATTGGGCTGGGTTGACCTTAAATACCGCCCAGCCCACTCTACTTGCATCCTTACTGTCATATGACAAAACCACAGGTAAAGAGATAACAACAGATTAATACATATGAGAAGCTACGACACGATATTTGCAGTCTGTGCTGTATCTCAGAGCCCCAGACAGGTTCTACATGAATCTCCTGAGGAAGAAAGGATGAATGCGGATAACAAACTAATATCCTAAACAATGCATTTGCATGGATAGGCTACGTACTGTTTTTTTTTTTTTTTTCGCTTCATGGGGCTACACAACAGAGGGTAACCCATCCCCTTTCCGTTAACCCCACCCCCACCCCCTGGTGGCAGCGGGATTTGCTACGTACTGGTATTAACTGCTAGTTGCTGAACTCCACCCTCGATCATTCTTTGGCTTTAATTTTCTGTTTTCCCTCTTCTTTATTCAGGTATGTGACCAAGCTATGGTTCCCCATGGACGTGGCTTCGACCTTACCATTTCAGGTCATATACCGAATTCTCACCGGAAAAATGCACCAAGGTGATGTTTTTGGTTTCATCAACTTGCTCCGGCTGTGGCGACTCAGGCGTGTTAGCGAACTTTTCACAAGGTATATATAATCCATTTATAACGTTTGGTAGATTACTCGAATGCTGGCTACAGAGTTTTGAATGGAATTTGATTCCTTTCTTTTTTTTTTTCCATTTTACTTGTTTTTCTGCAGACTAGAGAAAGATACACGTTTCAGCTACTTCTGGACAAGATACTGTAAACTCATTGCTGTAAGTTCCTCTTGCTTCTACTTCTCGATACAATAGATTGCAATTGCAGGAAAGAAGAGGAGCTTAATCATTGTTTACGATCAATTGCAGGTGACACTATTTGCAGTGCATTCAGCCGGTTGCTTCTACTACTGGCTGGCCACCCATTACCCAGAAAAAAGTAAGACTTGGATTGGGAGTGCAGTGAATGATTTTGAGCAACGTAGCATTTGGCTGGGCTATACCTACGCCATGTATTGGTCTATCGTCACCCTCACAACTGTTGGCTATGGAGATCTTCACTCAGCAAATAATGGAGAGAAGGTGTTCAATATCTGCTACATGCTCTTCAATATAGGGCTCACTGCATACTTGATTGGAAACATGACCAATCTTATTGTCCATGGCGCTATTCGGACTTTTGCAATGGTAAGTCTTCTCCCTTTTCTTCCATTAGGCTGCGGAGTGTAAATTCCGGTTCAGGGTAAATTTGCACTCTGGTTCACTTTTGCCTGTGTTTGGTAATATTACATTTATGCATTGACAAATGACAGACTAATACACATTTACATTGATAATAAGATGTAAAAGTACATTAATAAAAAAGAAGTAAATTTGCATTCAAGTGGGCTTTTGATAAAAAAAAAAAAGCATATGCTTTATTGAAATTCATGTTTGCATCAATTACAACTAAAAGTTTGTTTGGTAAGAAGATAAATTTGTCAATGCAAAACTAACCTAACTTTACAATTTATATGAACCATTTTACACTCTACATATTTGCATTCACACTTATTTGCATCATTTCCAAACGCAGCCTTAGTGAACAATATCAATTCAAGGTATCAGAAGCATAAAAGGTATTGGGAATGCAATTTTAAGAGATTTATCAAGGTATGTTTTAGGTAAAGTAGAAAAATTAAGATAATATTGATATATGGTAAAGAAACTCAAATAAATTAAAAAAATATGTGAATTACAATGAATGAGAAGCTCTAGTTACTAAAAATAAGCTACAGATACATAAAATAAAAAGGTATATTTGAATGGCTTATGTGAAGTGTGAACTACAGCCTACAGAGATACAGTTAAGAACTTACAAAGGTCAGAAAATATGCATATATAAATAAAACAATGTAAATTTATTTGGTACTTGAAAGAAATCTAATTAGATGACCAATAAATGCACACTACTTTATCAAGTTGCAATGGGAGATTGTCTTTCACATAACCGACTCTAGTAACAATTCAATGGCATTTAATTTTTAATAATGATTTGAATTTGATAGTGGGAAGGAGTTAATTTGAATTAAAATTTAAATATGATGCATGAAGTAAAATTTAAATACTAGAGAATAGGATAGAACTAAATAGTGCAATTTAAGAGAGATTAGCAATATCATACCGATCAATATTTTAAACCTTGAACAGAATATATGCTTGAGCTTGCCAATTGTCATGTGGTTTTAGGATTCAAACCACCTTTAGCTCTACACCTTGTAATCAACGTTTATTGACAAGTGAATACCAGTGAAATTACAATTCATTCTTGACAAAGACAGTTGATGAGAATTTGGATTTCCAATAATTAGCCTTCCGATAAAGGCCATTACCCTTTACCATTGCCTTGGGAGGGGTCTACTGGATATGGTCCTAATTTTTTTTAAGTGGCCATTCTCAAGCTCGAATCTGTGTTCCCAGGTTTGACATACAAGATTTTACCATTACATCAAATAATGACCCTAATACTTAGCCTTCTAATATATAGCATGATATTGTAGCTAAATACATTCATCATCATTCACATTTCAATTATCGTATCTGAATGTATATACCATAAAGAAAGATACAAGGGAAAAAACCAATCTACCAGCTGGTGCTCTAGTCATTCAAGACTCAACTATACGTAAGATTCAAGGGTAAATTATAGATAGGTACTTTGAACTTTAAGGTAGTTTCAAGGGTAAATTATAGATGGGTACTTTGAACTTTGGGGTAGTGATAGATAGGTATTCTGAACTTTCAATTGCAACATTGAGTATCTTAAATTTCCAAAAGTAGACACTTAGGTCCTTCTGTTAGTATTCCATAAGTTAAACAGTATATAATATCAAAACTACCCTTCTCGTGTATTTTCAGACCATTTTGCCTTCCTACCGTATAAACCCCAAATTTGTAAACACTTGTGAAGCTCTGCAGCATGTGGATCTATCTGACGATAAATTTTCTGGCGACATAGGAGTTGGGTTATCGAGCTGTCTACAGCTGAGCTTCTTAAATCTATCTGACAACCAGTTCTTGGGGAAAATCCCATCTTTCCCCAACGGATGTTCACAGTATCTTGTGCTCTCCATTAACGATTTTGAAGGAGAGATACCTTTGCATTTGGCTGATGCTTGTTCAACTCTTATTCAACTTTATCTTTCCTCCAACCACTTGTACGGTATGGCTCCTAATAATATCGGTTCTTGTTGTTCATTAGAAATCATTAATCTCTCCAACAAGTCAGCAACAACTTATCTGGTGAATTCTCAACCGATAAAATGACCACCTTGAAGAATCTTGTTCTGTCTTACGATAATTTTATTGGTGGTTTGCCGAATTCCCCATTGCTTACAAATTTGGAATTGTTTGATATCAGCTCTAGTAATATTTCTGGGCCCATCCCTTTAGGACTGTGTGAAGGTCCCAATAAGAGCTTAAAGGAGCTGTACCTTCAGAACAATCTCTTAACGGGTACTATTCTGGCAGCTCTCAGTAACTGTTCTCAGCTGCTTTCACTTGATCTCAGGTTCAATTACCTCACACGTACAATCCCTTTATGCTTGGGTTCCCTATCTCAGCTTCGTGATCTATTTATGTGGATGAATCAGCTCTATGGTGAGATCCCACCGGAGCTCATGTACATTAAAACGCTTGAAAATCTAATCCTGGATAGTAACGATTTAGCTAGGACTATTCCTTTTTGGTTTAAGCAATTGTACTTCTCTGGATTGGGTCTCCTTGTCGAGCAATCAACTGAGTGGTGAGATCCCATAGCGGATTGGTCAGTTGAGCAATCTAGCAATCAAATTTGGAAGCAAGTCGTTCTCTGGTGCCATTCCTCCAGAGCTGGACTGCAAGAGCTTGTTATGGCTGGATCTCAACAAGAATAAATTGAGTGGGTCCATGTTGGTTGTAGAGAAGAGGTATTTGTATCTCAAGAATGATGGGACCGGTCAGTGCCGTGGAGCTAAAATTCTCCTCGAGTATGCTGGAATCCATCAAGAAGGGCTGAACAGAATCCCCACCTGCCAGTCAATGCAATTTTACCAAAATCTACTTTGGCAACACCCAGTGTACTTTCAACTGAAGGAAAGGGAAAATGATCTGAAAATACAAGAGAATGGTAGTTTTGGCATTATAGAATGTTTAATTGACGGAATACTAATGGATATGGACCTAAGTGTTTATTTTTGAAAGCTCAGGATACTCGAATATTGCAATTGAAGTTCAAGGTACCCATCTGTCACTACCGTCAAAGTTCATGGTACCTATCTGTAATTTACCCAATATTCAAAATATCCATACAACTCATACAGCCAATATGCACAACTTGTGAATCAGGTGTTTCAAAAGGCACACTCTTTTTATTTAGCATACTGGTACCCCAAAGATACAATAGCCTGATACTTTTGAAACTTGACTACATGCAACACCCAAATTCTATATACACCATCAATCAAGGAAAACAAAAAAACAAAAAGCTTTATCTAGAAACACCATCAACTGCTTTCTAGTTTCTTCTTTACTGTAAGAATTCAGTAAGTTCCATTTCGCAAATGACCATATCCATTGAGCCATTAGCCTTACAACAGAGTGCCAGACTGATATCTTAACACCTCCGTTCCGTTGACCATATGCATAACCATATTACTTCCCCAGGGCAAAATATGGAATTATTAACCATCTAGTTCCCTCAATTTTAGATACATCACAATCTCAGTCGCTTGTCAAAGTAAACAGGATACTCTTGAATTTAAAAATTAGACTAATTTCCGCTCTTATACAGAGAGATGCCGTCAATGAAATTTTGAGATATGCAAGCAAGAATCGACTTCCAGAAATCTTGAAAGATCAGATAATGGCACATGTGAAACTTAGGTTCAAAACAGCAGAGCTACAGCAAGAAGAAGTGCTTGAAGACCTTCCAAAGGCAATACGATCTAGCATCGCCCAACATCTCTTCCAGACAGTTGTTGAAAATTCCTACCTTTTCAAAGGAGTCTCTCAAGATTTTATAATTCAGTTGGTAAAATCTCTCTCTCTCTCTCTCTCTCTCTCTCTCTCTCCTGTGCAGTTATTAAGTATGATTAACCTCACCAAGAATTTCATAGCTGAAAAATCAACCACAGAGAAAACCAATATCAGTGCCTCTATCCTCTTTAAACCTACAAACTAGCATTTGCCTACCTGCATTTCACCATTAGGCCACTTGGAAGTTTCTTTTAGGGGAAAACGTCAATGGCCTTAAATCAGAAGATTTTATCAACTCTACTACCATCATTTGCCTTAACCGGATCATAGTTTTATGTAATCTGCAGGCAATTCTCTTCTAGCTTTACCTAGCTCAATGAAGTTCCTTGTTAATCTCCCAAGTTTTCTTCTGGCCTTCTGCATCATAAAGAACCAAGGCAACGAACAACACCATAAAATTTCTTATATTTCTTTCTTCCATGTCTAGAAGGTTAATCCAACTGTTTTTATTTTCATCATCTTCCTTGAGTAATCACAAAACCTTTCCAGTGGCCTGAATCTATTTTATAACTTGTTTATTCATTCTGTCCCGATCACAGCATTTATACCATCTCATATCAGCAATTTCCTAGTATTCTATAATAATAATATCGTAGAAGTTGAAGCATTAATATAAAAAACAATGATTTAGATTGCTAATTTGAACACCTTTACCTCTAATTTTCCCTTTAGCAGTTCACTGAAGCTCTTTTTACAGGTTACTGAGATGAGAGCAGAATATTTTCCACCTAAAGTTGATATTGTTTTACAAAATGAAATTCCCACGGATTTCTACATCATAGTCTCTGGAGCAGTGGTATGATAGCTCCTTTCTCACAAGTTCATTCCAATTCCTTTCTGAGATATCAACTCTAACTGTGCCCAAATTTGCAGGATCTGCTGACCTACAAGAACGGAACAGAACAGGTATTTTAAGCCATTTTGAATGATAGCAAGTACCTTCTTTATGACTAGATTATATTTCCTGGATGCATGAAGTATAAAAAGAACACAATGAAATGGTAGGAAAAAAGTCCTTTCTAACAAAGAGAAAGCAATAGATAAACTTTAAATGGTTTAGAAGAGTTAAATGTTTTACATTATTATATTAAAACTCGTCAACTTCAAGCATAAGAAAATTTAACAGAAAAGAGTGGAATATTGTTGCCGACAAAAATTGCTAATTAAATCAATACTTCCTAATATAGCCCAAGTTCGATGCCAAATGTCCTCCAACAGTAAACCTCTGACATCATAAATAGGTACGAGAAATATTATATGTAAACAAACCTTTTATTCCTATATATGTGCATTTAATGGGAAAGTCAAATTTGACCACTACAGGTCCTTGGGAAAACTTTATAAAAGAATGTTGTGCATAAAAGCCAATGAATGAAAATGTCTTGACACAAGTTTGAAATTTGTATTTTGATTTCATTTTTAAGTTCCCATCATACAAAAAAGTGTTTTAACAGTTGCCCAATTTGAAGACTGACCAGCCATCTCTATAAATTAGGCATTTGAACTTGGAATCAACAGACCAGGTTCAAATTTATTCTCCTGCAATGAAAATGTGCATGGCAATCTAGCCTGACACAAATTTTTAAGATACGGGGTTTTCAATTGGCATCAGATTACATGCACAAAACACTGAATGAATACTGTATTTGTTAACAGAAAAGATTTGCAAATATGCAATATATATTTCTCATTGTATATATTCAATCATTAAGTAGAATTTTCTTGTAGGAGATTCTAGAATTTTACCACATCATTGCTTCATGAATTTCTATCAATTAAGGAAGCAAAGAAAATGATGATCTAAATATGCGATGTGATTGCACTATCAGGCATATGGCATGTTTCCAATTTGCAAAAAGTAAAAGTATTTCAGAATTATATGTTGTGCTCTTGATACCTATCAAATAGGGGCAAGGATATATTTAACCAAGTAAATAAGGAAATAGAATCCATTTATAATAAAATCAGCAAAGGGTATCTACAGGGTGTGAAAGAATCAAAAAACAGAAAAACAAAGTTCGGTGTTATACAAGTCTCTAATGGAAAGAAGAGAGTAACAGTCTAATGATCTAAATCCTATGAGTAAAAGATACTACTCAAATGTGTGATGGCAAGTAAACAAATACGTGTAATAGGATGCTGTAAATATTCATTAAAGATTCTACTCAAATAAATCCATCACGAGCTTCAACTTAAATGATCAATAAAGTGTACAAGCACATAACTTCATGAAACAATGAAAAAGAAAGTAAAACATAAGAGGATTTAATATTGTATCTATTTAGCAGCAGCACATTATCAATGTTCTTGCTCCTCAAGCTAGAACCTAACCTTTATAACAAATAGAGAACTCAGCAGGAGAGTTATCAGAGGAAACACTGTGATAAATCTGAATCAATCTGAGTTCTATTTATGCATTCTTAATGTTTGTAGTTTGTACAAGACACTAGACCCCACAGGCTGTTCACAAGTTTCTTAAGTCATTTTGAATTTTAAGATACGATGAGCTAATTAATAACTAGGAATAGATTCATTTTTTTTGTTTACATATTGTTTACTAAGCTCTTGTGAACTTTTCAGTGTCTGTCACATTTGGGACCTGCAAGCATGGTAGGAGAAATTGGTGTCATTTTCAATATACCACAGCCTTTTACAGTGAGAAGCAAGAGACTTTCTCAGGTCATCAGAACAAGTCATCAGACCTTCAAGCAAATTGTGCAGCCACACATTGAAGATGGAAAAATAATTATATCCAACTTCATTCAGGTTTGGACTCTGTGTGTGTCTGTGCATGTGACAGAGATGGAAAGACTCAATTGAAAGTGGAGAATATCAGTTTCATTACTTTTTCAGCCATAATTTTACCAAAACCAAGGTTCCATCTTTTGCATTTTCAAAAATGATAGAAAAAAGAAGTTTTGCAAATTATTCCATTTAAAAAAGACACTAGAACCACAGGCTGTTTTCACAGCAATCTCCTAGCTCTGCTTGGAATGATCTTCTTGCATAACAAAAACAAAAGAATTCAAACAATGAACTGATAAACAAACATGGTTTTTTCCTACCATCAAAGTAAACCAATACGAGGAAAAGGTCCATTTTCAGTGCTATCAGTTTTCAGTGATATCAAATCCAATGGTCATTTCTTTAGGAAAAAAAATGTGCTTTTGATTTTCAGATCATATAACCTCATATCTGCATTCAATTTATAATACTAACTAATCTTTCTTCAGTACTTGAAGGGACTAGAAGGAGAAATACTTGATGAAATACCATTTATAACAGAGCAGCTGGGAGACTTAAATAACGAGGTTAGTCTTCATCCTGGACTGAACTAGGAAGGAAGCAGTGATGAATGATAAACGTACAAGTTTAAATTTAATATATCAGTCCTCTCAAAAGAAACCAAGGAGGACCAAATCATTAAAGGGGCTGTAGATGATTCTTTTACTGAAAGGGAAAAAGGGTGGCATTTGGTTCTTGGCTGTTGAACACAGAACTCACTGACCATAACATTCACAAATTTGTCATGACCATTCATTTGTCCTAAGACCCAATATTTGTACATTTTGCCTGCTGAGTGCAGCAAGAATTTTAACATGCACATGCATGTATATCAAGTACTAAATTGACACTTAATATAGAATTGGACACATATAAATTGTAAAACTTGTACCTACCACCTAGCAAGTAGGAAATGACAGTGATAAAAGCATGCACATAAAACATAGACAAAGCCATGGGGATATGCCTTGATCAATTATGTTGCACCATGATTGTAATCTACAAAGCCATATATCTCTTATTCACAAGGACAGTGTGAAAGGTTCTCCTATAATATAAGTTATAACATAAAGTGTTACCATGGTCCATAACTTGTAGGAATTTGTGCTTACCAGATAGGTTAGAAGAATCTTCCAAAGCAAACATAAAGATAAAACATATGTGAAGATTTATGGTGTATAGATTAAGAATATCAGTTTCACCATTTTTTAACTTCTGAATATGGGAATTATAGATATGATTAGTGATGGTAATTATTTTTCTTTTGCAGCACACAACATCCGAACAGGAAATAAGAAACCATGAAGCATCAGTTTTAAGTTCTGTTGGAGATGACAACTTAGAAGGTTCTGTCTAATCTTTTATTAATTGCTAAACTTTGTCCATGAATATCTACTTGGACATACACAGTGTATATGTTTCTGTATTTTTGGACATGCTTATGTGTATCGAAACGGGTAGATGTGTCATTATGTTATATATCAAGATATGGCCACATGGCCATTGATTGACATCACAATGCATTTACAGGCATTAACCATAGGAGGTAATTTTCTAGACGAATAAAGAGTACCAATGCAAATAAAGAAACATGATACCACACATTCATCAATTGAAACCTCCACCAATAAGCTTCTCCTTGGACTTGGGACTTTTCCATTTCTTGAAAATCCTAGGTCTCCAAACAATAGCCAAATTGGATTCAGAATGTGGCAACTTTAAATAGGACATAGTTCAGATAGCTGCAATGGTGCATATTACAATAGCTTCAAGCATGCAATAAATATCATCATCATCATCATCCATGCCTTGTCCCAACTATATGGGGTTGACTATATGAATCCTGTTTCACTAATCCATTCTATTTAAAGCCATATCCACTGTTAAACTATTAGTGGTTAAATCATTTTTTACGAATTCTACCCATGTCCTTTTTGGTTTACCCCTAGCCCTTCTAGCCTCTTCAATTTGTAACAAATCACTTCTCCAAGAGTGCAATAAAGATACTAAACTAATTTGGCCTAAACGACAGAAAAGAGAAGAGTAAGGAATACAGGAACTCCATTTCAAAATTTTTCTATGCAGGACATTGTGATTAGTTGAACGGATCTTGATTTATCAAAAATATCATTTTCAGTTACATTTTCTACAGATTTGCTTGCAGCTTGTATGTATATTAACTTATTAAGGCTCCTACTTTTTTCTATTGAATAATGGTGGAAACAAAATTATTTCAGAAGTATATCTCGTAACATACAATTTTTTTGACAATTAAATGGATGTATGTTTGTCTTGCTAAGTTTGCTTAAGCCTTTATTTTTTTGAACAATGTGTACCCATATTTGACAATGACATAAATGCCATTGACTATATAATAGTGGTTCTCATTTTTCATGAGTAAACTTTTCATCTGCAAATAAAAGCTAAAGATTATTTACAAATTCCAGCTACTCTTTTGCAGGGACAGCAACACTTTCTCCCCCATGTTCAAGTAGCTTGCCAATGAGGTTGATAATATATGGTTTTCATCCAGATGAAGCTAATAAGGAAGGAACTAGTAAGATGGGAAAACTCATTCATATGCCTGACTCAATGGAAGAGCTGCTGAGCTTGGCAGGTATTACAAGCTTGGTACCTCCCCTAAGTTTATCAAATAACTCCATATTTTAACATAAAAATTTCCTCAGCAGAAAATTAGGATTTAAACACTTTATTATTAATACAGAAAGAAAATTCAAGAATGAGATCAGCTTATCTAGTGTAGTGACTAATAGCACTAGTCACTAATGTGCTTATAGGAGGAAATAATAAGCTTCAAGTCAACAAAGCCTTATCTTAAGTATATGGTGTTAGCTACATAAATATTAAATACTTCTTTCTCATTCCACTCTATCAAGAGTCTAATCTGTTGTTAAATTATGAGTCCTTAGGAAAATGAAAGGCATATCATAGGAAAAACAATAACCAAAAGACATATGAATTTCCACAACAGACGATCAGATTTAGATTGACATATAAAGTGACTAGTAGCGCTAAACACTGCTATGATTATCAAAGGAAAACCTGTGTTTTCAAACCATTGTTGACCCAGGCTCTCCACGATAAGGTCAGTGAACTTTGTGTGCACCCTACTCTGTCCCCACCCCTTAACCCCCCCGTATTGTGTAATATGCAATACTGGAAAAAAAAAAAAAAACCACCGTCGTTGATCCAGATGGTTAAACCGTTCAATCAATCACCCAGCAGGAAAAACAGTTTGGTTTAATCTTCAACCCATTGAAGAGAAAAAAGAAAAAAAAAAAATGAGGGCTTGGTCAATGAACCATGGACCAAGAAGTTGAACCGCTGAATTATTCAAACCATTCAATGGATGACAGTTCAGCTAGTTGAGAAGGTTTTAGTAGCAAGATAACTGAGTTTAAATCATTCAGGCTTAATTTGGGAGGAGTGCAAATACAAATATGTTCAGTGTAAAACTTTGTATAGGGTATTTATAAACCTTGCATTTGCACTTTTCATATTTGTATTTGTACTTCCCAAACTGATCCTAAAAAGCATTTTAAGAAACATTTTAACTTCAAATAAATATAAAATAAATATCGTAAGGCAAAAAAAAAGGAAAAGGGTTTCCAAGATAAATCACAAATTTTCCATTGTCATTTCTACTTTGCCATTGTCACTTGCACTTTTGATGGACTAATTCACCAGTCACCATTAAACCTAAAGACCGACTCCATCTCTCACCTATTTGTGCATACTAGCAACCCAGTCACCATTAAACCTGAATAATCACCCAATTTGTGGCTACAGTTGCTGCCTCTTGTTGGTTCACCAAATACCACCCTTGCTGCACTACTGTTGCACGCACAGCCTTAGTCACCATCTCCAACAGTCCTGCCATCATTTACTTCAAGAATTTGATGAGGACTGATGCCAGCTCTCCAAACAGGAAACAAAGAGAAAAAATAAACAAGTGGTCATTGGTCTCTCCCATGTAACTGTCACCATTGCTACTATGCTACTGCTGTGCTACCACCATGCTGCTGCTGCACTACTGCTGCCACATTGTCAGCACTTCTGTTGTGGCACTTCTGTTGCTCATCTTCTTCCCCACTCTTATCACTGCTCTCTTATGTATTAGAGAACTTCCTAAGGTTTTGAAAACCTGACGATGTCACAGGTTGAACCATGCAATCAGACAGTCGAACTAATGAACCATCATCCAAGTGGCATTTCTGTTACTCATCTTCTTCCCCACTCTTAGCACTGCTCTCTTATGTATTAGAGAACTTCCTAAGGTTTTGAAAACCTGACGATGTCACAGGTTGAACCATGCAATCAGACAGTCGAACTAATGAACCATCATCCAAACAATGGGTTGGCTACTGGTCCAGGTTTTAGAACACCGAGGAAAATAACATTCAAATATTTGAATCTGATCATTAGAAATTAGAATGATTATATGAATTATGTTTAGTTACAAACATTAACAAAAATCTTCACAAAACACTAAATAGCATGGTTCCCAACTTCCCATCAGTTGCATATTCTAAAGACGTGATAATGTAAGGTCAATGAGTTAGTGAAATGGCCAAATGGAGAAAAAGAAACAAAACCATGGTTGCTAAGTAAAAGGGCTTTAATTTGTCTCAAATGTTTTTGGATGCAGAGAAGAAATGTGGCAAAAGGGGGACTAAAGTTCTCATGGATGATGGCTCAGAAGTAGAAGACTTGCGTGCTTTGAGAGATAATGATCACCTGTACATTTTTTGAAGGGAAAAGGTGCTTTTTAACTAGTATCAGCATGTGTATATATGTGTCTGTGTGTACTCAACAAAGCCTTCTGACAACTATATGCTGTCAGCAACATGAATCCTATTCTGCCATTCTCCTCTGTTCAGTGCCATATCTATTGTTAAATGTGTGTGTGCATGCACACACACACGCGCGCGCGAGTGAGCGAGTGAGCGAGCGAGAGAGAGAGAGAGACTTTTTGTAATAATAGAATAAAATGATACCTGTACATGCTCCCAAGTAACTAAAAGTATCGGAATTTTAAGTTATCATCTATAAAGCATATCTTTTACATTTGAAAAGCAGTGCATTTTAAACTAGCACTAAATAGAAATAGCAAAGCTTACAGCTTTTAGCTGACATCCCTGTTGTTGAGCATATCTAAAACAGTATATGCAGCTCTCTGGAAGTGTTCCTTCTCTTCATCTAATAGTTTCTTCTTCTCATTGGCAGATTCTTTGCACTTCTCTATCTCCTCCACTATCCCAGCAGAGTTTTGATCTATTTCACTGTTAAAAAAATCAAGAGTACATTAAATAATTAGAAAGAGGAAAGCTGTTGTCAAGTATCAATAAATAGTTAAAATAGTAATCCATGACAAAGAAAATGAAAAAGAAAACAACTATGGAAAATGGGTCTTTACTGAAAAACAAACATCTAGAATACCAAGAATAAGCACAAATACAGAGAGAAAGAGTGAGATCGTTCCTGGATGTGGAGAGTAGATGGAAGGGATTTAACCTGTGAAACTATAATTAGAAAAACGAAAGGAATCCTAATTCATTATAGTGAATCTATTGGATTTCAGTGTACTTGTCAAAATAAAGTTCATCTCCCTTTCCATGGGCAATCACTTTTATGAAACACCTGAGTTCCGAAGCCCTATTAGCAAGCAATACACGATTTATGTGTATAGTAATTTTCAGAGGTTAATATTGATAATGCACTTACTTTATCATCTTAAGCATGTTACTCATTGCTTCTTGCACCTGTTGAGAGACATCTGCATTTATCAACAAAAAGTTATTTACAAAGGAAAGGCAACAATTGTATTTATGAGGCAAAAAACCCTTAAATCCAAAACGGAAGAGTAAGCATTATAATAGCGATAAGTAAATCTACATCTCCAACAAGAAGCTGATATCAGACACTCCACCAGCTGTATCATAGTGGAACCATAAAAATAAATGACATAATTCCATCCTAAAGCAATTAGACAGTGAAGAACAGCAGCTATACAAACCTCCAGCAGCTACACATGCATGCACGTATACATACATAAATACACATAAATACATACACGGACTTCACGTAATACATTCATTTGTGTGTGTATTTTATCACCACGCATTGCAATCTTGGATCCTTCACCAACTCTAATGATGATTTGTTGAATGTTGAGTATTTAATCAAAGTTATAAGTTCGTTTTGTCTTCAGTTTTTAGCAGGTAAAATGAGATCAGAACAACCTCTGCCTTTCTTCTTTAAGGTGTAGGAAGACAACTACTTTTGGATAAAACGTACATGATACATATATAGAGACAAACAGAAGATATTTCTGGACATGCTACCATAAGATTGACAAAAATCTCCATGTCACATTTTGGAGGGAAAATTAAGTTTTCTACACATCTGCACCAAAGCCCAAACGTCGAAATTTCCGAAAGAATCTCTAAATCTTCAAGCCTGTTATAACTTTCAGGAGAAATGCTCGATTTCCTGATAAGAAATACTATCTGTAAACATAATTCCGTAAATCTTCCACTCATTTGGGCAAATCCGTGAGTTTCTCAGATCTCAAGTGAGAAGAACCAACTCTAATCTTACACAGGAAGACAAGCAATTCACTCAAATCGAAATTCCTAGAATTTTCAAGCCAAATTACTAAAACCTAAGAAGATAAAACATATTTCGGACGAACTTTCACGGATCATCAATAAATCGATCTGGAAAATGTGTTAACTTGACTGAATCTAAGAGAGAATCCATGAGGTTTATGGAAGATGAACCAGTACCGTAAATGAGATTTGAAAGCTGAAATTCAGATTCTGGAGGAGGAAGAGCTAAGCTTTCTGAGGGAGGCGAAACTGTTATCGCTAAAGATTTCGAAGGTTCCATTTCGAGAACGACAGTGAAATTGAGAGCAGGTGAAGCCGAGTGCAGAGCAGTTTCTCTTTCGTAAATTTATAGGCGCGCATTTGCCAAGTGGATTTCCCGCTACACAAGACGACGCTAACATGGGTAATAATGAGCATTAGTTCAAATCTTCTACGACGGTAGTTGCATCACTCCCCTGCGACCCCAATGAAACACGGGCACGCCAGTCGCCAGCCATGAAAATAAGGAAACGGTTCATGTTATTTTTCCTATTTTCATTGTAGTTGCAAGCAACTTGGATGGGCCCAACCCGAGCCCGGATCAACTGGGCGTCTATTTGGCATCGATGCCGTTGCTTCAGAAAATGGTGATATATCAGCACTACATTGAAAAAAACGGTGCTCTAAGAAATGTTATTTGGAACTATTTTTCTATAAAAAATGGTGCTCTAAGTCATGCCTTGAAAGTCGAGAAGACGTGATTTGGAGTAATGCCAAATTCGATATTTTCTCAGATTGAAATTCATTGCTGCCAATGAGTATATGATGTGACAGTGACGTGAACTTCCTATAATGGGTACCAAAGCTGATGTATAGATTGGAATCAGTGCCAAACATATACCCAATCTAAGGCTACATTTGGTGTTCCTGTTTTTTAAAGGCTTATCTCTTTTTTGCAGTTAAAAACTCAATTTTTATTAAGTGATAAATCCTTCAAATAACGAATGCCAAATTCAGCCTAAAATTTTATACAGGTATGGGTTTGGATTTTCGATCCTTAAATTGGGTTCAGGTTTAAGACTTTGGACATTTTTATTTTTTGAACCGGACCTAGGCTTAGTCCTTAGGTAATCCAAATCCACTCTAACCTTATGCTAACAGGAATTTGGCTTACTATACATATTCATAGTGGATTCATTGATTAAACCAATTACATCAAATTACAATACGAGCTGAACTCGGATTGAGAAGGTCGGGCTTGACCTAGGACTCGAAGGAAGTGGCAATTGGGGATGTGGTGCAATTGGATATGCTTTTTCAATGTCTGCCCAACAATAATAAGTGTTTTATTACGTTTTTGTTCTTTTATCACATAATGCCGTATGCTTGCCTTTGGTTTCATCTCTCTCTGCACCTGCAAATGCACATGTCATTCGAGACCAAATCAGCCTCTTACAAGATTGCCCCCACAACGCCCGACAGTACATCCCCGCCCTGTATTGGGATAATGATATCATTATCGAGAGATGTTTTTAATACACGACAGGAATGTGTTGTGGGACGTTGTGAGGGGCTGATTTGAACTCTAATAATATATAATAAATGATGTCCACGTGGCAAAGTAATTTGACCCACGAGTCACATCACATATGTACTACTGTGGCAAGTTACTTATTTGGATTTTGGGCACAGCCAAACTCATGCAATGTATGTCCATTTGAAGCAAAATGAAAGCAATTTGTATCATGGTTTTCAAAATTAGAGCGGAAAAACCAGGAACCGGTCAATCGATTCCGTTTTCCCTCAAAACCATTGATTTTGGTCAGCGAACCACTGAATCGGGCAGTTAACCGTTCAAACGGTTTTGACCTTTTTTTTTATTTTCTTGTCAGAATGGGCCGAGCATTCAGTTCGAATGGTTGAACCGTTCAACCCGGTAACTGGACCCCTGACCGGTTTGGTCACCGAGTCGTTTTTAAAAACCATGATTGGTATAATGGTATTTATGTGCATATTTGACCTACACAAGGTTTGAGGACTGTTAATCAAATCGATGAAACCAACCAAACTGATCAATCCAATCCGAATTGGTCTGTGTTTTAATATTTCCGGTCATCTTTGTTTCAGTTATTATATTAATTCGTTTGGTTAGGTTGGTTTTGGTTTGATTGTTTGTAAACTGATCAAAGTCAACCTGATCTGATCATAATATAAGAAAGTGGAAAATTTTCCATATTTCCTAGTTTAAAATACTTTATATTATAATTTGTAATTTTAAAATTTAATTTTTAAAATTTGAATTTCTTGAACTGACCAACCAAACTGAAAATTGACCTAAACTGATGCAACCCAAGTTGGCCAATTTTCAATAATAGTTGGTCGGTTTCGGGTGACCAATTCCCCAACCCAATTAGATCAGTTTAGTTGACCAAACAATCTGAAACTGAACCGAACCAACCCATAAACATTTCATATTAAATGCCAATTATGTATGATGCGATTTCTAATACGATTTGGATCATATAATGTACACCCCGTATTGATACCGAGAGGCGAGAGTCACCAAAATTCAAAATATCCAAGTTTAGGAGACTGTTAATAGTCATCCTAATAAGTTCACCTGTAAAATAAATATCAAACTGAAAAAAAAAATAAAAGAAATAAAGAAATATCGACTGCCAACTATTCAGCCATTGCGTTGGTAACGAGATCTACCAATCCATTGAAGGGTTTGAAACTTTGAATTACTAATGAAGGCCAGGAGCCTGATATTGCCGACGAGACAAACAGCCCCACTGATGACTGTGTTGAATAATGTGGGCTTGAGTCACATCGAGTGTATTTGAGTTTCAGATGCGGAGAGGCAGGGGCGGAGCAAGTGGATTGGGGGGAGGGGGGGAACAAATATAGATGGTCATAAGGGGAGCCAATCCATTGGAGTGAGGAATGGGGGAGGGAGAAATTTACATGAAATAGTGGGGATTTTTGGGCCATAGGGGGGATCATGGCTCCCTTGGCTCTGCCCCTGCGAAGAGGAATGGTGGTCACATATTGAGAAGACCGTCTACATCACCCGAGAGAGTACTATAGGGATAGACAAGGAGTCCAGATCTGCTCCTCACACCAACCTCACAATATATCTCAGTTGTACACTGGGAACATATCTTGCACTTGTATATTATTATTCATGGAGAGATGTTCCTAATATACGGTGAGATGTGCCGTGAGGAGCGTTCGAACAAATCCTGATTCATAGAAGAGCTGGAGAAAGATCAAAAAGGACATGAGGTGAAATTGTCATAAATTCTTTGAGGGATCCAAAGTTTAACCATGGATATGACACTGTATTTAACAGGATTTATATAGCTGACTCTATATAACTTGGACAAGGCTTAGATGATGATGATGATGTGGAAAGAGATGGTGGCAACAAGGGCCCATTTTGGTAAAGATGAACTGCACTGACATATACTTGATGGCTTTGTTAGGAGCTATTAGACCAGTATTAATGCTCCATGACAGCCATCAAGTGCATAAATTGCTTCAGGACCCTCTAACTCTAAGGTTATGTTTGGTTTGAAGGAAAAGGTAGGGAAAGGAAGGGAAAAACAGGGAAGTTGCTTCAGGACCCTCTACCTTTCCCTACATTTTCCTTCAAACCAAACATATTCTAAGGCTCTAAAGCTGGTCAATACGATATACCCAATATGTATCATGTCGAAATTTTGATTCTTGACCTTAGTATAGGCTCAAACTTGCAGAAGGTCAAGGTCATGCTCTCCATGTGGCAAATGCCATATGTTCAGAGAGAGAGTGAGAGAGAGAGAGGTGTTTAATGAGAAGATGGTAGGTAAATGTACAGCCTACTTTCTCTTGTATATACTATATACATCTAAAAAATACATGAAAAGATAAATATATCCTTGACGGCTTAATCTACAATAACTAAATCAAAAACCAATTATGAATAAATAGAGCCAAGGGTAGATACCAGAAAAACTTAACCAATCAACCAGTATCAAGTGTTTTTGATTGATCATAAGGTTCAAAATATCTCAATGTATGTTGACCAGTGCATATTCGTTTCCATAGGTAGATTTAAGTGTTTTTAGTTGTTTTAATCATTATTAGTTGATGTCACGTATCCCTCCATAGGTTATGAACTAACGATATCAGAAAGGTAAAAGGAGGGGGTTGTAATTTCAGATTTCTGAGGTGAACTGCAATTTATTTATCCCAAACTTCTTATCTTTCAATTCAAATAATTGTTGCGTAGCAAGAGTTTCCATACAACCTTGATTGGTGACCAACTGGTTGGTGGCTCAACCTAGCTTCGTTTAGCAGACTTGGGGATCAATCCTGTTTCCATCAGGGTTGGGGGGCTAGTGAGATGGCGGATGGCCGGGCTACACCCGTTATATAACTCTTCAGATAAAAAACAAAATAAAAAACACCTTGATTGGTCAAAATTCTTACAAGGTGCCAACTGCTAATTGTTAAGATCTCTAGGTGGTTGCAGCAAAGTCTTGGCCAATGATTAGTTAACGGTCTTCAGTATCATACTTTTCTAGCACCATAGCTTTATCTACCATATAAAGCAGTTACAAAGAGCCTTGGTTTCTATGCATGTCATAAAACTTAAATCCAAATACCATATACCATATAAAGAGTAGCCCACTGCATCTGCATGAAGCTCGTGCTGATATGGGGTCTGAGGGGAACAGATGTACACAGCCTTACCCCGCATATGCAGAGGAGTTGTTTCCAAGATTTGAACCCTGATCACTCAGGTTGCAATGGAGCAACCCAACTGTTGTGCCAATACCCATCCTCATTCCATATCATAAATTCATATACGGTTTAATAAAACTTGCACACTGCCTAGCATTTGCTCTACACTAGTCCTTATATTTATTTATAATGGAAGTAATTCAATACAATTTTCTTTCATATGTTTATTTTTCTATCGTTCATTGCTTTCCTCGATTATTAACATAGTAGGAAGATTTGGTGATTAACTCTATTAGCCGCTAAAAGAACCTTGACATATTTTTCCTTGTATCCTTTTTTTTCTCATCCTCTCCTTGTTTCTCTGCGGATATTGCCTTGCTCATTAGTTAAACTAGCCTGTAATGCTGCACTGAGACTCCCAGACACAGATGTGCCCATAGTATAGAGTTACAGACTATGGAGCATCCCCTATCTTGCATAAAAAACAGCCTCAAATGTTGATGAAACAGTTAAATTATTGGGGGTTGACAAAAAGTTACAAGATCGAAAAGAACAAAGGGGAGAGGCAGAGAGGTGTTTCACCATCCCCATCTCCCAAATACTTGGTGTTGATGGCATGCCGATGTCAATGACAATTTCAGCAATCATTCAATGCAAATTTTCTTCTCTTCTCATTTGCCAGTTTTTTCTTGCACCACTTACGTAACAAGATGTCTCACCCCCACCTCACAATAGCAGAACCCCACGTAAGACCAGCCCCAAAACCTGCAACTGCAATCGTATGACCTGACAGAACCTTTCCGCTTCTAATGGCCTCATCCAATGCCAAGGGAATTGATGCAGCACTAGTGTTACCATAATTTGCCAAATTTGATAAAACTCGTTCTGGTGGGACTCCTAAACGTGTTGCAACTGCATCAATGATCCTTTGGTTTGCCTGCATGAATAAGGTGTTTCTGTTAGATGTTATTGTAGGGATAATGCATATCTATCGTTCAATTGCTCAAATAGATGGGTGCAGGAGAAAGCACTAACATATTGTTGATATTTGGGGCAACGGGCAACTGAATAAGAATGACTCATCTTTGAAGACACATTGCATTGCTCCAATGAAGGGTGGAGGGAGGGAAGTAATACTAACAACCATGTGAATTGGTGGGAGGCAAGCAAGTTATTGTTAATGGGGTGATATATAACAATTCTGATTCTTTATTTTATCTATTTATTTTTTTTGTTTTAATAATCGACAACAGATCATCCATCAAAAAAATAATCAACAGCAGATCAATGAGATTTTAGAAGAGGATAAGAAGACAACGTCCTAAATTTTATGTAAATTGTGAGATCAAACAGTGTAGAAACTGATCAGAAGTATATGTATGTTGAAGCAATTGAAAATACAACTTTTATCCCTTTCCTATTGCTTACTGAAACAGATTGGCCCCTTCCTACCCTTTCCCTGGCCAACCCATCAACAAGGGAATTAGTTGATCTTAAAACCCATCTGAACAAGCTGTTCATTGTGGTTGCAAATTATTGAGCTTCTCTAATTGTTTGTCTAAAGGCCAAGGGACAATCTTCAGAAAAGATTTCCAACCCATCACAGTTAGGAATCACCTTCCAATTGACCCATTCTGGGCTCAAAGAAAAATCAAGCTTAAATCCTTGAAGCAAAGAGATTAGCTCCACTTGTATTGGATTCTCTTGATCAAGTGATCCTCACCACTTCAGGATGAGCCCATCATTAGCTACTCTGTACATTCCACCTACCCAATGACCTATGTTTCCAATGGGGCATCCATCGATACCAAGTTTTATATTACCCCTACTAGGAGCTTCCAATCATATACCAGTTTTATATTACCCCTTTGAATTACCTCCTAGCACAGTTGCAAAGGCCACTTCTAAAACTAAAATCCCATGAAAGACCCAATGAAGAGAAGGAAACTAGAGACTAGAGAGGAAATGGATTCATTTCTCTAAAGAAAAATGAAGTATAGGAAGTTTAGAGCAAAGGAGATTTACCATACCAAAGATCTTCCCAGAACCTTACCCTTGAACCTGACATAGAGATGTACCTGATGCACCTGTCAAACCAAAAGTGAACAGCTTTATAGCTTTCCAATGACTTCTAATTGACTCTATTAGCTGGTCCAAAATCCCAACCATTCGAATGGATGCTGTACTTTCCCTTTATAAACGAATAACAAAAGCTCTGACCCTCAGGAGGAAATTGCTGCAAAAGCTTTTCTAAAAGATACATTTTTCTGTCTTTTAATCTGTGCCCTAGGCCAACCCACCATCTTCATTTCCTTTGCACATTAAATCCCAATTTAAGAGATGGTCTCCTTTGGTGTAGAGGTGAGCATTGTTCAATTACAACAGAAAAAACCGAACCGGAAATCTCGGTTTCGGTTCTTTTGGTTCAGTTATTTTGGTTTTTGGTTAATTCAGTTTGGTTGATTTGGTTTTACAAAATTTTGATTTCAGTTTCGGTTTTTAAGTCAAGTTCGAAAATTCAGTTATCAAAAAACTGAATTAATCAAACTTTATTATTTATATAATAGATATATAAATATTAATATATATATATATATTACATATTATATAGAATATCTATAATATATTAAGCCAATATCTGGTCCATTGATATAAGATAAGAATATAGGTTTCAATGGACCAGGTTTGGGTTGAAACCAATCTAAATCAAAACGAATTTGAACAGATTGGATGGTCCAGACATTGAATTGGACCGGTCCATTTATAATGGACTCACATTGGACTGGATCGGATTGGACCAAATCCAGTCCAATTGACACCCCTAAATACATATATATTATATTATACTATTATAATATTATATATATATATATATTGTATAATATATATTAATATGTTAATGTATATTAATATATTAAACAAATTCAGTTTTAACCGGAATAACCAAAATCCAAACTGAAAATTTTGGTTTTGATTATTTCAATTCCGGTTCAGCTTTTCCATTTCAAACTTCGTTTTTAAAAATTTTGGTTTATTCAGTTTGATTTTTAACTGAATAAACTGATTGCTCACCCACTCCTACTTTGGCGCCTACAGGTTCCCAAAGAAAGTCATTATAATGTTTTCAATTTGTTTATTACTTCACTAGGAATCTAACATGGAGATTACAAGAAGTGGAACTAATTTTTTCTTCCATACTTGAAGCTTCCTGGAAAATCTCTCAACTATTGAATCCCCAGGTTCCCAAACGAAACTTATCTGACTGGACATTAAAAGCATGAAGAGTTACCTTACCTGCCAGATTTGATCAGTTAAGACCACTTCTGATGAAAAGGGAGCCCAATCAGCCCAACTCTTGGACTGATATCAGAAACCTTATATTGTATTAGGTGATAGCTCATCCAAATTTGATGATGTGAAGATATTTCCATTTTGACCAAACTTTTGTTCTACTGCTGACATTGTTGTTGATGATATCTAGCTTCTAATTTTGCAATCTTTTCCTTGGCTTTATAGGATGTTGATATTTAAGTCTAATCTCAACACTCTCTCTTACTGACCCATTCGACCCGGTGACCTGCAAGCCTGAGGCAAAAACGGTTCAGCCTCCGGGTCGGTTTTCAAAACACTGTATAAAATACCTGATGAAGCAGTAACCAGTCAACGTCAGATGCCATGAGACCAGCTTTTTCCAGGGCAGACTCAATTGACTGTGGCACACACCGAACAGTAAAACGGAAGACTTCCTTCCCATTCATTTGAATGTGAGAGTAAGAGGAGCGTCTTGGGGGGAATCCTGCCACTGAACCATTGGAACCCAGTACATGCTCAGTTTCATCATCCTTGACCAAAGCATTTAAGTACCTGCAAAATGATCCAGTTAAGTGATTGTCAGAAATTGAATAGTACAAAGTGAAAAGCAGCAAAAAGAAAAGGAAAAGGAAAAAGAAAATTAATTTGCTTTTTCCAGAGAAGGAAAAGAAATACTTTTGGCCTTCCCCATCACTGTGTAGATCAAAACTAAACAAACCATCTTCACTGCCATCACAGGCCTGCAAAATAATTATCATATCAACATTCAACAGTTCAACATAGAGCAATAACGAATTTTCAAGTTTACAGAATTTCAAGGGGGAATAGATTAACCATTTATGGTCATATTGAAAACAACTACTGTATATGGGCATACAATGACTATAGACCCTGTCGGGGATGGGGAAATTCAAATTTACAGAATTTCAAGTGGGAATAGATTAACCATTTATGGTCATATTGAAAACAACTACTGTATATGGGCATACAATGACTATAGTAGATAAGATGGTGAGAAACATAAATAGAGGAAACCTGGGCAGGAAAGCTATAAGCAAGATCTTTATATAGCTTTTATCTAATTAATAATGGAAATGAAATCCCAAAATTTATAAGTATCTTTGAACATTGCAAACTGAAATCTTGTACAAGGCTTGGGTTGTCTGAATTTGGCAGAATTTCAAAAATGTTGAAAATTCTAAAACCATCCATAACTGAAGCAGGAAATGCTAAACTTTTCAAAAAACCATTTAAGTTTAAAATCTTGGCTGTAAGAACCTCATAACAGAACCTTGCTTTAAATTCAGGAAGAAGATATTCCTGATTCATAAAATTGAAAAAGTTGACACACAAGCAACTTGTGACAATTGTTTGGAAGCAGGTGATGTAGGACAGGATGATAAAATCCTACTAGGGTCAGGGTGTACATGGTAGGTAAAGAAAGAATTCATATTTTATGTAGTAGAAAAAAGGGAAAAGAATAGAGGAGAGACAAAGGAATTAGTCAACAATTTGTAAGAAAGTGTTGGATACCAGGGTCTGCCAAAAGATGTTTAGCATTGGTGTCAGTTTCTGGTAACCTTGGCATCCAGAGTGAACATCTCCTTCTGCTTGGGAGACCTGTACCCTTTTTTCTTTTCAATAAAAACTTTCTCTCTGATAAATTTAGAAAAAGAAAAAAAGAACTGTAAGGCTGTAATGAAAGACATCAGTGCCCTTTAAAATTGGACCACATAATCAATTGAGGTATCCATGAAATCAATGATAATAAGATGCAAGATCCCAAAACCTGTCAATTAAAAGTGAAAAAACTATGATCTACTATGGATGGATAGAAATTGAGAAACCTAATTAAGAATGGAACTCCCATGTAAAAGGCTAACTTGGCATATTTTCTCAAGTTAACAAGACACGAAATTACCAGGAATGAGTATCAACTACCAACATCCCAATGCTAACAGATACAACTAGTGTTACACAAAACATAATGAAAACAACAAGTTTTTAGGAATTCTCCCATTCCATAACTCTGGGTCAATAGATTGTACAAAAGCACCAATATCTACTGGTTGCAACTTGAAAGCTTAACAAAAAGGAGCTAGGTACCTGTACCAATACAGCACCAGCAGCATCCCCAAAGAGAATACAGGTTCCTCTATCCGTCCAATCAACATATCGAGAGAGAGCATCAGCCCCAATCACCAGAACATTTTGAAACCCACCTCCTGCATTTGAATCACCAAACTTTAATTGCATGGACCATGATCAAGAGCTACAAATAATAAAATAGAATGTACCTTTACCAGAGTAAACAAACCAATTACCTCTTATGTGGCAAGCAGCCGAGACAAGACCCAATACAAACCCACTACATGCAGCTGTTATGTCATAGGCCAAAGGATTTCGTTTACATCCTAGTGCTCTTTGAATCTAATATCAAAAGAAGCATCAAAAGGGATCTTTTAGAGTTCTAGCATTAACAAGATATATGTAAAAGAAATTAAGATTGGAACTCAGGCAATAATAATCTTAAGAGTTAACCAGCAAAATCTTTTACTAGCATCAGATGAAAATTTGGAAATCCAGCTGAGTTTCAGTAAATCTAGTACTATAAAATCAAAAGAAGAACCAGTATGGCATGCAATGAATTTGAGGAAAAAACAAAATGCCTAAAGAAATAGAGTGGTGTAGCGAAAATCCCATAAAGGAACAGGAAGAAGAGGAAAAAGAGGTGGCTGACATTTTAAATGTTCAAAATGTACTACTCGGTCTGACTTAGCAGACCAAATGAAAACAAAGAGATGTAGGGGCATTTTCCCAGTGCTTTTGCATAATATATGCTTTCTCAATTCTTTCTTGACAACAAGGTCCAAAGAGAACCCAGATGTGCAAATAATAATGAAAAAACCCTTAAATAGGTGATGGATTCCCACAAATAGTATCATATTAGTGCTCTATCTATAAAACATTGTTGATGAACTCCATGACCTAGCAACAAACCACCAAAAAAAACCCAAATGGTAATGAGTATTTCCTGATCTGGTGAAGCACCTGGAGGTACTTGTCCAAGAATAACAATTTAAGGTTGGTGACCACATTTTTGGTTCCTAGGCAGGCGCCAACTGAAAGACATTAATCAAGTGGCCAAGGAATCAAGCATGGGCAGAGCAAACAAAAGAGATTATAATAGAATAGACTAAAGAAAGAAAATTGGGGAAGGAGAAGGGGAAAATAAGGAACAAAATAGTAAAAAAAACAAATGAGGAAAAAAGAACTGACTTGATTATATGATGATACTCAAATATTTGCATTAGAAAATAATGAAATAAATTGAGGATCGGTGCAATTTACATAAGAGGATTTGGGAAAAGCAAAGATAGAGTTCTGGATTCCTTCTCTTTCTGTCTTGCTCAGTGATAAGATAGGGATGATATGTTAAAGAAGCTCATGATTCAATTGTTCAATGACAGATAATTTTCAAATTGATTAATCAAGCAGCTAAAGATAGAGTCTAGCATCCCCTTTCCTGCATATAGAAGTTTTGCTCTCATAGCATATAGAGCAAAACTTGGGTGCTATTACATGACGATAAAAAATATGGTTCCCACAGGGCAAATACCCTAGCTGACAGAAGACACCCACGAGAAGCAACATTAATGACAATCACAATTAAAATGCAATTAAGTTCATTTAATTTTAGATACTTTCATAAAAGAGATTTGCACCTGAGTTGCACTGCCAAAAAGATCATCTGGAGTAGATGAGCACATCAAAATTAGGTCCACATCATCAGGATCAACTTCAGCCATATTAAGAGCTTTCTTTGCCGCTTCTACAGCCAAGCCTGTTAATCCATCTTCACCTACCAAACACCAAGACACAAGCAAAAGTGTAAAACTAACATACTATATATTTATGTAATTGTTGTGAAGATCTAGCAGAAAACTGATTTGTAAACACCAAGGAAATATTTAGTTCGTTTGATTGTTAGGAAATGTTTAGTTCATAAATAAGATAATGAGGTGTGGTGGTCTCCTCCTTAGATTTACAGCAACAAAGGCTGTCCTCCTCGAACCAAACCTATTTGACTGGTAGTTTATTACTAAGACTGATATAGTATGTTAAGGCACTACCATCTAAATGTGGCTTCTATGAATTGAGACAGAAAATTCTGATGCAATGTTTTTTATTTTTACACAGAATTACAACCCTTACTGTGGGATCATGATATATTCAATCAATCACCAAACTCAACAATTTAAAAAGCTTCCCAATTGACCAGTTCCAAACCATGAAGAATAGCATCCACTGTCCACCTAAGGCTGATGTCACCATGAACCTAAGATAAACTCCATTACCAAGCACAGAAGAGAAAACATTCCATGTATGGAAGGGATATTCAGCACCACCATCAGATGGGTTCACTCTTACACATTTACAATGAATATCAATTGATCCAAAACCCAAACCATACTTTTTGAATGTTAGTGTCAGAAATGAAAGGCTGAAAATCCAGAAGATGGTGGGGGGAGGGGGGATGGAAGGAGGGAGGAGAGATTGTATTACTGTAAAAGGGATACGAAGTATGGTTTCATATTGGAATTTGACCTACATATTATTCTTGGTTAAGAATCATCTATGGCATCTTTATCCCCCTCCCCCCCCCTGGGTACAAGCATCCACCACCACCAACAGTTAGCATGTACTTCCTATATTTCTGGATGTACTTCATATTACCTTACTAACATGCAACTTGAGGAGGAGGTTACCTGAAAGAACACGTCGATTACAAATGCCTGTGCGAACAGATATCCACTCATCAGAAGTTTCAACAATTTTTGCAAGATCATCATTGGAAATCATAAGATTTGGCACAGCTGAGCCACATCCAACCAACTTGCATCCTTTATTTATAAACCTGTGCAAAGTACTTGTCAATCAAGAGAACAAAAAAGTAAACCTCAAATTTTCCTGAAGTGCCTTTCAGCACCCTCACAAGGACTTCGGACTTCCAATTCTTTTAATCATCTTAGTCAATTCTAGTTTAATAAATTGCCCCATAGCCTGAGTGACTTATTAGGCCCAGCTAACATCTGAGCCACATCCAACCAACTTGCATCCTTTATTTGTAAATCTGTGCAAAGCACATGCCAATTACAAGAACAAAAAAGTAGAGCTCAAATTTGCCTATAGTGCCTTTTGGGACCTCACAAGGAATTCCAATTCTTTTAATCAACTAATTTAGTTGATTCCAATTTAATGATTGCCCCATAGCCTGAGTGACTTATTAGGCCCTAGCTAACCATTATCTCCATTTGTGAAGCATGGATTTCAGAAGATCTACCAAGAGGGGAAAATTTGAAGTTGATAATCAAGATCAATCACCACAGTATGACAGATTTATTTTTTTCAAGAAATTGGAACTATGGAGACATGGTCATTTTGCTATTGTCTTCTCTTCAAATTACCCTTCACCATGTTATGTTGGGTGCTCACACCTTAACATGAAGTTGTTGTATTTTTCAAGTACAGTTTTCAATGGAATAACAAATAAATCAAATAGTAGTATTTGTTGTACAATGATGATAATACACTCAAAGTAGAGCAATGCAAACATAGAATGAATGTAAGAACTAAGATTTGGGGTTAACATAGAAATCAAACTTTATCATCAGTAACTGACAAAAGTGATAAAGGATGAAACTATTTTTAGTTTCCATCTTATAGTTATTTCCTGTTTTTAGAAAAATGTAGAACATATAAAAGTCGACCTGGTTAAGTTAGCTAGCATAAAGAGCTAAACATCATAAGATGCATCTAAGGTAGCTCATTCAAAATTCAAACAACCAAATTTACAAATGATTTGCAAGATCTTATGGAGAACACTGAACTGTTTTATGTTCTCATGTTCATTCACTAGGTACAAACCCCAATAGTTTGTCAAAACACATGGGAGTATCTGCAAAGAATTTGCATAAAAAATTCCTCACACTTCAAATGCTGAACAGCACTCCCATCAAAATATATACAAATGAAATTCCATTAACAAGCAAGCAACATAAGCGGTTTCAGATTCAAAACAAGCTGAAATTCCATTAACAAAAATAACCTTCAAACAGAGTCCCTTCAAAGCAAGTATTTTACGATATCCAGTCAGTTAAACAACCGAACAGTAAATATTAATCAGTACTTCTCTGCTTGAAGCCGTATGGCATCTATGATTCATAGGAAGGGAAAACATTTAGGATACCCAAAGTTACTAATCTAGTTAAAATTCCTAAACCAATTTAACTACTTCAAAAAAAACAGAAAATGCACCTGGGAATCCGTGATTCAGAAGGGGAAACTGCAGAAGAAACGCCTTCAACAGCGCTGCAGCTAACTACCCTCTTGGTAATTCTCACAAATTGGCAGAACCCAGATCTCGAAACACCAAAAGAAGGGATATTTCTCAGTCTAACACTTGGAACAGAAGAAGAAACGAAACCCGATGCATTCGCCATTTAAAGCAAGCACGCAGATACAACAAGAACTCAGAGAGAACAGAGGGAGAAAAATCAGTATAAGCAGAATAAAGAGCTCAAGATCTCCAGCTTGCGGTTGAAATGATAATAATGTATTAATGTCAAGTGAAAATGAAGAAGCAAATACGAGAAGAGAAACAGCAAGGAACGAGCAATAGAGAGACACAGTGGAGACTATTCCAAATCTTCAGAGGGTCCGAAGAAGATGGGCAATAATTCAAACCCAAAGAGAGAAAACTCCAATGCATTGGATTAAAAGACTTTAATAGTACTCCTCTGACTCCTGAGCCATCAAGCCTGTTGGTGAGCAGAGGGGATTCACATTCACCCCAAGAAAAGGCTAGTTATGAAGGTTTAGATAGATTGGTAACCAGCTGCCTCTCCCTGAAACCATCGGATCTGCCAAAGAAGATCCGAGCTTAGATTGGCGTTAATGCTCTGTCTCTCTGAAACTCTCAAGTCTCAGCGTGTTGTAAAATGGAAAGTTTGGGCGATTTCAGAAACGGAAAGGGGACCGGTGGCGTGGCTAGCCAGTCAGTTTCAGTTATATAAACAAAACTCCCATTTTTCACCAACTTGTCCAAATTTTCATGGTTTAGTTAGGTTTATGCAGGAACAAGCAAGCACAAAAGATCCTGTTTTGCCTTGTTCAAGGCACAGTTCAACCATAAAAGCGTGGAAGATGATGGTAGGTAACAGAAAAGGGACTGAAGTAAAGCGAGGGGATAAGTTTCAAGCCATGAAAAGGAAATCGATTACCAGAAAGGAAAAAGAAAACAAAATCACATCACACGACGAGAACTGCTGTGGCTAGCATGTTTCTTTGTCGCAGGGGATGTTAGCTTTCCTAATAGCCAGCTCAGTTTCACATGCTCAATTCAATGTACTAAATGTAATAAATGGCGTTCTCCTTCGTAAGTGAACGGATATGATTGGAATTTAGATTTACATCAATGTTTTAAAAATCGATGCGGAATCGGAATCGCTTAATTCGCTTTGATCACCGGTTTCGACGTCAGCGGTTCGACCGTCCGCTTCGTAAGGTAGTTTGGTCAAAGAGTGAAACGGAATCGATTGTCTGAACGGTCCTAAACCAAATGATCCAACCAATCGGATTAACAATGGTTCAAAAATACTGATTTACATAACAATAAGAATGAGTGATCGTTTCTAGCTCCGTGGCCCAACCTTAATCTCAATGTATAAATAAACTCTTCTGCAGTTTCTATTAGTAGTGAATGATGTTCTGTTTTACCGAAAAAACTAAATTATATATATATATATCATTTTATTTTATAGTATAGTTGATATAAATATCATTGTATTTTTTAAAATATTAAAACTTTCAATAATCTTTGAGTCTAATATCTAATTATCTATAAAATTATAAAAAATGAAAAACAAAATAAAAAAAAGAAGATATTGGTTATATTGATAAGCATGGACATATCCATATTTTAGTCGTTGTGATGTACTTAGGGGAACAGTGATACATGCCATATCATTACATCAGTTAAACATATAAAATTCTATTGAAAAAGTTAATTATATAAAATATTTCCACATGACTGTCAGATGTTTATACATTTTTAAAAGTAAAGTCTAAACTATTCCTATGTATATAAAATCTATAATAGTAGAAAGACATGATATTGGAAATTGGAATAGCGTTGATCAATCACAACACCCTGTAAATGCAAATTTTGATGAATTTAGCTAGCTGTAAATTTTTCAAGGTATCATAGTCGAACCCCCTTTTTATAATAACACTGGAGACAACGACAATTGCCCCTCTAAATAAACAAAGGCTGCATTTGGAAGCAATTTAAATCAAGAACCTATGTAAATTTTATATTAGTTCGGTTTTGTAGGCGTTTGGAAGGAGTGTAATTATGATCGGTGTAAAACTCCACTCCAATTCAGTTTTGTATGTGTTTGGATGGAGTGGAGTTTTACGTCGATAACCGATGTAAAACCTCATCAAGCATAAAGCTTTACATTGACAATCGATGTAAAAACTACAATTTTATTGATGTAAAACTTTACACTCTTCCACTCATCACGTTTTTCAAAAAACAACGGTCACTTTTACGGTTCAGTATAAAACGTTATCAGTATATTTTTACACGGATGATGTTTTACACTGATTCCAAACGCAGCCAAAGTGTAAAGTCTTTTACTTAATGCTGGCTTTTCTTTTTCTTTTTTAATGTATTGAGTATATAGAAACCTTGAAGCTTGAACCTTTAAAAAAACACCAACTCTCACATGTTTCTCTCAACAAAGGCTAGCCTTTGTTAATATAATTTTGTTTTACCTATCGAAAACAAAAGAAAAATAAAAACAAAGGCTAGTAAATTCATCTTCAACGGCTCAACGCCTCCAATGAACAGTTGATCTTCAAATACTACCCTTTACATTGGGTATTTTCATAACTTTTAGTCGTTGTTAGCCCATATGATATTGAAGGGCTAATTTAGTAATTTTGCTTTCCCCACTAACCCATGGAGGGGTTCTTTTAATCTTTCAATACCCCCCAAGTACAGATACCCAGGGAAAATCTATGATACGGAAAAGGCTTTCACCAATCAAAACCTTACGTGAATTTTGATGAAATCCGACCTGATTGGTTACCACCTTTATGATGCTGATTAATTGGTTACAAGTTTTTCCGGTATGTCTTTACAGCATCATAGTCGAACCCATAAATAAAATATGTCATACAAAATATCACATGCGCACGCTTTTATCAAGTTGACAATCTATTTCAAAGGACCAGATATACAACCACCAAAATGAGATCCAAGGGAAACTTAGTAACAATAACCCCACCCGGAAACAGTTGTCGGAGATAAAAACTTGAAAATTGATTCAACATTTGTTTCCTATTCTTCATTACAATTTTACAGTGCATATTTACATCATGTAATGCCAATCACAAGCAATATAAGCTTTTCAACTCATGCCACAAGCAAAGCAAAGTATCAAACACATCATCATCAGCTAAACTACAGTGTCCAGCCCTTGCAACAGCCAACAGGGTTTTCAGCCATTCTTCATGGAGACTGGAAAATTCTGATCTACATTCACTTGACTTGAAACTCTGGCCAATTGACTGTTTCATTGCCTGGCTAGCCTTTGATGCAACTGCAACCACCTCTCTTGGGATGCCAGCCATGAGTGCTACTTGCAGTCCATAACTCTCTGGACATGCACCTGATGTGAGCCGGTAAAGAAAAACCAGTTCCTCGTCGTCTTTAGAGCTACATGATTTTGACTTAAAACTGCAGGCCATATGTTGCAGTGACACACGAGGATGGGAAGCAAATTCCTTTGTGAGAGGGTGATAATGAGTGGCAAACAGTAAACGGCAGTGAACCTTTTCAATGAGATGACGGAATACCTGGACAAATATCCAGAGGTTACAGATTAGAATGTTAAGTATAGAAAGGTCACTTGGATAAAATAGTTTTCCAGGAACCAGAACATGATTGATCTTTGTGCAAATGGATGACTATGTCCATGTTCGTTTGTAAATTATAAGCACCAATTACATAGTTTCCTTTGGATTTTACAATTACAATTTATTCTGTCATATAAAAGGCATTCTAAACGTTTATGAAGCCCTTAAAGTGGGAAGGAGGGGAAAAACTACTATGAAGAATATTAACAAGCAGGTTACAACTTAAGTATTTCTGTCGGTATATGCTAATAGAAGTTGGTGAAATAATATAATTTTTCTAAAATGACCCTACTTTTGGTAAGAAGAAATGACCAAATTTGGGGTAGAACTCTAGGAAACAAAAAATCCTTGAGGTTTGGTTGCCCCCAATTGGTAGTTGGATGAAATTGAACTTTGATGGTAGCAGTTTGGACAACCCTGGGAATTAGGAAGGGGTGATAGGGGATGAGGGTGGTAATATATGTGCTTTGTTTTTGGCAACAGTTTTTGGGGTACAGAAAGCTAAATAAATGGGAATTGTAAGATTGGTTATTGAAGGGAACTTGAAGATAGTAGTAGGGTGGCAGAAAAAAGGTGAGGAGTGGTTTGGCAACTTGAAATGAGATTAGATGTTTCAAGTGGCTCTCAAAAGACATGAACATTCAAATAGATGGGTTAGGAGATCTTCTGATAGCGTGGCGGATGGTTTAACTTAGTAAAGTGTTCACAAACAACAAATGTATTGGGCTCAATTGTAATAGGGCGGTGGGTCTGTATGTTTGTAATGGGCTGCTTCATACTTTTAATTTGTAATGTTTTTTATCTCAAGAAATAAATGAATGAATGATTTTGTGTTGCTGATCAAAACCAAAAAAAAAAGACCAAAGTTAGATCTTGTAAGGCTAGTGCCCCGTACTGATGAAAGTGTTCATGTGGAATGCATTCACATTTTTGAGAGAAGGGTCAGCATTTTGCAAGTGTTCTATAACAGATTTTGTAGGCAAAAAATGGATTTAGACCAACACCTACATTCTTATTCCATAAAATGGTAAAGCGCATGGTCAAAAAGCACATGAGAAGGCCTCCTGATTATCATTATAAGTTATAACTGAGCCAAGTTTATTTATGGACAAGGAACACTGCATCTTAAAATATTATCTGTGTGATGCCATCAATAGGTCCTAACAGACACATTAGAACACATCCAACTAAACTATCTTAAAAGGTTTGCTATCATTCTTTTCTGCATGCATGCAGGGAGGAGGTCAGTGGCCAGACAGCCATTTCAATTATCTCCACATAGATTTAAACCTTTTTTTCAGCAAAACTGGAAACAGATGACTTTTACACAACAACCAAGAACAAGCAATTACATCCTTGTAGAAAGAAAGTAAAAATCTGAGGTAACGCTAAGAGTTGATATGGAAGTACTAGTAAGAGATGGAGTACTCACAGCATATGCAATGGCATATCCATCAAAAGTGCTTGTTCCCCTACCAAGTTCATCAAGAAGGACCAGAGACTCTTGAGTGGCATGTTGAAGAACTGATGCTGTTTCCATGCATTCGATAAGAAAGGTACCTACAAAAAAATCCGGAAAACAAATATTAGGATGTTCTATGGTTAGATGCAAAAAAATGGGGGGTCCTTCCTAGAGACAAGTACAACACATATAATTGGCATTGCAGATGGAATAGGAATTCTTATAGGCCAAATGTCAACCTGCAATCTATTTAACTCCTTTCTAATTTGGATATTCAATGAAAAGATCATTTCAGAAAAAGGATAACCTTGAGCATTAACTACTTTTTAGCTTTTTTAACACATAAAATCTTGTAAATTAAATTAATGCATGCATGCATGTGCATTGGATACCATTGGTACATTGCCCTCAAACTGCCAAGCAGGTCATGTAGATTTCTGTAATACCAAAGAAGGGTAAATTTATAATTTCAGCATACCACCACCCTTTCTCTTAAGGTAGATTGGTAGAAAAGGTAGTTGAAATATGGAGCTTACAAGAATAGACACTATGAAATCAATATGCTAGTCTTGTTTACAGCTGACTGATATGTATACATGTAATAATCCACAAAACACAAATGTAGGCATTAAAATGAAATTTAAAGATGTTTATTTATTAAAAAGAACTTACTCTCGCCTGTCATGATTCGGTCAGTTGCACCAAGCCGCGTGAATATAATATCTGCAGGTGACATAACACACATCTCACAAGGCACATAGCAACCCAGCTGCAACCCAAAGAAGAAGAATTGTTTAACAAAATACCCTGATGCTTCAAATTGTATGTTCATTAACAAAGGTTCAGGTTAGGCTTTTACCAACGGAAACCAGCATTAGCCTACCCTACACAGTAACTTTCTTTTTATTTTCTTTTTTAACAAAAAAAACATCATTTTGCATCAGTAATCTTTGGCAGAGTTCATGTAAGGATCAGGTTGACATCTCTAGCCATCACGAATCTAAACTCTGCAGGATTCCACATGGTTAAACATACCTGAGCCAATATAACCGCTAGACATGTAGCACGCAGAAGAGTTGACTTTCCACCCATATTTGGTCCAGTCAACAGCAAAGCCTGGGGACAGTAGCCATTTGTGTCCTCACCAAGATGTACATCATTGGGGACAAGTGTGGCCCCACTTTCTCCAAGCGCATATGGATGCCAAAGGCCTCTGATCTTAAGTACAGGTGCTCCAATATCCCGGCAAGCAGTCACAGATCTAGAATTAGCAGGCAAGACAACAGGTCTACACATAGACCCACATGAAGAATTTGCAGCAACAGCAAAGGATTGTAGCACATCGATGCAATTCAAGGCATGGATGACTTGAGACCACTCAGTATCTTTTTCAATAAATAACTCAACCAGAAGAGATAATGTTTCGGCATCTGACTCTGTCACATCATGATCCTGGTAATATGTACAAGATCAATAAATGTCTAATATGTATTTCTTCTTTCTTTTTTCATTGGCAATAGAAAAGGCCTACAGAAATATAAACAAGACAAAACAAGAAAAAAAAGTACTAGCAAGCAAGACCCCTGTATAAATGGACTGAATATTTATGTGAAAACGTGCATAACGGATAATGTAAAATGATGTCATTTGAAATTTAATCTTTGGATAAATTCATTAAAGAAAGCATAACAAATAAGTATCAAGTAACTCTTAGAGCAATTTTTATTTCCTGGTCACCAATCAGAATGGAAAATTCAGTTGTCTTGAACACACTTTGGCTTGGTAATTTTTGTCACTAAAAACATAGAATCTTTAAGAAATCGATTTAAGGGCTTAGCAGGGTTTTCCTTGAGAGATCAACATCACTGAACGGTAATTAATAATAAACAACAGAACATTGTAGCTAGGGAAGTAGGAGGTTGGGTTAAGAGGTAAACCTGCTTTGACTGGGTTAGCCTTGGTCAGGTTCGGGTTGAGGCTGACTCATGTCAAACCCATTCCATTGGCATAGTGACATTGAAAGCTCTTTGGTATAACCTTCACTAAGAATGCCGGCACCATTCATAGGACAGGGCGGGGCAGTGCAGGTACATTAAGTCCCATTCCAATAGGTTGGGTTGGGTAAGGATTGAGGTGACTTTGGATTGGGTTGGGTTGAGCCGAGATTAGTAGCAAGGGAGAAAAGGACTCTAATGGAGTTCATCTTGGCAACGGGTGCAAAAGTATCTGCATAATCAACTTCATACACTTGTGTAAACCCCTTTTCCACTAAACGAGCTTTATACCACTCCACCGTGCCATTAGCCCTATGTTTGACCATGAACACCCATTTACATCCAACTGGATCATTTCCCTTAGGAAGATCTACTAGTTCCCATGTGCCATTTTTATGTAGAGCATTAATTTCTTCCTTCATAGCATCTGTCCATTCAGGCACTGAAAGAGCTTATGCCACATTCTTAGGGATAAGAACACTGTCAATGGAAGTGAGAAAGGCCCAAAAAGAGGGTGAAATGTTTTCATAGGAAACAAAGTGGGAAATGGGGTGTTTAGTGGATCTAACACCTTTCTTGCGAGCAATAGGAAGGCCAAGGTCATTAGCAACAGAGGTATCAATAGCAATAGGGTCAGTGACATCGATAGGAACCAAGATACCTGAGTGAGTATGATCCGCCCCCAAAGTGTTTGATGGCATTAGAGGTACAGCTTCTAGGTTCTCCACAGCTCTTGAACTTGGTTGGCCTTTGTGATGACAAAAGAAGACACAAAAAGAAGGATCAGGAAGAGGAGGAGCTAAACCAGTTTCTCCTCATTCCTACACTCCCCCTAAGGAGAAATAGGGAAAAAGGGCTCACTCTCAAAGAAAGAAATGTCCATGGAAACATAAAACTTCTGAGAAACAGGATGAAAACAACGATATCCCTTATGAGTGAAAGAATACCCCAAGAATATGCAAGGAATAGCACAAGGGTCTAATTTTCCACAAGTGGGTGACAGATTTTGGACAAAACAACAACAACCAAACACACAAGAAGGAATGGAAAGAATGGGAGTCTTAGGAAAAAGAAGCTGATGTGGGGCTTTGCACTCTAACCAACGAGAGGGCATACGGTTGATGAGATAGGTAGCACAAAGGACAACCTCAAGCCAAAATCGTTTCGAAGCATTCATATGGATTAGTAAACCCTAGGCCACTTCAAGCAGGTGTCGGTTCTTTCTTTCGGCAACACCATTTTGTTGTGGTGTTCGAGCACAAGAACTACGGTGAAGTGAACCACATGAAGCAAAAAAATCTATGAGATCACTATGAAAATACTCTTTGGCATTAGTTGATTGAAATATTTGGATTTCAATTTGAAATTGGGTGAAGATCATCCATTGGAAATCTTGGATAATTTTTGGTACTTCATCCCTGGTCCGCATGGGATATACCCATGTATATCTAGAATAATCATCGATAATGGTAATAAAATACTTGTAGCCACTCTCAAATGGTAAAGTAACAGGGCCCCACACATCAAAATGAACAATGTGGAAAGGAAATTCAGATTTATTATTCTTTGAAGGAAAATGATTTCTACACTGCTTACTCAATTGACAAGTTTGACAAGAAAAATCTGAAACTGACATCGACTTAAACAACTCTGGAAACACCACTTTTAAAGACTCAAAAGATAAATGACCAAGGCGACAATGCCATAAATAGACCTAACTCTTACAAGACTGACTCTTAGACTCTCTAACTTGAAAACCAGCCTTATTCTCCAGCATGTAAAGTCCATCCACCAATTGTCTTCCCCGAGGCCAGATCTTGGATCACACAATAAGAAGAGAAAAAGGTTACTGAGCAGTTTAAGGAAGTAGTAATACTACTAACAGAGAACAAATTAATGGAAAATTTCAAGACATGTAAAACATCAGAGAGGGTAAGGCCAAAAGGAAGAGAAATGGTTCCTTGACCAACTATGGTAGTGTAAAATCCATCAGCTAGTCTCACCTTATCTCTTCCAGAAAGGAAGTGATAGGTTTGAAAGTAAGAGGACGTATCAGTCATGTGTTTAAATGCTCCAGAATCAATGATCCAAGGAGTGTTAGGGTATGAGATGCAATATGGAAAGTTGTGGCAGAATTACCTGATGTAGACGCAAATGAAGTTGAGGGAGGAGCATCCATCTGACGAATTGCTCTACCATAGAACTCCAAATGGTCACGAAAGGAATTAATAATATCCTCCTTTGGGTCAGATCCAAAGACGTGAGTCGGGGTCACAGTAGTAATGGGGGGCTGATTTTCATGAGAGGCCATGTTTGCCACAATGTTCTTTCTTGTACTTTGTTGTCCTAACTTTTTGTTCAGATCTGAACCTTGCTTCTTATTTAAATCTTGAGCCCATTTCGGCTTCCCACGAAGATCCCAACATGTATCTCAAGTGTGTCAGGGTTTCTAGCAATGAGTACACCACAATTTGTCTTTGTCATCCGCCCTTTTTTGAGAGTCCCCCTTCTTAAAGGTATTCCCACCACCTGTAATCACACTTCCTTTTGTTGCCAACCCAATTGCATCCCCTCCAGAACTGTTCATCAAGTTCCTCCTACTTTCTTCTGATTGTACAAGAGCATAAACTTCCTGGACAAAGGGAAGATCCTTGCTACCTAGGATCTAAACTCTGATAGATTCATATGCAGGATTCAAGCCATGTAGAAAAGCAAACACTCTCTATTGAGATACAAGTTTCTTGTATAATTTTGCATCTTCATCACACTTCCAGTCCACACTCTAATAATGATCTAACTCCTTCCAAACAGAGGTCAAGTCTGAGTAGTACATAAAAAGACACCTCTCCCCCTGTTTACAAGTGGACGAATCTACCTATAACTAATAAATCTTTGCATAGTGACACAGCTCAGAATAGGTTGATTTTGCCCGTTCCCAGATTTCATTTGCCATTTCAGCCCACATAAAGTTCCTTCTTATTTGGGGTTGCATAGACACTAAAAGCCAAGACATGACCATGTTGTTTTCTTAATTCCATCTGTCATATTCAACACTCCCAGAATTGGGTTCTTTGATTCTCCCATTTATATTACCTATCTTTCCCCTTGCAGTAATGTACAACTTGATCTCTCTTGACCATTCCAAATAATTTAAACCGTCGAGAGGAATAACAGCCATTGGAAAGGATAGGTCTGCACCCCCACTCATTCCATTCTGCATTGAGGAAACACCGGACGTACCAGAATATTCACCGCTCATGGTTACAGATTCAAAAAAGACTCTTAAGAGTGAGGCAAAACCTTTAAAAAAAGGCTAACACCAAGGGAGAAAGGGAGCCCCCCCCCTTTTTTTCTTCAGAAACACAACCCCTTTTTGATAACACCAGGTGCTGTTACCCCCCTTTTTTTGAAAAACACAGGTGCTGTTACAGCACTAACAGGCCCCTTTTTGATAAACATCAGTGCTGTTACAGGGCAGACAGGTCAATTCTTGATCTACGCATCAAACATGGATGCTGCTACAGCAAGTACAGGTCACCTTGACCTTCAGGTTCAGCATAAAAGCTGCTATCGCAACACATAAAAGTCTTCACCAACCTACATAATTTTTCAGGGGTCAGTCGACCCCACAATAAAGGAAAGACAGAGGTGCTGGTCACCTCACATCCAACCAGCAGACCTAACAAGTTCTGCCCTGGCGCACAACCAGAAAAAAAGAGGGAAGGAGAGAGATTACTTCAGGCGTGAGAACTGTAGATGATGGCGGCAGATCTTCAATCACTCGAACTGTAGATGGTGGCGGCAGATCTGGAAGTCTGGTGCAATCTCTCCTTTTCAGATCTAATGGTCCCACTCTGATACCATGTTATCAGTGCAGTGATGTAGGAGAAAAGAAGAGAGGAAGAAAGAAGAGAGAGAGAGAGAGAGAAGAAGAGACGAGAAAGATTTGAGAGCAACTAAAAAAATAAAAGGGTAAAAATACAATAGTAACCCTGCGGTACTATACTTAGGAAAATAACAGCTTTCAACAACTCGTAATCAGTTAGAATCCCTCCCTCTATTATTAGTATAAAATTGTAGCCTTCTTTTAGTTGTTAATATTTTTTGACATCCAATTTCTCTATTGAACATTTATTGGTAAGGAGCATAGCTATTTTCCAATTCATGTGAATGCTAATTGATTTATGAAACTAGGGAATTAATACAGAATTTAGGCTTTCTATTTATCAAATTCTATAGCTTAGCTGCCTAGGCACTCAACTTTTGCCTGGAATCACCTATGTGTCTTGACAAGTATGTGACTATTATAATGCATTTTGGTAGTTCAGTATAGCTTGATGAGGTTTTATTGACACAGGACTAAGAAAGTCAGCAAACAAGGGTTGGAGATATTTTACTAAGAAAACTAAGTTTAATAATCAAGTATATATACGAGAGTACAATTAAAGCAGAACAAGGTCACTCCACCTATAATGTAGAAGACCATACAAAAGTACCAAAAATACACAAATATGATTTGTATAAATGTCTCAAATTTTCGTCACATTGTTGTCAAAGTCAATAAAACCCATATCCTTGAATTGGGATGTCAACAAGTTAGACTCAGTATAAACCCCAAAACCAAACTTGACTGCACCTTAACCTCAACTTGCCATGCCCTGTGAATAAACAACACCAGGGCAGTGTCGGTGCACGATGCAGGACAAGATCAGAGATGAGAATATGTTAATAGAACAAAATTATGAATAAAAATAATAGAAAGAAACAGATAAAATCACTTCAAATTTATATAGCATGGCTATTTGGGAACAGAATACACTAGGGCCTGAACCTCAAAGATTGGCATTTCACAAAAGAACCCAATAGTGACCCAATTATGGGTGTACTGAACTCTATCAATATGGTCAGCTGAGGAAGGTTACTCAATATAAACTGCTCACACACCTACTGGGGCCACTGTGTGGTTTAATGGTAAAATCTTGGGCTGACAATCATGAGAATGAGAATGTAGGCCCAAGTCTGAAAGCAGCCACTTAGTGCCAAATAAAAATAAAAATATAGAAACACCAAAGGTTAGGTCTATGTCCAGACCACCCCTCCCGAGACCCTAGATAGCTGGGATCAACATTGGATAATGGCCTTTTTTTAATTGATACACCTATCCTACTCTTTTTGCACCAATGACCAGTCCATAATGAAAGAAACTGATATCCTTGAAAATTATATGAAGTGGTCTCAAGATTATTTAAAAAATTCAACTTAATCCTTTCCAATGCCCTAAACTATGACATTATCCTTCATAAAATTCTGTCTTTTTGTCACAGATAGAATTTGAATGTCACTAGTGCATCAAAACATTATTCTTGACCAGAATCTTCCAGTTGACTTGAAAGATTAAAAAAAAAAGGACAAGTGGTTAGCAACTTAGCATCCTCTGCAGTGTCTTCACATAACCTCATTTGCCTGTTTACCAGCCGCCCCCCCCCCCCCCAAAGAAAAAAGAAGCAAATACCCCGGTTATCTTGGAGCATAAACTAACCTCACACCAAAAAAAATTACCCCCCCCCCCCCCCCAAAAAAAAAAGAACAAAAAAACCTCATTTGCTTGGTAAACAAACACAAACCATATCATAACTTCGACCCTAGAAGACACTGGCTTCCCCTGCATCTTTGCAACTCCAGAAGCAGTTCAACCATTACCTCTCCATTAATTTGTTGCAGAAGGATTTAAGTGAGAAGATACCCTTTAGGCAGGTTTTATCTATGAATAATCCTGACACCAAAAAAAGAGCTACAAGAATAGAATGTCATCAGATGTACACACATGCTGGAAACTGACAAAGCTTACTTCTTATAGTGGTCAAATGAGATTCACTACAAACAGTTCTACAATAGAACCAGATTCTGTAATGCATGGACAGAAAGGTACAAAAGTACCATAGCTGCTTCAAAGAATACCTGATACTTTGGAAAATTGGTATCCAAAGCTGCTTCAAATTGGGTAAGAAATTCATCAAGCCCATTGCTACCAGTTAGAAGTGGAAGAACCATAATTTTAGACAATGACAAGAACAAATGCTCTTCTTTCTGTAGTATCATTAGCAAGTCAATTCCTACACGCATTCCTTTAACAAGACATCCAAATACTTTCACCTGCATAGCACCAAAAGATTCTATATATGATAACTCAAACATGAAAGGTGACCCAAAAAATCTCATTTTCCTATAAAATCCCATAGATACTAAATTATTTTCTTTTGGTAAGAAATATTTTAGTTTTCCCATCTATTTATAAAGTCCAGTTTCCTACAAAAAACATCCTCACACAAGATATTATTGAAAGATTAAGGGTGGAAATGTGGGATAAATTTTATATGCATCCAGCTAGTGCAATTTTATTGTTTTCAGCATCAAAAATAAGTGATGATGCTGATTAGATGCATACAAGGACTCCACATATCTTAGCATGCATATCCAAGAGCAAGTATCAACATGTTAAGTATCTCATGGTAAAAAAAACTGCAATTACAAACAAAATTCTCAACCCTGAAGCCTTCCTAACAAATAACATTGGTTGAAAACCTGAAACACCAACTAGAGGATCCAACAATTAAATACAAAAAAAAATCTATTTTAGCAGTTAGTCAATAGTTTTTTTTATGTTTTTTCAGAAAATAGATAGTATAAGCTCTGTAAAGATAAAGAAAGCCCATTCCGTGAAGAAAACCAACTAGGTACAATCGATTACAGAGAAGAGAAAACTATATATGCATTCCAAAATACTTGAAAAATGCATGAAGGCAAAACAGAAATAAAGCAACACATATACTTAATTATAATCAAATGGATGAAAATTACAAAAATTCAAAAAAGCAGTTGATCAGACATACTCGTTGTTTCAGTACTTTTTCCCCAACCATTGGCAATAAAAGTGAAGCTGAGGACCCAACAGTAGCCTTCACTCGTCCAAGAAGCCTTTCAATATCAGGAATCTTTCGAAGATATTGAGCCACAAGGGAAGTTATTTCTGAATGTGTTACTAGTTCCTCAACCACATTAAGCCTACTATCGATATCCCCAACATCCCTTAGTGGATGACAAATCCAGCTCCTTAAAAGACGTTTGCCAGATGATGTTGTGCAGTTATCAAGATATTTATATAAAGTACCTGAATATTAACCAACATATATCTAAGAAGTTATAATGGTTCATGGATAAAAGAACTGGATTTCTCAAATAGATGCTCTTCCATGCAGCTAAGTTTATAACACTTACCTGATTGACCACCGTCAGCATTGTTGCTGAAAATCTCAAGATTTACCAGTGTTTGGCCATCCATCCTAAGGCAGCCTTTGTAGACTTGGTAAGGTAAAACATCCCCATTACATAGAACATCATCTAACTGTTTAAAACCGGTAAGGTATCAATCATAATTAAAAAGAAAAAAAAAAGCACTTCCAATTGAGAAGAAATAACAGAAACAAGATTACCTTCAACCTAGATAAGTTCCCAACAAGTCCCCCAAGGGCACATATGGTGAGGTCATGGTGAACACCACCATCAAGTACAGAATCCCACAATTTAGTAGACCCTTTAAAGTATCCCTTGTTTTGAATCAGTTTTCTTACTTCAGATTCATCCACAAAATTGGTGATTGATGCCATTGGAGTCAAATGCAACTTAGTAGAACCTATACAATAAGCAGAAAATGCAAACCAGTGTCATCTCATATTATGATTTATGCATCATATGACTATAGTTTGATCTTGAAGCCATAAATATGCACAGTTGGTCCATTCTTGTAAAACAGACTTACAGGTGCTAAATGCCTAAATCTTTGAAAGTTAGAAGGATTAAAGGAGGGGAAGCAAATCCTAGAAAACGTTCACTGATGTGTATAAGCACCATAATCAAAGCATATCTTCTAATGCCTGAACATTTTTCATGCATGGAGAAGTAAATGAACGGTTTATGCTACTGCTATTCATGAGTAGAACAACCAAATTTTTTGATAAGGACTTTTAGGTTTACATCTGAAGGGTTCTGTTACATTTTGAACTTGCTCACAAAAAATTGGGGAAATTACCACAAAGAAATAGAACTTAAGCATGCAAGACTTTCTCTATTTCTCAGTCTGCCAAAAATACAAGAACACAAGAAAGAAAAAGAGAAACTGAACACTCCCAGAACTCCCTTAAGAGCAGAACCAAATCTTCCCCCTAGGAAGACATTGATTCTTTTCAACACCATCTGGGGTTACAAAGAATATAATGGTTTTGATATATGATAGTTTTAATTCTACCAGTATGAATTTGTCTTACATTGCTGTGGTCCCAAGCCTGGATAAAGGAGGAGGGTTGTGTCAGGTTAGCAGAGAGCACTAAAACTTCTACCAAACTTCTATAAACATGTTGGGACAAGGCTTAGATGACAACAACGATAATAATGATGGTATCTAATAGTTTTCATTCAAGATACAGGAAACACTTAAAAGAATAAAGCAGTGCATGAAGCTCTGAAATGAAGCTTGTCAAAACATACTGGTAAGTGGTAGCATCAATACATAGACCTCAATCCAATGACTACGTATCAGTGTGTGTTGTATGATACACATCGGTTTTTGAACCCACAGATATGCTAAATACTAGGAGTATTGCCCCTTCAAATCAAATGAAAAATTATTATCACATGTATCAATTCTTTGAACCTTGCCTCAACCTAACCTCGTTATATAATAATAAGCATTCTTGGAACTAATGAATGCAAAGATTGCAACTACGGTTCAGCTTACAAAGAGTACAAGTACAAATATGTACACTGCAAATGTAAGGTTTAGAAATACAATATACAATAGACCTGGCAAAAAGTTGACCCAACCCAAAAAAACAGGATTAGGGTCTCATATTTAGCTACCTGAATGTGAAAATGACCCAACCCGGAAAAAACTGGGTTGGGTTGGGATGGGTCATGGGTTAACCCACTAACCCGATTGTCAGGTCTAATTGGGACTATTTATATATTATTAGAAGTTTCCAAACTTTAATCTTTACTATTTAGTCTTTACACTTTATCGTTTACTCTTTGAATTGTTGAATGTTCCTTTTAAGGTTAATTCCTTTAATTTTGGCAATTTTTCTGTACTTTTTCTTTATTTTTTAAATTTCCAATTATTTTTAGGGATGACCCGAATTAACCTGTGGTCAACCCCAACCCGAACAGTTAGGGTTGGGTCTACCATTTGCTGACCCAACTCGAAAGCCAACTCGACCTGAAATCAACCCGACCCACCCAATTGCCAGGTCTAATATACAAGGTTTTGTATTGTACATATTTGTATTTGTACTCTTCCCAAACTGAGCCTACAAAAAGAGTTGAGCCTACACCCACTTTGTTCTAAATTGTATCCTCGGTGTCACCATTATTAATCAAATGCATAGACAAATAGCATGGCTAACTTTCCTAACATCTGAATGCCATTGAGCATTTATGGACAATTAGACCAATAAAACCAATACAAGAGAAACAATATAATAAAAATCAATAAACATGAAAAAAAAACAAGAAAAAAATTATGGCAAATGCAAGAGAGCCACAACCACATCTCCAGTATGGAGAAAGGGCTATGGTCTCAAAAGAATATAATGAAACTAGATAGGCCAATTTTTAGTACATCTGGGATGAGATTTTGCATTATTGATATTATACTCCTTGTGTATTCCTGTTTCCTGCTTTTTTGTATTACGACAATCTTGTATCCTCTTTGTTGTGTGTGGCGTTTTAAATGAGGGGCCTAAATGTAATTTCGTGCCATTAATATAAATTCTAATGAAAGAGGACATGTCCCCTACTTTTGCTACCAAGCCCTACTTTCTCTCCTCCTTCCTCCTTCCTCTTCCTCTTCTTTTCTCCTGCTTTTCTTCTTCTTTCTCTTCCTTTTGTTTTTTTCTCTGCACACTTCTCCCTTACTTGTACATATTTTTCCATACAAGTAAATTTACTGTATTAGCAATCTAAAAAAAGGAGAAAAATAATAGCACCTGCTACAGAATACTTTTTGAGTGCCTTCTGAGCTTCTCTGGACAGCCCTGCAGTAACTGACAATTTTAGTTGCAAATCCTAAAGCCAAAATTTAAGTAACACTTTCAATTGGAATATCTAGAAAAGTCCACCTGTGTCTTCATAAATTACTTCCTTGGGTGAAACCTGAAAAGCAAAAGCCCACAATAAAATAAGAAAAACTTAAAAGTCATTAACCATAGGTACATACCATGTTCCAAATATACAACAAAAGAATCAAAGTGAACAACCTACTTGCATCAACAAAGCCCCCAAAGCTGCACAAGAAGCATCATCATGTATCAAACCAACCCAAAATTTTAAAGTAGCACAATCAACAAATGCAAATCCATATACAACCGAACCATTCTCTAACCCACCAGTTCCCTAAAAACAAAAGCAAAAATGTCAGCTTTATAAGAAACACTTGAACATCCCTTAATGTCCCACATAAATAACTTAATTGGCTTTTATGGAAATGAAAAGAACAAATTCACTAGTATTCAGTAATTAGAACTGAGAAATTGGTTAGAGAAATAACTCTATTTTAAGCCATGCAGCAGATCAAACCATCAAACAAATAACTCATATACATATAGACGCAAAACTTGATCTTATAAATAGTGTGGATATATTGATATAATTATAAAGAGAGGGTAAAAAAAGAAAAACCCACTAACAAAAAGTTTTTGCATGGCTAATGAGGAAAAACCATATATGAACTGAAAAAGAACCTCTTCTTGACTTCACCTTTAAATTTAGTAAGAATGATTATTGAAAAATAGTTAAAATGAATATAGAATTATAGAACTTTCAAAAAGGTCATGGAATCAATGTTGTTAAAATCTTACAATTAATGATACAATTCACTATTTGAATAACAAATCTCAAGAGTTTCAATTTGAATCATATGTCTGAATCCTTTTCTGCATTTTACAATTTGATTGACAAATCTTATAGGATACATGCAACTCGTATCAAATTTAATTAAGAATTAGTTCTCTACTTTGTCCTTTTTGTTTTATATTTAGTTTTGTCAAGGGAGACTTGTTTTAAATCCCTTGATTGAAAACAACTTATTTACATTATGTAAGAATGCATACTGATTTATTTATATTTAGTTTTGTCAAGGGAACCTATTTTAAAGCCCTTACTAGAAAATGATTTATTTGGGTTATTTAAGACCAGATATTTTCCATCATATGTAGGTTAAAGAACCATTGTAAGCAGGTTATTTGACTTTCAGGTCAAACTTGATTATCATCTTAGGCTTCTAGTGTACAAATGGTAAATTCTATTGTTTTAGGTACATATATGGTAGATATGGATTAAAAATTGGGTAAAATCACTTTTCTATATATTTTTAGCTTTTTAGCATATCTATTTATTTTTTACAAGTTTGTAAAAAAATAGAAACAATTTTGCAATTACAATACAATTTTGGCTTTCAAAACATTAAATGGAACATTACAAAGTTACACAAAGGCATAGATACCCAACATGATGTCACAATGCAAAAGACATAAACCTCAATCTAGGATTCTAATATTATGGGATTTTATGCTAGTCTAGAAGCAAGCCTCAAGTCACAAGATTAACATACCTCTATAAACACTAATGGCACAGCCACTAGGGCACAAGTTATCCCAAAAAAGTTCATCTTGTCTTTAACAATTCAAGGGTAAATGTCACACATGAAATCCCTTTTAATCCTCCCAAACCTATGAGGCTATGCTATATCACTTAAAATCATATAGTAAATTATTTTTTTAATCTAAAAGAACTTTTTTTAAAATACATATTAAGGATATTCATTCTGAACATTAACTCCAGCAGTACGCTGACCTATATTGATGACTGATAAGGTACTTCTGGTTTTAAAACAAGATGCCTCATGTATGCACAACCTTCTGAACAGTGTCGCATAGCTTCTCCTAAATGAGAAACGTGTTCATGTTGGATACAAGTCCAACACTCCATGAATTCTTGAGAACATTTCTATGTAACATTTTCTTTTTCATCCCCTAGCTTACTTGACATAAATGAAAAGATAACATACAAAATGAATGCCACTTTTTATATCAAATGTTATTTAGTAATAAAGGCAATATTTTGTTGGGCATATAATGTTAAAATTCAATTAAATATGAACCACTTTAACAGTATATACTATTTCATAAACATGTAAGCAAATCCATGTTTTCTTGTCATGCAGAGTCAGACTCTTGAACATGTGTAGGATTCTGACTCATGTTGGTGTCTATGCAACAGTGCTGAATCATTACTATTTGAGAAAGCAGGCCATACACAAAGCATGTTCAAGAATAAATAGTTGGATGAAGATAGACTTTGTGTGCTTTGCAATAGAGAGGAAGAAACAGTTGGACATTTATTTGTGCACTGAAATTTCAGTTCAGCTGTGTGAAGTCACTTAAAGGGCTATCAATCTGCACGGGTATTGTCCCTTCTCAGTTAAGGATCTGTTGCAAGAATAGGGCATTCCGGGCATGTCCAAAAAAGGGAAAGTTTGTTGGTCAGAAATTCCATTGGCTGTTTTGTGGGCCATTTGGTCTGAAAGAAATCTGAGAATTTTCAAACAAAATGCATCAACAGAATCAGGGATGATAAATAGGGTAGTAGAGAATCTTAGAAGCTGGTTATCCATTCATACTGTATTTTAAAATGATACTTTATCCTCTTCTTTTTTGAGGGTGGATTTTTTTTTTTTTTTTTGTGTGTGTGTGGGGGGGGTGGGGGGGGAGAGAGAGAGAGAGATAACAGTTTGCTTTTGTTTTAATGAATATATACTTTACCTTTTCAAAAAAAAATGTGAGACCAATAATCAAAAGAACCAATCGCCCCTCCAGAAAAGGATGAGAGAGATACATAAAGAAGATGAGAAACAAAAGTTGAATCATATGCAAGCATAATGGGAAAGAGAAACGAGCAAATCTAAACAATTCTATATTTCATTTGAAAAAGGACACTAGAATTTAGGACAACTCACAAATGATTTCTATGTATATATACAAGAAAGAAATAGACAAATTGTACAAACCCGTTTTAAAGCAAGAAGATGAACAGCTTCAGGTCCAATGCTTCCATCAACAACGGTTGATGGTGTCATTACATGCACCAATTTCCTTTGAATCACCTAAAATCCAACATTACTAATAAAAAAAACTAGCCTTAAAATTACCCATATGATCAATGTTATGTTAGAAATAGACAGAAGGTACAGATTAAAGAAAAGCACCAAGAAAAGAATAAAGTCTCCAGTCACCTATCAAAAAAAGCACCAAGAAAAGTGAAATACAAAATGAAAATGCAAACTGGGGAATACTAGATAACCAAAGCATATCCAAGTTTTAAAAATAACATCCTGCTGCAGAAGTAGCTGTGAAGTCCTACATTAAGTCATCAAGCTAGAATATAAAATGACCCCTAAAAGGGAAATCTGCATACTAGATATAGACATAAATAAAAGTACAAGCACGATGGCTGTTGTGGCTTCTCAAAACTTTGTAAAGAATTAACAAAAATGATAAACAAGCAAAAGCTCAATTAATAACAAAATAGACTCCATGGTTTGTCACAAAAGAGACATTCTTTACAGTCCAGCTACCATTGGCAAATATACTACTACTACAAATGAATGTCAAACATCGCTAATGTCTCAAAACATGCTCAACAAAAAAAAAGTTACAAGTACCAGATCACCACATAGAACCCAAGCAAATGCACACCCAGATCACCACATAGAACCCTAGCAAATGCACACCCATCAAGTGGGACTGGTCTCTAACTAGCAACCCCATTTTGCACAAGACAGAAAAGTAAAGAAGGGTATAACAGTGATTACAATTTTCTTTTAAGAAGATCATCTTAAGAAACCTATGACTACATTTATATTTAATAACACATCCTACCTGAAAAATGCAAATGGAAAGCTAAACACCTCTATTTAGACAACTCATTAGTTATTTTATACTTGTTGCCATTGTCAGTCGTAGTTATTGTACTAATATTAAGACATTCAATTGGATCTATATACACATGGTTTAAAATGTCCCTAATTTCCCTAACATTTCCACAACATATTTCATGGGTAGTGATGCGGCACGATCCGGGCACCCCTAGTTGGCTGCTGATTGGCTCCTTGCTGGCAACTGACAGCACCTGAGAAGACGAAGGTGAAGGATTCCTGGGAGATTTGCCCGGCGGGAATACTCCGAAGCTTAAGTTAGAACGCTGGGGAGGAAGAAAAGAGTATAAAAGGCTAAGAGTGTAGGTCGCACTAGATCATTGTGTCTCAAGATTAGCTCGTGAGCAAGTAAGAATTCAAGTTCAGATCCAATTCGAGAGAGTGTCCTCTCCCCTTCGATTAAAGGGCTTTTATAGGGGCGTTCTTGTTAAATCAGGCGTAACCGCCACTGGGCTCCTGTTGCAGTGGATGAGTGATTGTTGCAATGTATTACCCGCTTGGATGAGTGATTGTTGCAATGTATTACCCGCTTGGATGAGTGACACGTCCTGAAGGGACAGGCATGCCACCATCTGTCAAGAGACGTGGGTGCAGACTATCAAATGGGCAGGGACTGCATCGTCAGTAGAGAGACATGGTGCAGTCTGACGAGTACAGTCTTGTCAAATGGAAGCTTCCTGAGAGCATCGCATCTCAGTCGCAAGTTGCTTCGTAGCGAGCTATCCTTGCCACGAGCTACTTTGTAGGAAGCTCTTAGGGGTACTTCGAGGTGACCCTCATCAAGGTTGGGTCTTTAGGGCAGTTCTTCTGCCCAGGTGCTAGAGCGAGTTGGTTTCCCTAGCTCGCGAGCTGAAATAGTCTTGGAGTATTCCCTTTCCAATAGCTTGGGGGACCTGGAGCTCGCGTTGTAGCGAGCTCCCCCTATAGCGAGCTATGATGTAGCGAGTTGCTCTACAGGCTCGTTACTTAGTTGTGGTCAGGCCATGATGCTGAGTTGTTGCTCGTGCTGAGTCAGATCCACGTGTCATTGTCTCAGTAGGTCAGGTCAAATCATCCTCCATCAATTGCCCCCCACTCCTCGGGCTAAGTGTGACGGGTTGATTTGACCGAAATTCAAACTTGATTGACTGCTCATATTAAATGTGTGCGCGGAAATCAATAGATTTCTGACTTCTCGAACACCGAAAACGCGCTGAAGCAACTCTTAACTCCGGATGTCGTGCAACCGCCATTACCTCAATCATGGGAGACGTGCAACCAGTCGCATTTCGGTTTCAGAAGGCGTGCGGTTAACTTGACTGCAAACCATCAGATCTGCCTCAATCTGGGTCGTTGATTTGGAGGCACAGTGACTATAAATAGGAGGGCCCCCTGGGCCTCATTTCCTTTCATGCTATCTTGTTGTCTTCGAATTCTGAGGTCGTGCATCCATCTAGTTTACCCGAGCTCTTTCGTTCACTTCGCTTCGTCTTTTCCGATGAGTTTCAATCACTGTCAATCATGCCTGGGTATCCGTACCATACTTATTATCGGGACAATAACCAGGATGATGACGCTCCCTCGAGCTCCGGGGGAGCTTGGGAGCAGGTTCTAGAGGCTCGGGAGACCTCCGGTGATGTGGCTTCTACTTCTCGAGGGAGGGAGCCTAACACCTTTGGTCCTTCCTCTATGACGGCGGAGAGACAGGTCTCTAATCCGCTATTTTCACCTTCCTGGGAACCTCGTCTACAGTCTCCCCACTGGTAACTTCCCCTGGAAGAATGGTCCCGATGATATAGTTATTTTCCAGGAACAGCTCGAGGCTGGCCTGCGTCTTCCCCTGCACCCCCTAATAGTGGAGGTGCTAAACCACTTTAATGTTACCATCGATCAGCTTCTTCCCAACGCTATCCGGAACATGGTTGGGACCATTTCTTTGTGTTATGAGTATTGCCTCCCCTTGAACCTTGACATTTTTTCTTATATTCTCTGTATCAAAAATGCCGCTCCTAGAGTTCCTCTGGAAAGGCGTTTTTACTACCTCTCTCCCCGCTGCAGCTATAAGCTCTTGTATGAGCTACCAAACAAGATTCCCGCCTGGAAGTGGGATTATTTTGTGGTTCGTAACCCCGAGGGGTGGCCCTTCCCAACTTCTTGGAGGGGCGCCATCCAGGACCCTGGGGCCGAGCTGGACCCTGAAACTCGAAAAACGATGTTGTCCTGGGTATCGGTAGGCTTCCTCTGTTTGGACTACTTAACCGAGGAGAAGCTCGCGCAGGCCGGCTTGAGCCTGGGTAGGTTGTCCTTTTAGGTCGCGTAGTGCCTTGTAACAATATTGTGTATACATACATTTTGTTTCTTACCGAACTAATATCTTGTGGTTTTTTGGCAGCCATCATGTCTAGTGTTGACACGCGTCGCCTCCTCTCAAGCAACCAGAAGCGCAAAGTGAAGAGATCACGTCCTGACCGGACTCCCACCTCTAGGGGTACTGAGTTCGGGTCTGTGGAGCCAGACTTCACTTCTCCACTGCCTGAAGTTCCACTACCTCCATCTAAAGGAGGTGCTGGCGGAGTTGGCCTCGAGGAGGGCGACCTCTCGCAGCAAGGGGTGATTCCTCTTGGCTTCTCATTCGTTTCCCTACCGCGGCTCCCAGTAGGGAACTGGGAGGGTATTAATGATTATGTAGTGGCCAGGCGGAAGAGCCAAAGGGCGATCTGCCACGAGGAGATCGCTAAGTGGGGGGAGATGGAGCCCGGGGATCTCGCCGCGCTCGCCTCCGCTCATTGTATGGTGGTAAGTGGTCCTTCCCCTCTCCTTGTTTTTCGCTTCCTTTTGCTGCCTTCTGACCTTAGTCCCCTGTTGGCAGGTGAACTCCACCATCCACGCCATGGCCCTCCAAACGAACATCCACTCCGACGACGCTTACAATCAGAGGGTCATCATTCAGAAGCTCTAGAGCGAGCTCCTTCACACTCGTAAGGGGAACGAGTCCTAGGAGCAGCTCGTCCGGGACCAGGAGGCACAGATCGCCAGGCTTTCCGAGGAGAGTGCACGCTACAGGTTGGAGTCGTCTAGGGTGGTCGCGGAGAGGGAGCTCCTTCGCCAACAGGTTCGAGACTTGGAATCCACACTTCTGGACCGAACTCGAAACTTCGACACCATGGTGGAAACCGAGCGGGAGAAAGCGGTCTAGGACTTCAAGGACTCCCAGGAGTATCACGACCTCCAAGTGGAGTATGGCTCGAGCTCGTACTGCTTCGGATTCAAGCTTTGCCGCTGGTTGGTCCGAAAGAAACTCTTTGGGCTCAACCTTGACAGCATCACAATGAGGGGCCTAGCTCCTGAGACGACGAACCAGGCGGAGGAGGAAGAGCCTGATTCCCCGGAGGACGAGGACGAGGTGGAGGAGGTAGACCCCTGAGGTTGGCGGCTCCGATTTTTCTGCTCTGATCTTTAGTGGCTCTCGGGTGCCATAACCCGGTCTTGAAAAGATCTTGTTGGGCGGTTGTGCCCTTTTTATCTCTTGATAAACTTTCTCGAGCTGTTTAGCTCGGTTTTTTTTTTTGAATGGTAATGAAATTTCTTTTTTCTTCAAAGTATGGCGTGCTCCCTTTATTTTTGCTAAAGCGATCTCATCACTCGAGCTATTAGAGCTACATACCCAAAGTAAAACTTTTCGGTAGTCGCTATCCTGAGCTGTCCCTTAACGTTTAAGGCATCTCTATGGTATACCGCGAAGTGATTACCATGTAATCCCGAACTATACGCTTGTTGGTGACTCCTTAGTTCACACAAGAGCCTGGATCACCACCAATCAAAGAGAGATCAAGAGCCTGAATGACTAGCAACCTGAAAGAACATCTCATTCGACTGGATTAAGATATTACAAACAATCAGTGTTGTTGAACCCAGACCAGATGGGCCAGTTGAACAGGAAAACCAATAACAAGGAGTGCAATTTGGTGGTTCCCACCAGATTAACCAAACCAAACTAAACTCATATCCAGGTTTTCGAATATGAAAACTAATTTCAAATAGGAAGTTCAATCAAATCTTTGATTGATAACCTATGGATGCATCATGAGAGTGAAAATAACATCAATGCATGTATGCAAAAGTCTTACTTTTACTCCAAGAAGCAATGTATTTTTGCTTTTCAATGCAAAAAGCATTTTACTAAGAAAAAGGAAAAAAAATAAAAACAAACCTCATGACTATTTTTACACTAGTAGGGAAAAGAGAAGAAATGTAATCCATTTTTAGAAGCAAAAGAAGAAAACATATATTTTTGCATCAAATCAAAATGTTGAGGAAAACAATTAGACTTTTACAACCAAAGCACTTCTCAATATCCCTTTTATTGCATAATAAGCAGAACTTTCCATGCATCAAAAGCCAAGATCCAATAACCCTAAAACTCATTCGAAATGAAAGACCAAGTTGCAGTTCTAAACTTGATTCCAATGAAGAGCTACAGTAACAATGTTTTTTCCTTGTAAGATTAATAGGGACATGACTGCACTGTAGATTTATCCATACTTGCTTTTGCATTCAAAAAGAAAGTTTATTTGCATAAACAAAGAATGCAAAAAATAGAGGTTCAAAGAATCCTTTGTCTGAAGAACTCAGATAGTTTTGGTTAACAACTATAACCACGAAATATATAGCAACTATTGATCAGATGTCTCTACAAGGCCCCATGAGGTCATAACTACTTACAGAAGTAGCTCCTCTAGCTTTGGCTTGATTAGATGTCTCTATCTGCTCAATTCGCCCAACTTTATACCTTTGCAAAATATAAACATGTAACGAAATAAATAAAAAGGATAAATAGGTATGAGTCATGAAATACATGAATGGGAAAATAAATATTCCTCAAGGTTTTCTTCTTTCAAGGGAAATAACTTTCTCACAAATAATACAAACTTCACAATGATTTATAACAACTGAAGAGATATATTACATATTAAATACAGCTAAACAATACACAAGACAAATAATTTGCATTGTTCATTGAGTGAATTTATTTAACAGACCAAAACTACCCATGCAGGTTCCTTGTCATACAGGTCTTAGGGGTGCAACTTGGGCAGGCTTAGGTTGAAAACTTGTTAAAATTTGAATAGGCTCAGGCTTGATGTTGTATAAATTCTTCAAATCAGGTACCCAATTTCCATCCCTAACACCTAGACCCCATTAAGGGATGCAAACGGATCAGATCGGATTCAAATCAGGGTATATTCAAATCGGTCCAACACTGTTCATGTTAGATTCAGTCCAATCTGAAGATCCGATCGGATCTAATAGGACTTGATTTGAATTCGAATCCTATCGGTAAGTGGGATCTTCAGATATGATCTGATCTGACTTGTTTTCTTTAAAAATTAATAAATTATTAAAAGAAAAATTAATTTAAATAAAGTAAAAACAAAAAATACAAGTATTTATTAATTTTTTTCATCATATATATACATGTTTTTTATAAAAAATAAATAGTATAACAAATTTATAAAAATATAATTATAAATAAATAACATATATATGTATTATATATTTACATTTATAAATATATATAATATATAATATATATCGGATCGAATCTTCTCGGATCAGATAGGGGGTGATCCGATTCCAATCCAATTTCTGATTGGCTCCTATTATCCAATCTGAAGATCCGAACAAGGGTGATCCAAATTCGACCAAATAGGATCGGATCGAATCATGAGATCCATTTTCACCCCTAGACCCCATGAATTGTTCCTTGTGAATGGTGATGTCAGCACTTGTATGAGAGTGAATCACTAGTGCTGTAATTGGGTTGAATTTGGATAGGACCCAGCCACATCCAAGTACAATCTCATTATTAAAAACCTAAATCTGGATCCAATCCAAAATTAATTCGTTCTTGGGACTTGGGTCGAATTTATATCCTATCAGATTTTCTTTGAAGTTTAAAATAAATAAATAACCAAAAATTATAATTAAATTAATCACTTTTTAAGCTATAAATACAATATATATCCATCCTAGTTTGACAATATGTTACCCAGATATGGCTGGATATAGTATCTGACATCATATGACACCCTTGCATAGGTATCCATGTACATAAATATAACCAGATTGGATAACAGATCAGGTCTCAGACTTTCAGACTCCATTGACAGCCCTACATATCACTATAACTGCTCGTTTAGGAAAAATTTTAATACAAAAACAACACCAGCTCTAAAACAGACAACTCATTCCAGTAACATATTTCCAGCCAACAAAGTCCAACAATTGATCTATGAAACTGAGAAGCTCAAAAGCAAATTTATAAATCAGACCATAAAGGACTTGTGCTAGAAGGCAAAAACATAAATGGATAACAAAAAGCACAGTTTCTTCATCTTCTAAAATGCATTATGCAACTAAGAATTATGCATATGAAGGTTATATAAAGGATTCCCTTACCCACGAGCAAGTAGCTTCTGAACAGCATCATCTATTCCACTTTCAGAAATACCAACCTGAACAAAAGTGAGATGCCATTGAATAGAACAATTTCCTCACAAATAAATGCCATATCCATTGCCACTTGACATTTAATTTGAGTATTACCTGTCTGCATTTACCCACCCCACTGAATGTCATCTTCCAATCAAGTTCTTTATGACCAATCTCAGCATCCAGTTCATACAGCTCATAGAATTTCCCCTATTTTTTTTTCAAAACAAACAGTTATTAGTTAAATTAATGCCAAAAGCAAGGAAATTAATACCTGTAAAATTTACAACTCTCTGCTACATTGTATGATGGAACTTGGAAGATGTAAACATTTAAGTGAATAATAAACACAAGTAAAACAAACAAAAGGAAGAAAAAGGAGAAATGGAGCTATTATTGGCAAACATAAAGATAAACTTATTAGAAACACAGTAACAAAAGGAAATTAAGAATTCATAAATTCTGCTGTATGAGAACAAAAGAGTTGGATGGAAAGCAGTGAAACACCCTTCATCACCAAAATACCAACCAAATGCATAACATGTATCAAATAGCACAATGAAATGGGTTAAGTCTGGAATCCAATAGTATTACATATTAACCACCACAACAGATCAATAGCTTTAAACATCATACACTTATTCAGCTAGCACACATGGCATGATTATTTAACATAATTTACCCTTCTACCATTTTAGTAATTCCAAACTAATTCTTTATGGTAATTCTGGATTTACTACCTGTGGTGAATTTCATGTTTCCATTTTATAAGTTGTGATATCCCATTCATTATGAATATCCATAGTTGTCAGCATGGTTTACCACTTTATTTGTCTGCTTGTCAATTGCCTACAATGATGTGCTTGCCAGTGGTATTGAGTGGTTGGGATGGAACAATATGCTATTCCCTTCCTGTGGAAGTATACATTTAATTTTTTATTGGTAGTAAATGAAAGGAAAATTTATTAAGAAAGAGGAAAAATATTACAATAAGGTGATAAAATCACCCATAGAACCGAGTTGATGAAAATCATTAGTTGAAATGTGAGGGGTCTAGGAAGTGCGAAGAAAAGGAGGTTGATAAAGGATCTGCTGAGAGATGGCCGTTAGAGAGAGAGGTTGTGGCACAAGGTGGCAAATAGTATTCATGGTTGTTCGCAAAACGGTTGGGATGTTGGGGTATCTCAACAAGCAACTCTTGCAACACCCTATAAGGCTACACATGGAATCCTTCCCCAATTCCTCAATCTGGTCAGGTATAATGTCAATTCTAGAAACAATGTTCTTTTTTGGGAAGACATTTGGGTAGGCAACCAACCTCTTAAAGACCTTCCCTCTCTTTACTCTCTTTCCCTTTATAAGAAAGAGCTGGTTTGCAGATTTATTTCCTCCCCAGCTTCTCCTTTGGCCTTAAACTGGGATTTTTTATCGATAAATTGGGACTTTGGCTTCTAAAGAGGGTTACATGATGATGAATGTGCTCATGTATCAGAACTGTTGTTATTACTTGAGTCTGCTTGCCTAGACCCTCTCAAATCTAACACAAGAATTTAGACCCCTAATCCAAAAGGCATCTTCACCTGCTCCTCATTCTTCAATTCCCTTTGCTCTTCTTCTGCACCCAGGAATTTCCCAGTTAAAGAATTCTGGACTAGACCCATTCCCCCAAATATTGCTATTTTTTGTTGGGAAGTTTACTATGGTAAGATTAATACCTTTGAAAACTTGCAAAACAGGATACCAAATTGGTGTTTATCCCCTAATTGGTGTGTTCTTTGTAAAGCTCAAAATGTGGACTGTTACCACTTACTGATCTCGTGCTCCTTTGCTGCAGCTTTATGGAATTGGATATTTGTGTTGTTTGAGTGTAGGTGGAACCTACCATCTGATATTAGCTTGCTGTTCAATCCATCTACATTTGAATGGCATACAATGAGAGCGAGAATTATGTGGAAGTGCATAAGAGAAGCTATTTTGTGGATTGTTTGGGAAGAAAGGAGCACCAGATTTTTTTGTGAAAACAAAAGAAGTTTTTAGGAAGTTAAAGATTGTATTATGACAAGGGCAATTCAGTGGCTAAAAACTTTAAATCTCTTTGATACAATGATACCAACTCCTTCAATGACCTATGGAGGAATTGGTTATCAGTGGCTAATACCTCTCTACCAAGAAGAATAGATATGTGGTAGAATGGATGCCACCTGGGGAGGAGTTCATTAAACTGAACTTTGATGGGAGTAAGCGAGGTAACCCTGGACCTTCGGGTATAGGAGTGCTGAGAAATAAAGACAGTAGCATTATATCTTTGTATTCAGGTCTTACAGGTGTGGGAGACTCTATAAGGGCTGAATTACTTGTTGTTGTACAAGGAATCCAGCTTGCAAACCAGCTAGGAATAGAGCATCTGCTTATTGAAGGGGACTCCCAAGTGATAGTGGGCTGGTTGCAAGATCCGGATTCTGTGATCTGGAACTATAGAGATCTCCTTAAAAAGGTTAAATGGAAAACAAGGAATATGACAATTAGAGTTCAATGGGTAGGCAGATCAGCAAACTCAATGGTTGACTAACTTGCAAAACAGGGGGTTTATCGAGCTACTTCGTTATTTTATTTGAACTTATAATTCTGTGACCAACTTTAAAGGAAAGGTCGCACCTCGTGCCTTTCCCTGGGTTGCCTTTAACTCTTAATTGCTGGATTAATAAATTCTTACTCATTTATCAAAAAGAAAAACAACTCCTCCTCTATCCTTCATACATCAAGGTAATGTTATAAAGATCGAAGAACATATATTGAAGCTAGCTAGTTACCTTGGATTCTAGGGATATAGTTATAGTGTTGGATTGGTACCTTTAAGACTTCTGTTACCATTTTTCTGCTGTCAATATATTTTCAACTTTCATTTAATTTGTCTTACTCTATTGTTCCTAAATCAAGACACTTGATTCCTTCAATCATTCTCAACATATTGCAATGTTTCTGTCGTTTCTTGGTCGTTTTCTCTATCCTAGATAATATATTTCACTTTTTCACATCATCAACCCCTTAATTTTACACCGGTAGACATACAAACTATCCCTTAATTTTGTATTAGGGTTCACAGTTGTGGACCACCACTACCTGTCCTGCATCTGTACAAAATACAAATATGCAATACTTTGAGAATTCATATGCTTGCATTTGTAAGGACATGTTTGAAAAATGATTAGGCAGGAGCATAATTGAGAAAGTAGATAACATTTAAAAATCATAAGTATTTATACACCTTCCCTTAATATTCTCTTTAACATTAAGAAGAATGTTATAACATTACTGATAGATGAGTTATTTGCAACATCATATGGATCGATACAAGTATTCCCATCCTTGATCAAAACTGGGAACACCTTTCTTTAAAAGAAAACGTTGCTATCTGTCTCTTTGCCTCTGGCTGCTGATTCCACAGAATATGTTAACCTCTCTAACAAAGTAATGTTCTATTACTTTGCCATATTCATAAAAAGCCAGAATAGTCAGGGTAGAAGAGAAGAGAGTTGATCTTTGTTTGTTTATATGTACATTATGCAATGTCTCATCTATTTCAACATTGAACAATTCAAACAGATATAGTTCTACTTGTAGTCACATCATATGAATAATGAAATGTATAGCCATTGCAGGTGAAACAAAAAAGCAGTTTAAGTATAAATTCAAGAAAAACAACCTGAATACAGAACCAAAATGTAACAAGAATAATGTTCCAGACAAACCCAAGCTCCAAAACGTAATAGTAATCAAAAACCACACTGACAGGAAGGAAAAGGCTAGATGAGATGGTAACTTGAACTGACCACTTTGAAGAAGAGAACAACATCCATATACTGGCATTTGACACTCCAATACTGTTTCTGAGATGCTGACATTTTTTTCAAAGCATCAGGTGGTATATACAGCGTCCTTTTGTCATAGAGAGCATCTCCAGGCCTTCTTCCCTTAGCATCTCTCATCAAAGAAGGGTCAAGCCATTCAAACTTACTAGTAGTCATTTCAGATGCTTGCCTATGGTTCTTATTTGCAGTCTCTGAATCCTGAAGTAACTTCACTCTTTTGTTAGGATCAAACAAAGATGAATCATTCTTCTCCTCCAAGTTAGAACTGTCCTCCTGAATTCGCTTTAAACGAGGAACAAGAGGACGCATAGCTGGTGTCTCCGGACCTAATATATCTGGAGCACTTTCAACATGTGCAACATCCCCTCGATAAGTGACACTAGAATTGGAAGGATTATCTTTACGGGAATGCTGAGAAGGTGCTCCTTGCAGAGCCAACTTTTGACAATCTCCAATTTTAATATTTGTTGAGTAACTACCAGCGGAACCACCATTTGCTTGGTTCCTGCAAAATTTCCAGTAAAAAAATGATGCAGGCAATATCAAAAACACCAGAGCTTTCTAAAAACAAAACAAGCTATATGTCGATTTTTTCTCAGAAAATAAGTGATAATGACTAAAAAATTTATGAATCTATTGGGATGGGGGATTTCCCATTCAAATGAGACAAGACAAGTCAATATCCTTAGAAGTTATAAATCTAGAATTGTATGTATTAAGAATAGTGGAAATAGAAGTATGAGAATATTTGGCTATATGTGTTTGGATAAAATGAATACGTAAACTTGAGCAGAAAACCTAACTTCGTGCGGTAGAGACGCAGGAGTTTGAAAATACCTAACGGCTAACAAATCACAGCACACGAGATCCACAAGCAACTAGAACAAGACATCCAAAATACCTTACAACTAGTACATTACAAAACAATTTAAGTGCATGAGCAGACCAAATACAGGAAGACTGACACAGAAAAGCCTAAAGAGGAAAAGCGGCAGACATATACCGATCACGCGAGCTCTCCCGTTCATCAACCCTCGCAAACTTGTGCAGAATACTAGAAAACAGTGAAGGTCGGCTATCATCATTCGCCGGAAGGTCGGTGGAGAAAATCCGACGCGGTAACTTTTCCGGCGGAGTATCTGTTCCTCGAACTTCGGACCAGGGATCCTTAGCCGAAGGAGGAGCATTTGATTGCTCAGACTTCGACGAGTTGAGCTTCAGTTGGTTTCTCGGAAACTGAACGAGATGCTGGCGGGAAAGCGTGTCAGTGTATGAAGAGTCATCAGAGCTCTGGCTCTCCGACGACGACTTTTGGAAGAACGAGAGGATAGATTTCTGGCGCTGCATTTTAAAAAAATAATAATAATAATAAGAGAGAGACAAGGAAACAGAGTGATGAGGATCGAGGAGGGAAAGAATTTATCAAGAGAAAACGTTGAGAAACGAGTGGTATTACACTATTACAGAGACGACGATTTGGCGCCAAAAGGAATTTTATGTTCATATTTTGGGAAAACGAAAATGTCCATCATTCAGACGGAAGCGCTTTTGCTGCGCCATGCGGATTGAGAACTACAGCCGCACGTTGGGAACATCTCCCAATAAATGGAAGATTTCAATATATGGGAGGAATATATATAGATAGAGGATAAGGATGCTTTATCCGTATACGAAATGGAATCTATTCGTGCGAGTAGATTTAGAGCAATCTATATAAGATAATTAGATTAACTAATTATTGAATCGTTTGAACGGTTTTGACCTTTTTTTTATTTTTTTGTTAGAAGAGGCCAACTGTTCATTTTGAACTATTGGACAGTTCAACTTGCTAATCAGACTCCTTATCAGTTCGGTCTTCGAGTCGGTTTTAAAATTATATAAATATTGTTAGATATATATAGTTATATAAATATTGTTAGATAATTAGATTTATATAATTATCTAATTATATAAAATATATAATAGTTATTATAAATATTGTTAATAACTAGATATTGAACGGTTCAAACAGTTTTGACCGTTTTTTTATTATTTTTTTATTTTTTATTTTTTTGTCAGAACGGGTCGACCGTACAACCGGTAACTGGACCCTTGATCAGTTCAGACTCCAGTTCGGTTTTAAAAACCAAGATGTTATGTCATTCGAGTGTGTGACCCATATGACCTGAAAATGAAACTATTTTGGCCATTGGTTTTCGGGTCGATGGTTCGACCGTTTGGTTCGAATAGACGGCCCATTCTAACAACAAAAATTAAAAAAATGACCAAAAACCATTGAATAGGTCAATGGTTCGACTGCCCAAGTCAATGGGTCATTGACCGATTCAACGGTTTTTGGCTAGGGACCAAGATCGAGATAAAACGGAACTAGTTGCCTTGATGGTTCTCAATTAAAAAAAAATAAAAATGGGCAAAAACCCTTGAACGGGTCAATGAGTCAATGGTTCGACCACTCGAATCAATAGGTCGTTAACCGATTCAACAATTTTTGGCCAGGGATCGGATCAATGGATCAATGCGTTGATGGTTCCATTACAATCCATGTAAAGCAAGTTCCCTCCGCTAGTTTAATTGAAAAACAATACTGATGAATCGATTTTTGGTGATGTATCAATTTTTTGGCTAAGTACCTTGTCATTTGGTTTGCTTACAAGTGGTCGATGAATCAGGCCGAAGTAGAGAACTTTGGCTACCGAGCTAAATCAACATGGGCAGGCTAGGTGGCGAGCTGACTATAGTGTCGAGCTACCTATGAGGTGTCGAGCCGACCAGGTGGCGAGTTGCCTGTGAGGTGCCGAGCTAACCAGGTGGCGAGTTGCCTATGAGGTGCCTGGCTGACCAGGTGTTGAGTTGCCTGTTAGGTGTCGAGCTGCCTGTGAGGTGTCGGGCTGCCTGTGAGGTGTCAGGCTGCTTGAGGTGCCGGGGCTGACCAGGTACCGAGCTGGATTGATGAGATTCGTTGCTCTTTAGAGACCTGCAAGGAACTAAATGTCAAAGGACCCAGGGTGGCTAACCTGGCGACGTCGCTCCGATGCTTAAGTTAGTACTCTTATAGTAGATTGCGAGCTAAAAATCACAAAGCATGAGAACTATAATTTGCTTATTTGCCCCTTATGCCACTGGGGTTGATGCCTTTATATAGGCATTGTTTGGCGTGGGCTTCACGCACCATATCCGAGATTTACAAGAGGTCGCCTAAGTGGTCCGAGATTCCCTAAGGTAACCGCCATGCACGTTGACCACCCTCCGGATCGTTCGACACGTGGGCCAACTTCCAAGGATCGTGGCAGTGTTCGGATATGCATGTCGAATTTGTTGCCGAGCATGTCTCGCAGGTTGCCAGGTTGTGCTTGTGCCAAACCGCTAGGTCGGTGCTTGGGCCAGGGCGCCAGGGTTAGGTCGCCAGGTCGTGCCTGGGCCAGGCTGCCAGGTCGCGCATGTGTCAGGCTTCCAGCTCGCGCCTATGCCAGGCTGCCAGTTCGCGCTAGAGCCAGGCCGCCAGGTGGGATACCATCAACTTGGCTAAGGCAAGTTGTTGCCAAAGTGGTTCCGGGTGTCACCTAGTTGTTTTCGAGGTGTCATGTGTGAGAATATCATTGGAGGACCAAATCCGCCCTTATCAAATACCATGTTAGTATCACATCAAACATTTTCAAAACGACAAAAAAATGCATTGGTACTAGGTGGTAGATCCATAGTGAAAGAAAAAACATCAAAATTTGAACACCCTAGGGGTGGTCAAATTCGGATGATAAACCAAAAATTTTTGAACCGAACCAAATCGAATAAGCTAATTCGGCTCGATTTGGTTTTGGTTTCTTTAAAAACTTGTTTTTAATTTTAGTTTGGCTTGGTTGAGATTTTCAATAACGGAACCGACCAACAAACTAGTAGATTAAGTCTATTAAATATATAATAATCTATTTAAAACTTTATACTTATTAATTAATAATTATTATATTTTCCATTTGCCAATTCACAATTCCTCGTTATGCTTTATAGCTTTAGTCCTATTCTAGCTTTTAATGAATAATAGTGTCAACTTTTTCAAATTAAGGTATTAAAACCTAGATTAATTATTAATTATTCAGTAATTATTTATAAAAAATGAATATAGTTGTTTTAATAATTAGTCATTAAATGAGTGTAGTTGTAGTTGTGTTAATTGTTCATTAAGACCTAGATTAATTATTAAAACCTATACTAAAGTCTAATAATTTATTATTCATTAATTATTAAAAGCGAACCAAACTGAATTCGGTTTGAATTGGTTTGGTTCTAAATTCTAATTTGGCTCGGTTCACTTGGGAGAGATGGTCAAACCGAATCATCAGTTAGGTCACCGGTTATAACTGAATTGAACCGAACCGATCAATTATACACCTCTACATCTCCCTATGAATGAAAAGAGAGCTATTTCCAATGCACAACTGTTATGTCGTGTGGATAAGGATGTAGGAACAACTAGTGGGTAGCAGATCGAGTCTTTTTTTTTTTTTCAAAATGTTTTCAGGTAATTGTGAGAAGTGGGAACAAACATCACCCTACATTGTCATTTTCTTAAGAATTGGGATCTATTCCTCACAAAGTGCTGCATACCAACTCCACAGCCACATTCCACCCTGTATTGAGAATATCTCCCCGTAAATAATAAATACAAGAATAGGAGATGTTCCCCATGTGCAGACATAACATGAAGTGAGGTATGTGTGAGGCACGCACTGTGAGGAGGAGATCCTGACTCTATTCTTAAAAGCCGTAAAAAATGCAATGGAATAAAAACCACCAAGAGTTTTGACTTATTATAATAACAAAAAAAAGTGTCAACTTTTTCAAATTAATGTGCCACATCATCATGATTCAGCATAACAAAACAATTTACGAAGTGCTTCTTTCCGAAAAACAGCACACTAGAGGAGATTTTTTAGCATTTCCATTTTTTTTGATATGGCAAGCTCGTGAAATGGAACACTGGTAAAATTCTAGTGCCTAGTGTCAAAACACCCCACGTGTTCATACTCCCATCTCACATTGTATTAGATTTTCCTCAAGTTGGCCAGAATTTGCCCGTCCAGAATTCCAAATGGGAGGAAAGTGAAAAGTTCACTCAGTGGCTTCATGTGTTTTCGTGAGGCAAATCAGGCTTTGCTGATGGATTGGCCAACCGAGGCCACTTCACTATTTGCACCTTAGAAACACCTCTCACGACCAGAAAATTTGCAAAATTAAGCTTGAAAACATTTGGAGTTGGACTACCCCGGTTTTTACTAATGCTCTCTTAATTCTTAAACTGATAATCAATCCAACAAATCCATAAATTGCCAAGAATTAATTCGTCTGTCTACAGTGAAAACCACAGCTGTTGCTTGATGCCCTCAACCTTTCTAAACAATCATTACTTGCCACTCGCAAGTTGTTTGAATGGCTATCCGACTGTGAAGACAATTTATTTGTCCCAGTACTCTTTATTTATTAATCACAATTTTAAATTGCTACTGTTTTGTTGTTTCCGACGACCGACGTGGGGAAAGAGTCGGCAAAGATCCCCCACCGAAATCCGGCCGGGTGACGAGCCAGATAACCTCCCAGCCTATAATCGAAAAAACGAGAAACGGTGACGATTCTGCCGGCTGGCGACACGATAGTCAGAATTCTTCCCTCAAATCAAATGCATGCCTGGTTAAAATTTACCAAAAAAGAGGAAGGTACTCGATGCATTGCCGAATAGATCAGAAATGAGAAAACAAATGTAAATGGCATTCTAGAGCGTGACATCTCATCATAAAATATGGGAAAAAAACAAAAGATCAGAATAGTCCAAATTTTCTCTTGAAACCCTTTTGAAAACTGGATTCTAGAGACCCACCTAATAACAATATGAATGGGCAGACCCACCAAAGAAGAGTGTGGTGCTACACATCCAAAAACACCACCACCTGTAAATTAACCATCCGGTCACCCCCTTAACCGAGCCTTGTAAAGACGAATGCTCAAACAGAAATGAAAATACAGGTAGAGCCTTTTTTTGGGGCTGGGTAAAAATCGTATGGCAAATTCCTCGCATCTTTTAACCAACTTAGGCTGGAGTTGGAGCGCTCTCAGATTTGTCGGTCTCCATTGGCTCAGCGGCAGCAGCTGGTGCTGCCTCGTTACCCCCTGCTGAGTTCTCATTGCTACTGTCATTATTTTGAGGCTGGCTCTCAGTTCCTTGAGCTGGAGATGCTGGTGTCTCGGTAGGAGTCTGTGGCTTAGCCGGGGCTGGCTTGGGCTTCGTCATTATAGGCCTGCAAAACCTGTTCATGGAAAGGGAAATATTGTGTTCAATAAATACTCAATTGGGTATGGCAAGTAGAAATAGCCAATAGGTGTTGAAAACACCAGAGGGTAGCAGGACAAATAAGAGCAAACACCAATATGAAACACTTTCTCTGAACTGCCAAATACAGTGATTCATTGCCCCACCCCAAAAGAGAAATCAAATACTTGTAAATGAACATGCAAGCACGCAAGGCAAATCCCCCCAAGAAAGGCCCAAAAAATACCAGTAACTCCAAGCAACCAAGAAAATTTTAAAACAAACACTAAGTGCACCTGTCAATTGTCTCCGCCTTCCGTTTTAGATCAGCCGACAGCAGAACTGGAGTGGCATACTTGGGCAGAGCATCTTGCTGCTGCTTTTTCTCTCTCAACCAAGCTTCTGCTTCCACACATTCATTTACGACCTGCAAAATAACAGGAGAGCAATAATAAGCCACCGCAAAATGAATATATATATATATATATATTCTTCCTACAATAGATCCATCTAGAAGAATTTCAAGAATAAAATGGAAGGAAAGCAAAAACAGGAGGCAGCAGGCTATGAAGAAACTATCACCGAGTTAAGTTGAAAATATAGGAAGACAGGGCACCAAGATACAACCTTTTGCTTTTCAGCAATATCAATGTGATCAAATTTGGGATCATTTGACAGCGCTGCTTCTCTGTAGCTATTGATACAATAGACAAGTTGGTCAATTGCTGGCCCTCGTTCTGAGCTCTCCTTGTAACGCTCCTCAATGGGATCTCCTTGCTGCATTTAGATTAGTCTCATAAGATACAAATATTTCTTACAACTAAAACTACCAAATCAGCCAATAGCAGCAAAGATCATTTACCTTTTTAAGCTCCTCAAGCTTGGCAACATAAACACCCTTTGTTTCATCTTCACCCTCTTCATACAACCAATCCTCCACCTCCTGAAGCTTAGCAGTTAAAGTCTCCCTCTCCGAATCAGTAACAAAGCCATGATATTTGTCATTTAGCTGGAGGAACAGAAAAATGAGAATGTCAATTTCTGCTAAATAATACATTTAGATTGCAAATATAAATTTTACCTACCTTATTTCTCATATCATAAACGTATGCCTCCACAGCATTCTTCTTGTCTTTGGTTTCTTCCATCACCCGATCTTGCAAAGCCATTTCAAACTCCTTCTCCACAGCCTTTTGCACATCTATTGGTGCCATTCCACCATAAACCAGCTCTGCAACTGGGACATTTGTTTTCTTCACCTTCTTCTTTGGAGCATCAACCTGTAGACAAACAACTAAGGTATTCAGGAATGGAAAGGAAACTTTACTTCAAGCAAGAGCATCACTCCCTAAGTAGCACAAATGATAATCCCCCAATCTCACTCGGTACTGCAAACAATTGAGTCATTTAGATGGAAGGAATAATGAAAGCTATTGCCATTCCCAATTAGTGGATGTGGCAGCAAATTAGGAAATCAGAAGCTCCCTGTACACAGTTCTAACAAAAAGTCCAAAACCTATAAAGAATTGCTATCCACCCCCTGTAACCTCTCCCTTCCAACATTTTCAACAAATGCATTGCAAAGAGCATGGGGAAACAGTTTCTGTAGCCTAAAGGCATTGAGCTATGGGAATCAAAGAACTGTGTGTCATAGTCTATGTTCAACGTGGTCAGCTAACCACTCTCCCTGTTTATAATCAATGTAGACCTGCTTTTCTTCTTTTATGAAATTCATATGTCCATACCTGTGCATTAACTGCATTGTTGCCAAAATGAGCACTGGCAATAGCATAATATAACATATTGATGGCAGTACATATTAAAAATAACACAAGTCAAGAGAAATTGCAACACGAGAAGATAGAGAACACAACTACACAATTCTTTTTTCTTTCCTTTTTTGTCCTTTTGACCTACCAATTCCTCATAACCCCTTATCACGTGCCATTGTCAACCATACCATCCCAAAGATTGAAGATATCAAACCCAGTTCTAGAAATAACTAAAAAGTGAAAAAGGATCACTTCATCGTTTTGCAGTATGCAGACAAAGTGAAAAAACATCACGTGCCATTGAACAAACACAACTATTCAAGAACAAATGAAAAGCAGACAAAGTGAAAAACCAAAAAATATGAAGAAACTATCAGAATGCACATGAACAAGTAATTTCCCAAATATCTTAGGAAATAGCATGAATGGAAATTAAACACCCAAGCATAAGTTGTAAAGTGAAAACAATTTTAACAATGTACCAGAAACACACAAAAAAACATGATCCAACTGAAAACCCTATAGAGCAATTGAGAAGCAAAGCAGAAAAAGCAACTTCAATAAAGAAATGGTATATATGATAACTGATCCAAAAAATACACACTAGTTTTCTAACCTTGACATCTGTTTCCATCTGCATGGGCTTGTCTCCCGTCTCAGGAACTCCATTTTCAACCCCAGGAGCATCAGTGGCACCTTTGGCATCTTGCATATTTACATCATTTTCAACAGTACCAGCAGGTGCTGCATCATTTGGAGCCTCATCAGTCTCCATCTTTGTATCTTCTTTTGCTGGCTCTTTTACTACTGGAACTTCAACTTCTTCTTCTTCCAACAACTGAAATAAACATTTGAAAAGTTGATGAAATAGAAAAAAAATATGGAAATTATACCTGTTCATGGACCAAGCTCAGGTTGAGCTTTTGCAATTTGAATGGGCCCAGCCCATGAACAGATATAATGGCAATAAACAATTACACAGTTAAACAACACACTTACAGTTGCAGACTCCACAGACACAATGCCATGAAGATTCAGGCGAACTTTCACCTTCAACTTTGCCCGTTCACCTTTGGTAGATTGGAAAGGACCAACCTATAGAACAGGGACACTTGGAATGTTAGAAGCAAATTATGGGGTGAAAACAGAATATCAAACACTTATGAAACAAGAAAATAGAAATAGATTTAAAACTGCAAACTATCAGTAAACCACTTACAGTATATGTGCTGATCTTTGCAGGTGCCTGTAATTGGCTAACATCAGCATAATGAACATCAATTGTGAATGTACCCCACCTATAGATTGTCAAAGCCTTGACACTGGGAATTGGATTACCCTTTGGGAATACAATGGTGCTCTGTTGGTGCTCTGTTGCTCCATTCTGGGAATCAGGTGCTGCACCTTTCCATGATAAGGCAATTGGGGAGGGGAAGCTCTCATTTACCTACTCATCAGGGGAAGGGGAGGGGAAGTAAGATAATCAATAACTCAATGCTTGTACTGCTCCTTTCAAAATGGAAGATGAGTAGTTCTAGATCCTTCACAGCATCACTATCAATGTAAAGTAAAATAATGGCAATAATCTTACACACAATAATAATATGCCTGTGTGCGTGTGAGCCTGTCTAAATATCCCTAACTCGGCTTGGGAAGAGAGCAAATTCAAATATGTACAATGCAAATACAAGGTTTAGAAATATCATGTACAAGGTTTTGTACTGAACATATTATTTGAATCCCTCCCAAACTGAGCCTAAATAACAATTCACATTATAAGGAATCATAAAGAAGGAGAAAGTGTACCTGAAACTCACGCACTTTAAAAGTGGGACTAAGAATTGCACATTGAAGAGCACAGCCTCTAGCCACACACTCACTGGCATTCATGGTGCGTCTAGGTTCTTTTCCAAAAAATTCTGTTAATATCCTAATAATGGCTGGAACACGAGAACCTGAACCAACAACCTCAACTGAATGGATGTTTTCAACAGTAAGCCCAGCTTCTGAAAGAGCCTTCTCCAGAGGCCCTTTAACACGCTCCAAAATTGGAGTACTTATCTGTTCGAATTCTTCCCTCTTGATGAATCCCCTGACATCTTTCTCGTCCATTAAGCATTCTATGTTCAGAGGTGCCTCTGGATTTGCACTAAGAACCTTCTTCAACTTCTCACAAGCCGCACGTAGTCTAAGGCAAGCCCGTGCATTCTGGAACACATCAATCTTGTATTCTTCCTTGAACTTTGCTGCGAAATGTTGGAAGAGAACTTCATCAAAATCCCTACCACCAAGAGAACGATCAAAAGAATGGGCCAATATTTTGAGCTGGCCTTTCTTGAAGCCCGCAATGCATACTTGCATGCTTGCATGGCCGATGTCAACAAAAGCAACATTTAATTGATCGTTCTCTGGTAAATCCGTCTTGTAAATTCCATAGGCCAAAGCTGTGGCAGTTGTTTCATGAAACAACCGGAGAGGGTGCAAACCAGCAATTGTTGCTGCATCCAGAACAGCTCTTCTTTGAAGATCTGTGAAATAAGCTGGAATCCCAATACAGCAATCCACAACTGCCGCATTAAGATTCTTCTCCGCTATGCTCTTCAGATTAGAAAGTACCATTCCCAGAACTTGTGTTGGCGTAAAAACCCTGGATTCCCCAAGGTACCGTGCGTGAATTAATGGATACCCATCGGGCCCTTCCGTGACAGTAAAAGGCAGGGACTTGAGGTCCCGCTGAAGCTCAGGATCAGAGAATTGACGACCAATCAATCGCTTTAACTGAGATATAGAGTTTTTGGGGTTCATCGTAGTTGAAGCGGCTCCAGCAGTTCCAATGAACCGCTGCTTCTCGCCAAAAGAGACAACGGCAGGGGTCTCCCGTTTCGATTCATCGTTAAGAACCACATCGATACCTCGTTGCCTCGCAACAGCAACAATGCAGCTCTCGTTACCGAAATCAAAACCAACAACGCTCATCTTCGTCGGAACCAATAATCAGTAAATAAATCGGCTTACTGTCACCTACTACACAACGATCTTAACAACATTGCAGAAAATTCATAAATTAGCACTTAAGAAAACAGAGAAACCACAACAAAATCATCGTCAAATTAGGGTTTTCTACACATGTAATAACAGTTTTCTTTATTTATGAAAAAAAAAAGAATCTAATAATGAATCTACAAACTCACATCAGGGCCCTCATGACTCCAAAGTCTAATCCCCCAGCCAAAAAAGGAGAAGAAAAAACGAATTAATATCTATATCCAAATAAAAAAAAAGTAGGTCCTATGCCGAAGAACATAATAGAACAGAGGAATGGGATCGAAACCCTAAATGAACAAGAAATGGTTAAAATTTTAATACAGATCTGCAAAATGCGTACATGTTATATGGCGGGTGAATCACTGGATTGGCAAAAATAATGAAAAACTAGGGTTTCGCCGTGGCCGAACGTAGACATACCTTGCGGATTGCAGAGCTCGTATTGATCTTTTTGCTTCTTAAGAAAGCGCCTTCTGAATCAAACGTGCTACCGTGGGCGCATGCTAGAACTGAGACGTATAATATTTGGTGGCTCTTGTTCTAGAATCCTCCAAAGACTTGGAAAACTATCGCGGTTTAAAGAGCTTGGTTATGACTTATGAGCTTAACACGACCAGTTTTCAATGACAATGAGTTCACTTTTGCTACGGCAGTGTCGTAGCGCATGGTTAACCGAAAATCTTGAGTCCGGATTTGCTCCTACAGCATGTCTCAGCCGCGCATCGGGAACATCTCCCGTATTTGCATATTATTATGATGTCACTTTATATTTTCATACTTCAGAAAAGGAAATCGGTTTCGAAGAACATCTTGAAACCTTACAATGAGAGTATCTCCCTATTAAATAATTTATATACAGAGATATTCTAAATGCAAGGCTGTTTGAAAGAGCGCTGCATTAACTGAAGTTGAACTCATATTCCCAATAGTGGGATGTGGCTGTGATGGTGATCCCAAAATGGTTTGATTTTTAATAGAATTATTATCTAAAATCTTCCTTCATTTTTGTCTCTATTTCTTAAAACATACCCTGATTTTTTAAAAACAATTCTTTTTAAAAAAACTTACGTTCGGTTCCGTAATCCGTAGGCTCACAGTTAGGTTTGTTTGGTTGGAAAAACACAAAAAGTGGGAAAAGACTCGGAAAAGATAGGGATCAAAGTGACCGTTAACAGAAATCGTCTATTTAGATCATTGATTATTTTGAATTATCAAATTAACCTGGATCGTAGGGCTGTTCATAAGAAGGCCCAACCCGACTAAACCGATCAACCCGGACTGACCCAATCTGAGTCGGCCGGGTTTTTATCAGTATGGGCCGGTTTCGGGTTATGCAAATTCCTAAACCGATGATTCGGGTCAATTTTGACTTTTACACAAGAAAACTGAAACCGATCCGAACCAAACCGATTTAGTTTCTAGTTCAAACATGAATTTCCAAAGCCCATTAGGCCACCTAGTTTTTGAATGGTTGCAAGAAACTCTGGATTAATGAATAGTGATTAATGAACAACTTTTCATTTAAATTTTATCATAGGATATGGCTGAAATGATGCTCAATTTATGACTATTTTTAAAATTAGCAATATTTTATCACAGGGATGAACTTAGAACCGAAACCGACCCAACCCGACTCAAGCCGACCAGGTCGGTTTTGCTTAACACTGGGTTGGTTACGGTTTCTATGTCAAGTAACCCGACCAGGTCGGATCGGTTGGAAAAACCACAGTAAACCGACCCAACCCGACTTGTGAACAACCCTACTAGATCGAGCGGAAGCGGGATCTGCTCCTCACAAAAGGATGCCTCACAGACACATTTACTGTGCATTGAAAATATCTCCGGTGAATGATTATTAATGAGTATGGGAGATGTTCCCAATGCATGATAGGATGTGTATGTGAAGTGCCTGTAAAGCGTCGGGTGTAAAGAGCAGATCCGTTCCCTTCCTTGTTTAATGACCAAATTAACCTTGAGCGGTCCAATCTAAGTTATTTCTTCCACAACAAAAGTTACCCCTAGGCCCTAACCATCTAACACAAGATGGTGATTTGTCCCCATGAAGCGGAAAAAAAATGGTGATTTGTAAACCTCCCACATAGATTTGCTTACCCACCAAACTACTAATAAGGATTAAGGATTAAG